GACTGGACGTTATTTTCTGCGCTTCCTGTTGTTGGCTCACTTCCTGTTGGTTAATTTCGATCAAAATAGATTTCATACTCCCATCTGCATTGGACAAAAATGGGTCCATTGCGATAGCTTTTCAGGCTCATCAGATTTAAAGAGTTTAATTCAAAAGATCTTGCAGTTCACAAAAAACACTAAACGCATTTTGGCCTACACAAAATAGAAAACGATTTTTATTTTGATACCATATGTAAGTCATCACAACCACAGAAAATAAATCATAGCGACATTTATTCATATGATACAAAACTACCTTTTTACTGCACAAAGTAACGGCGAATATTTACAATTTAAAATTTTAAAATTTCTTCCACCACAGACCTGGCTGTCCTAGCCTATCCCTCAATGCATCTAATTCATGCGATGTGACGTCATTTTATCTATTTATATATTTATTCAGTTTATCTATTTACTATTTATTTAAAACATATTTACCCTGGGATACAATTCAGTAAACTAATCAAACTGCTTTCCAATTGTACCAACAACAAAATTAAAATAAACCAAGCTATCAAAGTTGAAAACCTGATTTTAATAATAAAAACTGTTTATAATAATTTCATTAAATATAAAGATACTAAATGTGATAAAACACAATGAAGATATAGATGCAGATTAGCTTTTAGATATAGATTAAAGCTTTTAGTTTCGTTTTGAATGATCGAATCGTAAGGACTAATTTCATTTCCGAGACAAGTCTATTCCACGCGTCGGCTCCTCGAAACGCAAATGGTTTTTGCCCATGAGTTGTTCTCACCTTTAGTATACAAGATTACATTTTGTATTGCGTAACACTCTGGTATGAATATCAGACGATTTTTCGAAAACATTTGAAGTAAGCCAGCTACTCATGACTTGGAATAAAACGCCTGCTTTTAGTTAGAGAGAGTTTGAATGTTTTAGCCTAGGCCTTTAAGCAACGTAAGGAAAGGTTGGCAACGCCAAAAGGCATGGTCTACACTTGGCTACTATATTTGACCAATAAGCACCTTGGGTCAAGGTTAAAATGTTCAACAAAAGTCCCTGGCTCTTATTCGGTCATTTACGGTGTTTATAGACATTGAAGAATGACTCTTCTTGATCACTGCAAATGATGTATCGTTTAAAGATCGTTGTTCTTTTGCTGACTCTAGCCAGAAAGCAAATATTACTGCTCAATATATGTAGACAGTCAACATTTGAACGAATTGACAAGTCATAACTCAGGGCTATTTGGGACAATCACCCGCCTTCATTCAAAAGCTGCTTTCCAATATTCTAGGAAACGTTTTTCAACATAAAAAAGCTATTGGATTGTGGGAAGGGGGTGTTGAATGGGGATGTAAGGCTAGAGGCTCGAACTTTTCCCACTGTTTGAGCTGGGTTCCTAGCCTCTTTTCGATAGTACTTTTCTGTGTTCAAAAAATGAGTGTGCGAGAACGAGGCTGTTCGGAAAGAGAAATTCCAAATCCAATTGGAAACTCTTTATGCATTCAAGAAGTCCTTGCCAGTTTCAATTACGGCTAGGATTAGCTGTATCAAAGAATTTGGCCAAAATGAAAGTTCTTGCTCTTGTAAATAAAAATTGTTCGACTGGACGTTATTTTCTGCGCTCCCTGTTGTTGGCTCACTTCCTGTTGGTTAATTTCGATCAAAATAGATTTCATACTCCCACAGGGCATTTTTTAAGGAAATTTGACTAGTGGGCCAAATCCTCAAGAGGGCCCACTTTTTCGCGACCAGAGCCCTTGACCCCTTGACTCAAAAAAATGAAAATGAGTATAAAAAGAATAAAGCTACGAAAATGAGTATAACAAGAACAACAATTCAATAAAACTTTAATAATATGTTTAACATTTAAAAGTTTCTAAAAAGTTTCTAATGTCCAGAAAATGTCCCGTCACAGACAACCAGAGTCACTCGAAAAGAACTTTTTAATGAATTCCCTCTCTCTATAGATCTCTGAATTTGGCTCTCTGTTACGTCTGTCTTTGCTCTTGAGAAATTCGAAAACTGCAGGTCTTGGGTCAAAATATGCAGTCCCTGTGCCATTGAGAGAGACATGCATGTAGCTGTTAATTGATTCTGGCTTTATTGATGCTCTGCTGGATATTTTGATATTATTATAATGGGAGACAGCTCTCTCTGTTGCCATGCTATGTGGTGTCAAGGTGAGGAAGGAAGCAAGGAATTTTCTGAGCAAACCAATGCTGGCCTCTGTCATTTTTCTCAGCTTCAATGCATAGAGTGTGCCAGAATCTTCTATCTGGCTATAGACTTGAACTTTGCTTAGGTTTGTCCATGACATGCAGACATCAGAGACAAACTCTTCAACCTTGTCCTCTCCAAATAACTGGCTCACAAGATCTCTGCTGGCATTTATCATCTGCGCTGGTGAACTTGCATCCAATATCTTTTTTAAATTGTTGATTGTTTCATCTTGCTCAATGTTCATGCGCTGGTCTAGAAAGTTTATTGCTGATTGAACAATTTCCACTCTGATTGGACCATCTTCTCTGCGTAGTGATGTGACAAACCTATGAGCCTGGCTGGTTTTTCTGATATTTCTTTCTCCACTGCTTTCTTTACTTGAGTTTAAGTTCTTCAAGTATTTCTCTTCCTGCCCACCAGGCACTGGCATCTCCTTCATGACGTTCAGGTTGACAATAGCTGCATCCCTGGCTGTTAATACATCCAGTAGGATGAGGTCAGATTTTTGAAAAATTTTCTGTAAGTTCTTGAAAATTTTGCACAGATCATGCATAACAGTGGTCAACCACACTTGCTGTGTGCCATTGCCCCATTTCATAAGAAATCCTTTTGCAGATGAGCTTTCTTTGCTGTCCGAATTTATGGTTCCATCTGTCATTTTTGTCCAAAGCCTTCTTGCTGCTTCCAGATTATTCAAAATTGCTTTCAGCAAATTCAAAGTGTGCTCTGCAAACCTGACCTCAAAATGCTTTGGAAAAGCAAGAGCCTGATCATTTTCTTTGTGCAGCAACTTTGTGCGACGTGGGGATGAGTGGAAGAATGTCGAAAGAGCAAGAACATCAGCCATCCAGAGATGGAGTTCAGGGACCTCAGATTGAACAGATTCAAGGGCCAAATCTGAACGATGACAAACACTGAACGATGATGTCAAGATATCCCTGCCAATATGTTGTTTGAGCAATGTCCATAATCCTGCGTTTTTGCCTGTGTTTGCTTTTTCTCCATCAGTGGTGACTCCAACAAGCTTCTCTGTCTCCACACCAACACTTTTCAAGCACAAAATAAATGAATCAAGAAGTCCTTCAGCTCCTCCTAAAGCACTGCTGGCGATGCCAAGAAAAACGGTCTTTACACTCACTTCATTCGTTGGGACTAACCTTGCTGTTATAAATTTAGAATCAACCTGCTGCTTGTCAGCACTTCCATCAATTTGAACAGAAAAGCACAGATATTCTTTTAATACATCAGCAGTTTTTTTCATCTCTTGCTTAGCAACTATGTCTCTCATTGCTGCATAGGTTACTGGATCCCTATAATGGTATACAGAGCTTGGTTGACTAAAAGGAACAAAATCTGTGTGCCATCCTTCTGTCTCAAAATTACGGAGTAAAGCATTGCTATGTTCAGTTGCCAAAGACCTTGATGGCCAACTTCTTGCACTGAGTGTTTCCGTTCTACAATCATTGTAAACATCAACAGCCATTCGTAAAAGAAACTCTAATGTTTGTATTTTGCATTGTTTCATAACTTTGACCCAAGGATGACTGTCTGACGAGAGACTCCACGCTTCTTCAAGTTTCTTCAATCTTAATGCTTCATTGTGAGCAGAGGAAAGCAAATGATCAACAAGTAAACACAGTCTGTCTTTCCCATCAACCCGGACTCCACTGGCAACTGGTATTCGTCCATTAGTGGCATACCTTTTCACTTCAGGTTCATACTTGCTGCAAAGTAAGCAAGTGACAACGGGACGTCGTCGTTTTTTTTGTCCTTTCTGTTCTTCCCTACTTAATTCCAGGCAAGATTCAGCTAAAAGCAGCCAATTCAAGTCTAATTTTTTGCCTTTGTACCAACGATCATCTGTGGAATCGATTTTTGACGAGGCACTGTCTGGTTTCGAAGTTTCGGCGTCAGCAAGGCCAAGGCCATGGCCTATGTCTGCATGAGTATCATCACTATCGACATCGTCAATGACATAATTTTCCTGAGTATTAAGAAAATATTCGTTGACGTTTTTATCATCTTTCATTGAATCGATGAAACAGTCAGAAGCTGTACTCACCTCAGCAACGGGTACTGCAGTTGATGAGTTTTGATCGCTTGTTGATTCGCTATCAATAGGACTGGCAGTCTTAGGCCGACTGCTGGTGTTTGATTTGGTAAATCCAAACGAGGAGAGTAGCGATGTTTGGCCACTTGCAGTGGCAGCCTCTTTCAATTCATTCTTCTTTTTTTCCAAACGTTTCTCGTGACCACTCTTTGTTGCTTTTCTTTTCATTTCTAACATGGATTTCTAGCTGACAAACTTTTGATCTTTCTATTTCGATTTTAGAACACAGTCTAAAATGACCATGACAACACCAAACATAAACTAGCAACCATAGCAACATAGAGCCTCGACAGAAAACCCGGAAAGAGGATAGATATGCAAAGGGCCTTTCCTTCTGTGCTCAACAAGTGGCACAATGTGAAAGACTAATTTTTTACTTTTTACATTTTGAAAAAAACATTTGTGAAAAGGGCCCAAACTAGTGGGCCGAAAGCCCTAAATTTTGCTTTTTTACTGGGCCGGAAGAGGGGCCCACTGGGCCAGTGGCCCAGTAGTTACAATGTTAAAAAATGCCCTGTACTCCCATCTGCATTGGACAAAAACGGGTCCATTGCCAGCCAACCAAGCTTCAGCTTTTCAGGCTCATCAGATTTAAAGAGTTTAATTCAAAAGATCTTGCAGTTCACAAAAAACACTAAACGCATTTTGGCCTACACAAAATAGAAAACGATTTTATTTTTATACCATATGCAACTCATCACAACCACAGAAAAAAATCATAGCGACATTTATTCATATGATACAAAACTACCTTTTTACTGCACAAAGTAACGGCGAATATTTACATTGACAAAAATAAACTTATTCTAGACATTTTGTTACCCTCGTGTTCTCAAATTCTTTGGTATGAAACGGCTGCTGGAGAGCCTTGGAGAAACAGCTCCCCAGGGTTATGCATCAGATCGACAATATATGTCTCTGGAGGGTATCTCACACCATCAGCCTAAAGGAAAGTAAAAGGACATCAGACGAGTTCTGTTTCATGCGCAAGGCTAACATGAGAATAAATGAATAGTTAGGCCAATTCTGGCAATCATGGTTTTTCTCAATTTTGTGCCCCACCAGTTCAGGAATAAGTTTTTATTTGCAAAGTATGCTTAGATCTAACCAAGGAAGAAATTCTAGAGGAGGAGATTCAAATCAGGAGATGTGCGACGTCATAGCTTTTCAGACCTAGAAAACATTTCAATGTATCTAAAGTCTGATAAATGAATCTGTAGCTTGGAAGTTAACAAAATTGAACAAGAATAGCCACCTCCACTAACAATAGCAAAATTCAAAGCAACACACCTTAATTTATTCCCGTCCGCATCGTAACAAGCATTAACGGGGTCACTCAACTATTATGTAATGTATAAAATACCAATTCTCAAAGAGGCATACTATATGCAACAAAACAGAAATCAACGATGTGATAAAACAGCAGGAGACTGCTACAAAACGCTTATATCTTCCAACAATAAGAGGTGACGTAATGAGCAAACGACCCCAAAGCAATTTTAATAACATTTAATGAATATAATCCTTTACCGGTCTATCATAAAGTGCTCTTTGCCGTATAGGCAGAGCTGTACACGCTATTTGGTGTACTGAAAAAGGACTGTTCTAAGCTGCTACATCGCGTTTCATACTTAATGTTTTCATCAGGCAATTGTATTTATATGCATTTATACCAGCCTTTATATGGGCTACTAGCCTGCGTGCAAACTTTACTTTCCGTTGCGAAGGAGAGCCAGGACGGAAAGTAAAGGACGGCAAGGACGCAGGCTAATGGGTTACCTGTTCTGCTTTGCATAGTCTGACTTCGTTCCACGCTCTACCATAGTCTCCGCGTACCAAGGAACAAGAAATGCCAATTCTATCAGCGATCGCCTGAAATTAAGTAAAAGCAAAACCAATTTAAAGTTGATATAATTTGAAGGCTTGAAATTAAAATAAAGTTTAAAAAAAGATAAATCTGTTGAAGCTATATTGATACTTAAATTGGTATAATTTTTTAGAAATAAGTCTAATTGATATCTTATATCAAACACCTCTTTTGCATAAAAGAATTCATTGTAAATTCAATTTCTGAACGCATCAAACATTTCGTCTTTGAGGATCCACGGTAAGCCAAAACGGACCTAGCAAAACCAGAGAGGTTTTTGTCTTTCTGTTTGGGCCTTTTTCGCACACACAACTTCTCTTAAACAACAGGCCATCAAGAAATGTTATGTTGTGATGAGAATATTGTATCATATGCTTGATTAGATTGGCAACAATTATCATAAACCCACAGTCAATGTTAAGGTAGAATTTAGTAAAAATAAACCTTGAAAAGCAAAGCCCGGTGATAGTAAATGCCAATTTGCACTTCTCCGATCGGAATCACATTCGAATTCAACTCTAGTTTTAACTGACTGATTGGCAACTCAAAACTGCACTTCGGGACTTCATCCTTTGGAATAGGCCCACCCATCTTTGAACTGACAAATCTAAAAAACATACAAGAAAGATGTAAGCAACAAAGGAGACAATACTTATCTGTCTAGCCAGGACGGGACGGGGATCCATTGGGCCCCGTTGGGGCTGTGTTGAGTCACAGAGTATATGGAGCAGCATTCATACTGTCCAAGAGAGCAAGTGCCAATTTTGTGGTTGAGGAACGACATTAAAATGCACCCACTCCATTCCCATCCCATTTACCGTTACAACATGCCATAGCTCTACTCAGGAAGTTTAAGTCTAAAATCATTCTAACGTATAATACAAGTTGCTGTGGATCCATCAGTATCAAATGTTAAATATTCCGTTACGTTTACTCAATCAATTCATCTTACTGGATGGTATTTGCCATGTTACAATATTTGATCATATTTTGAACACAGCCTGGTCAAGAGAAAATCACCACCCATTCCTTCTGAAGTATGAAAAATAAGCGCGTGTTTTAGAACACTGCAAAACAAATCGTCAAATAGAGAGTGTACAAAAATGGTGGTCGCCAGAAACCTACACTCTTTAATTCTTGCAAAAAATGATTGGAACACCACAATAATCACGTTCAAAAGTTAACTACACCAGTATTTAATTACCTCCCAAATTTGCCAACGCTGTTACTAAATTCTTCTCCTAATCCGCTACCCCATCCCCTGTCCCACAATGCTGATTCTTTCATAAGGAGTATTTATGCGTGTAATCGTCGTTAGGCCACTACCGAAAACAACTTTAAAAGACTCTGAAGATTATGTGTAGATGTTTAGCAAGTCTTTGGTGTTCAGTTTTTGCAAGGGTGGTATGATAACAAAAATAAAACATCCACTCTGGAAGCCCAAAATTAACTTCCAGCACATACGCCTAAAGGCTAGTTTCAATGTTTACCTAAAGGTTAGGTTTTATTCATAGAATGTCAATAGGTATCTTAAGAAGTCTCACATGGATAGAGCTTCGATTTGCTTTCTTGTTGTTTCCAAAGTCAAAATTTTCTCTTTGCAATGATCAATATGTTTCGCTAATTTTTCATCAAAAGGAGGGTGCCATTGGATTGAAGATTTCTTTTTGATGTTTCCAACTTCAGTTGGTTGGGAAATTTCTTGGTGTCTTTGCTGATTATCCTCGTTATTTGTCTTTTCATCTTTCATCCTGCTTTTCCTGTAAAAAATGCAGATAAAAAATTACATTAAGTGTTTCAGTTATAATGACAAATAAGAAACAAAAGTCAAAATATGTTGAATACTAAAAAGTTTGTAAATGATGTGTTACATGCAAATTTATTTCATGCATTGTTCTTCTTTGTGAAATAGGTGCCTATTTAAGTCAAAAGGCCACTAACGTCCAAACTTTCCTCTTCTTTCATCAGTTTAATGAGTAGGAGAGTCAAATTAGGGGAATATAAACTGTTTCTAGAAAAAGTCAAGAATATGATTTTTGTAGCGAAACAGTGAACTCAACTTCGCTTTTCAAAGAGCCTACGATGACGCTAGTAGACCCTTGTACTTTCAAGATTCTCACTGGTAACTTTACCAAAATTTGTCTTTTTAAGGCGTGTTCGTGCTTTTGAAAGTGGTGTTGCTTGCTGGTTATAGGAGAAACCTCTATAATTCTATCCGGGGTCCCTCGCAATATGCGGGTGGCAGATAAAAAATTGCCAATAAAACTCACGATCTTGCGTCGACTCGCGACTTTGCTGGTTTGATTGAGCTTGTCTTGTCAGAAGGTGGTTGCGGTGCCTCAATTCGCGGGATAGGGATTTTTGGCTTATTATTATTATTGCTAAAATAAAGACAGAAAATGATAGATTATCGGACGAGAAAAACGCAATCGTAGAATAACAATGTTCCGTGTTAAAGTGATTGTTATCGAAAATAATATGTGTACTATGCACAACCGTGTCAGACTTCTGAAAAATGCCACATTTTCCAAATGTCTTTTCACAAAATCTTTTCAGGGCTTGAAAAAATGACTTCTATACTGGTTGTTGGAATTTTTCACAGACGGGACATACTATGAAATTACATCTTGCTGAGACTTTATTTTGTCTCAGAAAGTACTGTTTTGAGTTTGAACGCTTTTCTCTCGTGGGTTGAGGTGGTGTTGAGAGATTCACTTGGGTTCCCTTGCCTATCATATAAGATTTTCGTGACCAGGTTCAAATTTCTGTACAAGACAAAATTGCATAGGACTGATGGCTATGAATGCATTGAAACAATTTTACATCATAGTATAGATAAGTTTTACACCAACACGTCGATCATCTTCAAATATCAACAGAAAACCCTAAGACAATTTACAGTTTTCAAGCGACATCAAATAAACTAAAACTGAACATTGTTCAAAAAATGCAGCTAACTTCTCTATGTTTCTTCTCTATTTCAATTGTTGTGCTACTTACAAACATCTAGATAGATTATGTCATACGAATGTCTTACTTGGTTTTATGTTTTGCGATATTGATCAGAAAAATTGGCCTTCTCTGATCCACGGCATTCTTACTGAGAATTTCCAGTGATGGTATGTCGCTTCCCTCTTTTACCTGACACAAAAACACACGTTTTAGAATTATTTACCGCATTTTGCGTCAAAAGGCAAAAGAAAAGGTCCAACGATACTTGCCTACGATGAAATAGATGCTTCATCGTCAATTAACAAAAATATTTATAGTAAAGACTTGGCAACAATAGCAAAACTATTTCTTGGACGAACTGTTTCAAAACGATGGTATTTCTTTATCGTACAGAAGAGGGCTTTGTAACTTATTCATAACTCTTTCCATGCGCCATTGCTTAGTTTGATGGAAACAAAAAAGGCTAAACATAAATAAGGCTACTAAAGGCTTTCTTTGCCTCTGCAGAGGCTTATTTCTTCAAGGATTGAAATTCCTTGAAATCACTTCTTGTACAAATGGTATATAGGGCCCGCACCACAGGGGCCGGGGTGGCCATGGCCCCCTACTTTTTTGCGAAGAAAGAAGTTTTAGAGCTGCAGTAAAAGGGGTAAGAAGTCTTGACCCCCTAATTTTTCTTGCCCCCCCCCCACATTTTCAAATTCGTGGCGCGGGCCTTGGTATAAGATTGTCAGAAGCATTGAAATAAAAACACTACCCTTCCGAGATCATAGAAGCCATCTGTTATGATGTTGTCTGATTTTAGAACTCCGGTTAGGCTGTATTTTGCTGACAGGTTGCTGTCTAGGACTCGTTCCAGAGCAGCCTCGGTAAACGGCGATTTTCTCGAATTTGATTGGTTGAGATCTTGCAATATTGACAGCCCTCTGGAAAACACAAAGACACGTGGTAAATTTAGTCATATTTCACAGAGAAAATAAAACGCGTTAATATATATGATACCTAAAAGTATTATAAAGGTGCAATTTGAACAGGTTTTAATGTACCAGTTACTTCGAGAGGCAAAATCGAAAAGACTTCGGTCGAACTATTTCAGGATAACAGGATCATATATCCCAAGCTGAGAACGCTACAAGGTGCCTATGATGGAAAGAACTTTAGCTGTATACCAACTATGGACTAGACTCGATATAATGCAATAACTTGGTAACTTGAAGTATAGTTACACAGATAAACAATTTCATCACTGTTTCACCTACAGCATACGATCAGTGACATAATTCATGGAACTTAATGAGAATTTGAAGAATCATTAGAAATTAAAACAAATCATTATAAAACCCTGTCTCCTCCTCCATTAACATGAAATTAGCTCTAATCTATGTATTAATCTCATGACAACTGATGACATTTTAGGCCTCGAATTTCAACAAAACGCTTTGAAAACTGATTGAAATGCCATGATGACAAAATTAGTCAATGACACTCTGGATGTGCGATAAATTTATAAAGTTAAAACAATACATAAAAAAGTTCTTCCCACTTTGTGACGTTATTGGCCTCGTATTTATGTTATGTTGGGCATGCGCCCGGTTTGTTATGTTATGTTATGAGCGAGAATACAAAATGGAGTATTGAAGTTCGAGTTGGGGTGTTCTATCCTTGTTATATACCGGATAATCTTACACACTTGCATAATATATTTTGAAAACTAAAAATCTCATAATTACTAGATAGAATAAAATTCCAGTAAAATAAAGTGACAACCTGTTCTTCTTACCCTAACTTTGTGACCTCTGCTGATAATTCGTTGTCAACGCAACACATTGTTAAAGCCCAGGATGCATTGCGGCGAACGCTGTCGTGATTTGACTTGAGTAAATTTATAAGATGCGACAGCCCATTTTCGTTGAAAAGCTAGGGGTATATCATATAAGAAAAATAAATTATTTTTGATATAATTTTATCGATTTAAAAAAACATGCAAAAGAATCAAACCATTAAAGGCAGTCTGTCCCCTATTGTGCTCAATTTTATTTTGACGGGAGTGAAATTCACGCACCGCTGAGCTTGATCGATAATTAAACGATTTAAACCAATCAGAGACAACTTTGATTCCAGAGATTTTCAATCAAATGGCTGTGTTCCCGTTGTAGCTGTGGCTAGAAAAATTGGTTCCCTGTTTGGTTTCTGCGAAAGACATGTCAAAAGGCAAAAAAAGGCTCCCACTATCATCATTCTATCCCAGTAATTAAGACCCCGTTAACAATGTGCCGGATAAATTTTATCCGCATCAAAATTAGTTCAGATTAGCGTCGCGTTTAAACTAGACCCACGCTATCCGCACGAATTTGAGAGAGGCTATCCGAACAGGCTATCCGAAGAGATTAAATTAGTTCGGATAGCTATGTGGTACAGTGTAAACGCTTTTATCCGGATAAATTTTATCCACATTGTATCTTGCTCGAAAGCGATTGGCTATTTCATCCAATTTAGTTTTCACTGTCTCCCAATCAAGACCTTTCGCCATCTTGGCTGCCTTGCTGTCGATATATACTCGTGTTAAAAGTGCAGTATCTTGCCAGTCCACGAAAAATTGGCATCCTTGTCAGCTTTCCCTACTTTCGTTGCTAGTTCAGTGTCATTTTGTTTCAAGAACAAACTATTAAAACAAACTAGGCCTAATTTGTATTGACAGTATCTTTTGATTTCGTCTAAAAGAGAAGCAGATGATTCTGAACAAAGAATGAAGTCTTTTTACGTTGGCGGGAAATTTGTTATTATTTTGTTGCCCAGAAAAGACTTCATTTTGGGTGTTCTTTGCATGATTTAGGTCATGTGACTGCAGTTATCCGGCACAGTGTAAACTGGAGGGCAAAGTGGACAAAATTTGTGTGGCACAGTGTAAACGCAAATCAATCCGAACAAGTTCTATGCGGATAAATTTTATGCGGCACAGTATAAACGGGGTCTAAATCTTCTTGCCATTTCCGTTAGCCTTTTGCTCGCAGTTTCAAATGTCGTCCACTACCGCAGCTATGCCAGCCAAAGCGAGCAGCGTAATCCGTTAAGACGGGATAAGCTATTGTTCACATTAGCCAATCATTGAGCGGACAGATTACTTTTATATGATGAAGCTTGATTATGATTACTATTATGTCAAGTAGCGTCGAGATTGCTATTTAAACTATTTTTGTTTGTAGAGTTTAACTTAATTTAAAGCTCTTGGTTTCATTGATAAACAATTAGAATGAAAATGGCTTTGAAAAAAGCAAACATTTTACGACATACTGTGTATGTCGAATGTCGTAAAACGTACTTAGTATGTCGTAAAATGTTTGCATTTTTCAAAGCCATTTTCAAATTCTGTACCGCAAAAAAATTAGATTAAGTAGAAACTATAGAAACAATCCCTTGAAAGTATTGAAAAGTTATAGTTCGCTGAATTGCACGTGAGTTCCGCTCGTTTGATTGGCAAATCTACTTAAAGCTACTGCAAATTGTAAGGCCAAATATTAAAAAAGGTTCTAACAACAATTAAAGTTTTTCAAATATAGAACTTTTGATGAATTTGAAGAACTTCTGATGGTTCTGGTGAATCTCTGATTCTACGCAGTCTTTACCTGAGTTTGGAACAACCTTGAATAAAAACATTGAATCTGATCTGCAATATCAACACTTGACAATAGATTTAACAATGGCAGGTTACCTCGCTTCTCGCATCGTTGTCACAAAGCAAAGCAGAGAGAAGATGGCAGGCCTTGTTCTGAACATCTGTGTCACTAAAGAAAAAACAACTTTTGGTTAACTTTTACTGGCTCTTACTTCACAAACTATTGCAAAACATTCCAATAATTCATTTACCTCATCCTTTGGTTTATGTTATTGAAATTGCAAATTTACAATTTAAAAAAGTTGTGACAACAGTTTGAGTTGAGGTTAAAAAATGACAGGCAAATGGTCCTCAAAAGTGCCACATTTTAAGCTCAGAACCGACTAAGTTATGGCCTTAGAGTGAACCAAACATATCGTTTGCCCATTGATGCGTTTAGGAAAGGAAGACAAGCTCACTTGGATTGCATCGCAATGACGAGACCAGATATGACGCCGAGTCGTAGCATGTCTGACCTCCATGACTCTAAAACAGATTTACAAATAATATGATTAGTGGAACGTATACCAAGTCCAATCGGATACCAGGGAAGCGAAAGAAGGGCCGGGGCACAGTCTCTTTACAACGTTATGCTTCATAACGATTCATTAAATCATAGTTGTTTTTGGCATATACTTGAATCTTCCCTCCACCAGCCCAAATTATGTTCTGCAATTACCCGAGTCAAGTCAAATCCTTCATTTTTGTTAAAAAAAATTGAGTAACATTTGTCAACTTAATTATTTATATTTTGACAGAGCTTATATTTTGTCACTGGCAGTTCACTCCATTATCAATAATTCCTACTTTAATACGCAAAATAAAATTAATTTAGCAGTTGAAAAGATTATTGAATTGCAAAGTTCATTACATCAGTGTTTACAGTGTTAGAAATTCTACAGGTGGCCTATGACGCATGAAAAGCGAGCAGAGAAAAGACATTAAAATAAGATTCTATTATATCTGAAATGTAAAATAACATCTTAAGGATTTTATTGTTTCAGAATAAAAGACTAAGAAGGAAGTCGGTCTGTTCCAGAGCACGGGCTTGGGAATTTTGACAGTTTTAATCAGATTGAATTCATTTGTTTTGAGCGATCTTTAGTTATATTAATGCTTTAGATTCAAATGTAAAGAAACCTCACCATCCTGGGCAAGATTTGTCAAGCATACGGCTGCATATCCCTGCAATGATGGTTTGTTGTCTGGTAACAGTTTAATCAGCGCGTCTAAACCACCCTTTTCAACAATTTCGCTGAAACGTAAAGAAAAATAAATGGTAAACAAGATGTAAGAATTCTCTTATAAAAGCAATCTGAGCCTGGTTTAAATGCCATCATCCGAATGACTAGTTAGTTGGTGATGAAGAAACATTTATATTTAATTACAATGTAAACTGATTTCCAAATCACTTTTAACATCTATAAGGAAATGACTGTAGATTTGCACTACCATGCAGGATTCACTACTAAAATTGTTTATTTTTTCCGGAAGTTAATATTCACATCTTGAAATTTGCATTGATACATCATATTTTTGGGGTTAAATATCATCTACGAGCCTCAAAATTCCTTTGATGTGAATCACACATGTATTCCTTTTTCTCTAGGTACAGGAAATGCAATAAAGGCTTAACTGGTTTTCATTTGAATGAGGTATATCAACCAGCAGATAAGCTTTTAAAATTAGGAGTTGATCTTTTAAACCCAATATGAGCCATGACTTTGATAATCATGAGGTGGTCTTGTCACGATTAGCGCCATGTTAAAGCTGTTTTCTGTTGCTTGCTTTGGGGACAGAGATTTTGACGTTAAAGGCAATCTGTCACGACGTTGATTGATTATAAGAATAAAGGGATTTTTTATTCTTTCCAGTCCCCCTTTAATTTACCGCATTGTAAAAAATATGACGGAGCGCTAGAATCGTGTTTAGGCTATTGTTCCAGCTATTGTTCTTGTTAACCAATCCACAACGAGACAGATTGCCTTTAAAGAAAAGAGGCAACTCACGTGCAATTGTTGGCATTTCCAGAGCTGAGATTCGCCAATGCTAAAGAAACAGCCTCTTTCAAATCGGCAGAGTCAGTCTTCAGCATGCCAATCAATGTTGGAATCCCCTCTAAAAAAACAATCAAATTAGATAGATGATACCGTGCAATAGAAGAAAAGTCCCTGGAAAAGTTGGAAACGATGTGATTGGGTGTCGTGGTTAACGAATTCTATGGAAGGGGCACGAAACAAGACTGCTTTACAGGTAAATGCTATTGCAAAAGACGAGAATCAGGAAAAGTGTTGGTCGGTACCATAGTCAAGTGTGTCACTCTAGGTATCAAAACCACAAAAATGCGTGCTCAAAAATAAAAAAGAGGAGCGCAAAAGCGGAGGAGCTTATAGCCAAAAAAGAAAGTCTTAAAGCGGAGGAGCTTAAAGCCGTAATTTAAACCCTTGGCCTTTAAGCACTGTTGAAGTTACAATAACGCAATAGTTGTAATTAACGGATAATCACAGTATTTAGGATCAAACAATAGGTAAAACTCGGAGCTGTAATTTAGGACCAACCAGCTCTACACAGTGAGGCGTGTACAATACAGGCCTGTGTTCACAATATTACAATGCACCCAGCGTTTTATAACAGACTAGTACAGTGTACAACCACACAATCGTACATTTTGGGTATAAAATCCCCTATTAAGTCACTAAAGCTTCTAAATCTAATGCAAATCCTGGACACATACCGAGTTTTCCAATGTAATCTCTGCTACTTAGGTTTTCGGACATCGCAGCCAAGGCCTTCGCAGCGGCCATACTGACCTCAGCGCTCTGAAAAATAAATTTAACGATTGCAAGCTGATTACAGAAACAAGACGAAACAAACTTAGTAGATCATGGGACTAGTTATAACGACCAAAAAAACGTTAATGGTGATCTGCTACACACAGAAATGGCAAATATAAGCGGAAAGAGAGTGGAAAGGCCCCGCAAACTAATGTTGACCCCGTTATGGTTAACCCGCATTGAGCTAGCAAAGATGATTGGCGCCAGGTTTTTAGTGGAGTCACTCGGTGCAGATCTTGTGCGATCAGGGGGTAAAATCACGAAACTTTGCACACACAAAATTTATGTAACAAAGAAAAGATCTGGCTTTGGAACCACCCCAAAAACAAGTGCTGGTGAATTTTACGGTATCTAAACAAATCATCATGGAGGATTGAGATCTTATATAAAAAAGTGATTGTCAGAAATACTTTAATATATAAAAAAGAAAAAAAAATTATGATAAATAAATGTTCTTGACTCTGACAAAGCATTAGAAGAATGCTATTCAAGTCACACAAGAGCACGTACTCTTGAAATTCAGGCGATCAAAGATGCAGATCCAATATGGCAGAAATAAATAAAATTGGCGGAAACAAACCTCTCCGGTTAGCAACGTAATGAGCGTCTTTTCTGTCTCTTGTTCATGGAAAATGCGTCGGTTGTCCTCTGAAAGAATGAAATCGGTTGGCACTTGAATGAAAGGATGCCGAAAAAATGGATGCAACAGGGATGTTAAGAGGTGAAGAAGAACCAAAACAGATGACGATTGACATCGCACTATGGATAGCCATGGATCTTAAAAGCCCTGTCGATTTTACAAATCGACTCGCGTAGATGATTTTTTAATGAAAAAGATCTCCATTCAGGCGTGATTTTTATTCTTTCCATGCAAAATCTTTACACCCAGTCACCGAGTGAAAAATACAAATTATGCTTTTTTCACACGCGTCGCTGAACTAAACAACGCATTATGATATTAATGAAAATGCTTCGATTTTATTGTTACAGGCAGAGAATTTGCAGTTCTCTTCGTTAGAACAATTAATAAGATAATAGACCTTTCTTTTACCACTAAATATTCTGAATCTTTCGGCCTTCTCCTAAATGTAGTATAAATCAGAGGCAGATTGACTAATGGGATTCTTATCAAGCTGCCAGAGTTAAGCGCATTAACTACAGATTTTTAAATCGTTGAGTGCCAGTACTTACCACTTTTGCAGCAAGCTGCAATGACAGTCGCCTATTAAAACGAGAGAGAGACAGATGCATAATGGTGAAACTAAACGGAGGATCAGTAGAATCATCGGCATCAAGGACTGAGGTACAGGGGAGCCAGGGGCCTGGCGCCCCCCCCTTAAAACTTTAGTATCATTAGCAAAATACTTTTATGTATTTAAAAATGGCATTTGTTACACAAATTTATCAGGGCTGTTTACCCCCCCCCCCCTCCCCCAAAAAAACGAAAAACTGTATCTCTGTTCTTGATCGGTATAACACATGATTAAAACAAGATCGTCAATCTAAAATGAAGGATTCAAAATGCAATCAATGGTTACTATGATTCCTTGTTAAGTTATGGATCCATAATTTTTTTTGATAAACCAAGATCACACCCGACTGATCAATTGACTAGACATCATTAGAAGATTTACTGTACATAGTTCTTGAGCAACAAGCAGGGACGCCGGAGAATATTATATATGAAACAATGTACGAAATAAGATGAATAATATGCATATGAATAAACTGGACATTTAGTCTAAAAGATAGTTCATTAACATACTGCAAACTTCTGCACTTCTGTGTTTGTAGATTCTGCGATGAAAGCCAGGAGTTTACTGAAAACTCCAGTACTTTGAACATGCTATGGGCAAAGAGAGAAATAATCAAATATACGGTTTTTTACATTTTATAGGAAGGTAATGAGAAAAAGCTTAAGGTCCTAAGAGAAACTATAGGAGGGGAAAAGGAAAAAGTATGAAGAAAGAAAAAGAAAGGGGTTTGTTTATACAGTGGTTGGAAACGGGCACAGCATTGGAAAATTAGAAAACATGAAGGAGCATACAATATAATGCACAATTTTCTATAATTTTTTGTCTTTCTTCCCAACTTCCAACATGCTTTTGACCATCAGGTTTGTCTTAGCCTTGTAACAAATTATTATCGCTTTTTGAACAGCTTTTGTGGATAATAACTATGTTGACGAGCGATTTGAAAGAGCGTTTTATTAATGACACAAGCCAGAAAATAGAAGCATGTATAACATAAAAAGGCATAGAATATGGAATAAACTGTTATGAGAGATGAGAGAAACTGTTTAGAGAAACAACAGAAAATGAATGAATATCTAAACGCTAACCTGGACACTCTCAATATCTTTAAGGCAATTTGATAAGACTTGCAGGCACAAAACGTGCAGATCTTCAAACTCCTAAAATATAATATATTTCTTAGCATTTGAAAAATATACAAATCCGTAAAGAACTGTCCATCATTATCTGTATCAAAGCATGATTTTTCAACTTCGTATTACAACTATTTGGACTTAAAAAATAGCATTTCAATATATATCAAATGGGCTAGAAAAGCAAGGAAAGAATCTACAAATCAGGGATGAAGGGCGGAGAAAGAAAGAGGTAGGCGCTCAAACAAGGTAAGGCTCTCCATTCCCTTTGTAAAACGAAATGCCTTTGTTTACTGTCATACCTTTTTACCAATTACATCAACCAGTTTGTCCATTCCCCCAAGATCTCTAATGGCAATTCGGTTTTCCGCTAAAAGAAACTTTCTGGGTTGAAACTTTATCACACAATACAAACTTTGCTTGCAGTTAAGGGGTAAAGTGAAGCTTAATTAAAATGCACTTCAGGGCCTCCGATGAAGGGGGGGCGGGGGGAACCATGGCCCCTCACTTCTTTGCAAAACAATAGAGCTATTTTTAAAAACCTTTGTTGTGATTGTTATATTTTCTCTTGGCCTAAGATGCCTAAGAAGAGACTTATATCCCGCCCCCCTCTTTGAACTGAATTATGAAATAAATCCTAGGGTACTTCTTTAGAAGAAGCTTATGTATTACTTAAACCTTTTAAGAAATAGCAGCAGTGTCTATCAAAGTAATATTATTGACTGAGTATACAATACACTCCTTTTAAAATACTATTGTTCTTTATTCTCTAAGCTCATTAAAGCTGTAAAACAATTCATTCAAGTCAAATGGAGACACATTTTTAAGGAACAATCGCCAAGTACTGTCTAAGTGACGACTATATCTGTCATCTCCTTGAACCAATCCTTTTAATTCTCAAAGCTGCTAGCGGATCTGGATAACTTGATATTTTGAATATATGATAATTCTTAACTCAGTTAGCATTATTCAGAGACCATATTGCAAAATAGCATCTAAAACCAGTAAAAAATAACATGCATAAAAAGCGTACTGTCCATAGAAGCTCTGTTCAAGGTATGGAGGGCGAGTTCCTGAATCACTGGGTAATCCGAATCAAGCAGCTTCAAAACAGGCTCAATACCTATAAAGAAAATTGCATAAAGCAAGGTAATATATTCATGTGCGATGATAAATTGGTGTTATACAATGTTAAAAATGCTACACACTTTTAAAAAATATCGAGACTCAAAATTGGTGAAAATTAGCAATTTATCTTAATCAGCCCTAAGAGCACGCAGGAGAAGTTTACTTGCAGAACACTTATCAAGTTTGAGGTGTGGTATGATATTTAATTTCTTACAATGTTTTTGTGATGAAGGAATACAGTAGCAAAAGCTCGAAAAGTCTTCTAAAAGAATTTTTAAGAAAATTTAGGCTAAGCAACAAGTTGAGGTATTCTCGGCCACGAGAGCAAAGATAATTCGCTGATAGGGTTGTGGACTCCATGATATCTGGCCATTTCACGTGCAAATAAGCAATATTACGCGTAAATCGACTCGCGTAGATGATTTTTTAATGAAAAAGCTTTCCATTCAGGCGTGATTTTCATTCTTTCCATGCAAAATCTTTACACCCAGTCACTGAGTGAAAAATACAAATCATGCTTTTTTCACATGCGTCGCTGAACTAAACAACGCATTTTGATATCTATGAAAATGCTTCCATTTTATTGTTATAGGCAGAGAATTGGCAGTTCTCCGTTCCATATCAACATCAAGTTCAGCAGTTGCTATTCACATCACGTTTAGAATAGGGACAGAGTTTCCTTAGCTATAGCTTGATATCCGTTAGATTGAATATTGATAACACAATAACACATGCTGATTTTTGACCAAGGTAGCAAAATTGAAGAAGAAAAGTAATTTTACATCAGAAATATATCAACCAAGGACTATGTTAAAATGCTATTATGGACAGGTCAAATATTAGCCACTCTAGAACGGGGTATATTATGTATTATCATAAAATAAGGGCTGTAAGTCGAACTAAAAGAACGAACATTATTAAATGGTGAATGGCGAAAATTACGAAAATTACGAAAAGCCTTTTGAAAATATAACTTCACCACTTACGCGAGTAAGAGGACCACCAGAACAGCCTCGTGAGGCAACACCCTTTCAGATATCCTAACAACCCCTTGACACCCCCTTTGAGTTTCCTTACACCCCCTTTGAGCTTCCTTGCACTCCATTGATCCTAGCTTTTTAAAAAAATAAAAATTATAAAGAGAGACGTTAAATAACAGCAAGTTGTTACCATTCAGCTCCTGGAATGCAGCGCGGCTTTGGTAGTCTTGTAACAGCAGGGCTATCGCTTGTATCGAGTTTCTCTACAGTTTCAAAAAACATTTCATTAATCATATACTACAAAAATCCATTACAATTACAGACATATTACAGACAACGTCGCATATTGCAGAAGACATATTGCAGACAAAGAAGTCGTTTACGATTCTGATCGTTATTTCAACTTTACCAAGGGGTAGAAGTGTGCTAAAAATTGAATGATGAAATTCTATGGTAGAGAATACCTTTTCATAAGTGAAAGTTCTGTTGAAGAGATCCCAGAATAAGGTGTTCGAAAATCTTTTAAAGTACATTCCCTGTTCATTCTGACCTCAGATAACTTTCTACAGGCTCTATAGCTCGCGAGGATTTGCCAAAATGCGGACAAATTTCGAAGTGGAGAAATTATCTTGAAAGGTAGGGGGGCGTTGAAGTTAGATTGTCCAAGTAAAAGTTGATGGTCCAATCTCAGGCTTGAAAGAAATCATCGGGGAAAGAAAAAGTGGAACGGTAAAAGCTGGATTGAGAGAGTGCTGGATTTACTGCACATCTCCTAGAGTTTAAAGAAGAACAATAACTATATTATAAGACCGATTTCTCAACACAGTCACTATTTTCCAACAATCATAGCAAAGAAGCGTTGCATTGTAAAATACTCGTCATTCACATTACTGGCCAATAAAAAACAATTGGCAAAGTTTTTATACCCTCTAAAACAACTCACAGAGCGGGTGTTATTACTAACTGAGCTGATTACCGTAGCTATCGAGCTCAAGGCAGAATGAATCTCAACTGTAATTACAATGACAATTGGGCCAAAAATTTTTATCAAATGAAATCACACCTACCTGCACATCGCAGTCTGAAGAAGACAGCAAATTTATTAGGGGTTCAAGGCCACCTTTCTCAAATATTTCGACTTTGCTTGCAAACTCCTCTGAAAACAAAAATTTCGTTGTTGATAGGGTTGGTGAAAAAAATCACAAAATAAAAAGGTGCCAACACAAGTCCTTTTTACAAATTTCATTTTGCATAGATCAGTCTTGGCACCAAAGGAATCTGCCTGAGAGATTACTCATATCTCGAATTACTCACACATTGCTAACATATTTTTGCAGAGATATATTTTGAACACGTGACGCCACAGGGGAGGTGATTCCCCTTCCTTGTGCATAAGATGTTGGAGTCCTTTATGGCCTAGCACTTCTCTAAACCACTGTCTATACTCATAGACTACACAGAAAGTACCTTGATGCAGGGAGACTGGTCTTAATGATATATAGCGTTTATAAAAGTCTAATAAGCATACTAAAAAAGGCAAATATATAATGGGGCCTACCTGCCATAGATGCCATTGCAAGACTGCTAAATTCATGGCACAAGACGTCTTCTGAAAAAGCAGATAGTATTTTTAAAGATTTCTTCTTTCATGATAAAACTCAAAAAATGCCTCAATTTAGATAGGATTAGAACAAAGAAGGTTGAATAAGAACAAGTAATATAAACTTGAAAATATATCCAATACAGCAGCTCTGCTTCACTTAAAATATTTTGCATATGATGTTTAAATTTTGAGAAACAAACTTTTTCTTTCTTGAAATTACATAAGGAAACTTCTTTGCTTCAAATCTTGAAGGCAAGTACCATATAACCTTGAATAAGCACCCAAGCTCGAATTAGCCCCCCCCCCCCCCTCAAATAAAACCCACCTAAAAATTCATTTTTGCGAATAAGCACTTGGGGCTTATTTGAGGATTTACGGTAGATGAATTGACAAATGAAACAATCATTTTAACTATTTTAAGTGAATGACCTGAGCTCAAAGGCTGATGTTAACAATAATATTCAGTTCACTTCCATGCATTCACCTATATGCCGCGGTGATGGTTGATCAAAGGGTAGCTGGCATAAAATCAAAAAATCATAATTCTGTTGGATAATGGTCAAACCTATTTAGGACACAGCAGGAAACACTTGGAGATCTCCACTTTCAACAACAGGTCATTCACTTTAAACTCTTTGCAAAAAAGACAGAAATAATTGCCAAAAAACATGACAATTTCTTGCAGACATTTCCTCAAAATTAATCTTATTGAAAGTCCTGATTAAGTATTGACTGCAATGATTAAAATTATTGGTTCGGATTCCACAACAATGATATCAAGTTATTACTCAACAGATAAAAATTCGCCTGATGAGCACAAAATGGGAAAATTATTTGAATGAAACAGCATTACAAACAACTCACCCTCTGGGCCAAGCAGAGCTATAAGTGATTGAATGCAGTCAAGGTTTCTGAGTGATTTCCTTACAATACCTAAAATGATTCAATGTATCCAGCATTAGATAAAAATCTTTTATCACGATAAGCCATCATAAAAAAGTTGAAGCTCAGCTCAAAAAGCTCAAGTCTAACAAACACTAAAGAGGAAAGTGCAATGAATTTTTACAAATAATTAGATTGCACACTGAAAAGAAAAATATAAATTCCATTATATCCTTGTATCTAAAATATTTTTTGTTACTAGGAGAGATTTTTGGAGTTAGAGATTGTTAGGGAGATGTTGTTGTAAATCAATCATCATCATTATCATCATCATCATAAAATTTATTTATGTCTCAGTACATTTAGCATGATTGCTAATTTGGGACACAATATAAACTATTGCTTCAAATGAAAACAAAGAAGACAATTTGTTTTACAATACAGACATAATACATCAATTGTTCTTAAACAATAGTGTCTACCCGATGGACACCCAAAAATTTTTTGTACATTTTAGCATGTATTGTTATTGGTCAAAAGATGCATAGAGGTTGTGTCCTATAGACACATAAAATAAAAAATTGTATAGACAATATTGTTTGTTGTACAAAGCAAACAAAGTTGTACAAAGTTAGACTGATCTGTACAGGCTGAAATACATCAAAGTTTGCTTCCATAACTTCAAAGCATATGATTATAGCTTCCTGATCAGAAACCACAAGTGATAAAAAACAAACTGATGTGCAGGTTCAAATTAACTGTTTTTAACTCTTTTCATTGTACTTTTACGAGTTTTTGGTGTTTGCAATGTGATTTTCCCATGGAGAAAACAAATAAGACCCTGTCACCAGTTTTAGCAAAGACAGATCTCTGATTATCTCTGCAGTAAGAGCTCTCTGATACAAATCTTTGAAATAATATGAACCAAAATCCTAGCTGGAAAACAATTCATACAAAAGAATGGAATAACTCTTAGAGCCTAGAGACAACAATGTTAATAAAGTACCAACAATCTTGGCAAACATTGCTGAGACACTTGCAAAAAAAGAAGCTACTAACAAATCATCCGCCTCCCTTTCCCTCAAATCAAAATAGTAATCCCAATTTATTCCATAACCATCTTAACCAACATTGACCCTGTGGGGAGGGGTTTAGGTGACCAGGACATATAATATGAAGATATAGCATGCAAATTTCTCTTTTTGTTCAAATGTCTCAGCTATTTTTTGCCAAGGTTGAAGTTCTCAAATTTCTTCTAAAAATAAAAATGGTTCCACAACACTGTAAGGCTGGGAATTAAAAAGGCTTACTATTAGTTGCCATTGAGCCAATGGCCATAGTAGCATTTCTTTTCACAGTTTTGTCTTCGTGCAATATGAGCTTTAGCAAGTAATCAAGGGCACCAAGGTTCAAAAGCTGTTCTTTGTTTTCATCACCTATGTAATGAAACTGGGTTATTCAAATGATTTTAGACCACTTTTCAATACTCTTTTGTACAGCCATTTATCAAGTACTAAAAATAGACGGATAATTAAAGAATACTAAAGACTTTAAACGAGGAACATGATAAAATAATTCAGAGTGAATCAAAAAGTCTGCCTCTCTTTCTGTGTACAGGGTGGTCAGCAAGCACTATAAATATAAGTAGTAAAAATGTAGTTGTTTTCTTTGAGTTAACATAGCTCTAGATACATTTTCTTTGCTTCTTTTGACTGTTTATTTCAAAATTAACATTCAAAATCGATGAGATTAAAAAAAGTAGACAAAAATACCTATAAGCCTAACTACTGGCAATTTTCACAAGACTTTGAATATAACTATTTCAAAGACACTTACATTTTTCAGAAAATTTAAAAAGTGCTTCACACGCTCTCTGAAGAACCCCATCTTCGGGAGAAGCAAGCATCAGAACAACCGTTTGTGCCTTCTTTGTCGTAAGATCCAGTGGATCAAACTAAAAAATGAAGAAAAAGATAAATTTGATGTTTTTTTATCTACATTAATTTTAATAAAAATGAGAATAAGCATTTCTTGTTTGTCTTCCTAAAGTTGTTGCTTGCTGCTGGGATAACCTTGCAAGGTTTGGAGCCATAAAAAGGGGCCTTAAATTTTAGAAACAAATGAGCCCTAAAAAATGGGCCTAAAAATTATAAAAGCGCAATGGCTCATATGTTTGCATGCTAAAATACTTCAACGTTACCTCGTCTTTCGGGGGAGCTTCTTGCTCCTTTCCTTTCTTCTTTCCCATGTTTTACCTGATTCTTTTGAGCTTTTCAATTATATATGAGTAAAATAGAAGACTTTTTGAAAGCAACCGTGATCATTTGATTTCCTCTCCAACAGTTGCCATGACAATTTTATGACAATCTCTTAGTGAATACGAGACGATATATCTTTATGGAAAGTGATCAATAAACCATAGAATAGGTCAAGTGTGAAAAATATCCCATGCACTCATAATGAACTGTGACTGGACGAGAGTGGCTTTCTCAAAATTAAATTTTGTGAGGGTTCGTAGACACAAGGACAACTCAAAAATACCATTAATTACCCATGACGGCAAAAACTAAATCATCAGATGACCAAAAAACTTTTTAAATAATTATATTTAATTATGTATTATATATAAAGATTCACAAAAGGATCAAGAGCGCTATTCTCATCCCATGACAACAGAAAAGATGACTCCAAAATTAAACCAAACCAACGTCCAGAAGAACTTTCCAGAGCTATTGTAAGCCCTTTTACAAAATTACCAAGAAAAGTCAAAGAAGTAAATGCAAAGTCCAAGATGTACCACGGTTAGTACCACTTATCGTCTGTGTACCACTTAAAATCAACGCCCTCGGTAACTTTTGAACAAGCATTCAAAAAGGTTTTTATACAAAAGGCTGTCAAATTGAAACTATTTGATCTATTCTTACTACTTTGATCTATACTTTTTTCAGATATTTTAAAAGCATTTGATACAATCCAACGGGCAACACTAATTAATACTTTGGAAAATGTATCTAAAAAAATAATCAGGTTTTTGTGTTGAAACACTTTTTTCCTAGTAGCGTATTGCATTTCTTCATCAACAGTGTTATTTTGAATGTTACAAAAGGAAAAAGGACGGGAACAAACATTTTTACATTCTCAAAAACCTTTTAATCGAGATAGAAACGTACATAACATCTAAATCGACTCAAAGTTAGTTTCTGTCAAAAAATTGTCAAAAGAACTACAAATTGTCAATAAGCCCCCCTCGAATAAGTCCCCACTGCTACCGTAAATTCACAAATTGGATCCCTCAATTTGATGATTTTTGCCATCTGAGGTTGCCTATGGCGTTCTATTGAATTCATACTTTGTTAGTAATTAATTAAATGTTCATAAAGAAATTTTTGCAAAAATAAACGAGGTCTTTTAATAATGTCTTTTTAATTTCTACAATAATTTTATAAGCCCACCCCCTCGCATAAGCCCTCCTCGAATAGGCCCCCATTCAAAAATATCGGTAAAGGGGCTACAAAAAGTATGCGGACAAAGTATTCAAGGTGTTTGTTTTTACATATTGTTGAACCTAAAATAAATGCAACTAAGAATTCCAAGAATACATACCAATAAGAGAAGAAATATCATTTAATTGTGCACACATAAGGAATATCTTTTCATTTACCATTGTGAATTGCAGCAGATTCCGTAGAAGGCAAATTTAGAAACTTATCGATAAACTGAAATAAGGGCACACCTTCGGACAAATCCAAAATTCACGTGCATCTGCTTTTGTAATTTACTGAACTGAAATAACCAAACTGGAAATATCTGTTGCTATTATAGGAAATTTAAAACCATGAAAATCTGTACAATTTCAATTGGGATTAGATTTAATCTCCGTTGGTCTTGACATTCGAAGCCGAATGCCTCATTTCGCTAATTTCTTCGGCCAAAACGAAGCATTAACTTTCCAAATTTCCAACACTAGATTCTATAGTAAAAACCACTAAAAATTCTTTGTGGGAAAATGGTCTTGAAAAATAGCATTCAAGTTGAAACAAATTGCTACATCAGGTTTCCATCTTCGAAAACAAATGAATAATTGGTGAATTATCTCATTGACTAAGCTGAAGGATTCAACGCTAAAGCATTTTTGCCCTAATATGCCATAGCATAACAGAAAAAAGCGATTTGTTCACAATATACATGCCAGAGGATCATTTAGCATACAAGCTAATTGAGAAAGGTCTTTTGATTTCCCTGTTAGAAATAGTTGCTGATTGTAAAGGGCCTTTTTCCCTTTTAATAGGGATAACTTGTGTTAAGTATACTCTTTTCCAGCAACCTATGGTACAAAATTCTCTTTTGATGACAACTACATTCTTTTTAACGTTGAAAATATTCCCGTGTATTGCATTACTCGAGAGAAATATAATCACTGAATCAGGGTAGCCATGGCAACAGTAAGAATATCCTGTGCCTCCTTCGTCCAGCCTCGGACAACTGAGATCAGCGTCTTAGACAAACTTGTTCATATGCAAATGAAAGCTGGGAGTTGGATATCAGGTTAAGTCGTCTTGAAAATGAAAAATAATAATGAGGTCGTGCAAAACCTGAATGCCAAGCAGTTCCTTTAAAGTAAGATTGAGAGAGTTCTTGAGGTATAGCGACGTAAACGACGGAAAATTGTTATACTTCTTTTAATTAATGTTTTAGCTATTTCTTTGTAAACTGATAGGGTGTTGTGCGTAAACAAAAATAAACAAACAACAAACAAACACACAATGAAAATATCAATGTTTTAAACTGCAACATCCTTTTTGTGTTTTGATTTATATGTTGGTACGGTTATCTTAGAATGCTTGTAAAGTTAAATTGTAGATGAAATGATCTTGAAAATCTTCAAAAAGCTACAAAATGACTTGTTAGTTTGACAACCATGCTTGTAGATGATTTTTATAAGTCCCTCTTGAATAAGTCCTTTCGAATAAACTCCCATGTAAAAAGTGCCTGATTTACTAACGTGGCTAATTCACGGGGCTAATTCAAAGATTTATAGTTTGCAGTTAAAGAAAAACCGAACAACATCGAACAACAACTCGAGCCACACCACAAATGATGGAAAATAGGAAAATCGAATCTCAGCTAAACAAATCTGGTTCTTTTAAGAAGGAGTGTATGGGTGTGTAACTTAGAAAAAAGAAATTGAACTTACCGCGTACTTTGACGGCGGTCTCAGCATTATGGTCTCTTGGCTCCTCCAATAGTTCAAGACGAAATGTTCCAAGCAGGGTTTTGGCAAACACGTGTTTTGTACATTTGTTAGTTAGATTGCTATTTCAGACTAATCTAACGTATTATGTCCACATATGATGAAGTCATATTCCTAATGGATGTAAGTCTGATAAACGCCGACGAAACTGGTGTAGAATCATAGAAACAACGACATGAGGTCGATGTCAAGAGAAAAATACGAAACCTTAACATGAAACATAATAGCACAGACTTGAAAGTATTCTTTTCACAGACGTCTTGCGGTAAATATAATGCCTCGTACGGCGAAGACATGGGTTTGAAAAAGATTTGAAATGGGGAATATTCCACATTTCTTGCAAATCTCCTGATGTTACAAATGAAGTAAGCGATAATTATGGTTGCTTTCAATGAAAAATTAATGACCAACCTTGCGTGATCAAAAAAACAGTTTGTTTATCGAGCTCCATCACGTATATGGCGAAATGCAACAGAAAGAAAACTGCGGTTAAACACGATAATGCTTGTGCACCTGTTTAAAAGGGGATGCAATGCTTCTCGTGGGGACAAAGCCAATATTTGGAGCAATGAATTAGAAAATGGCAGTTACCAAACATTTGTCTGAATGGCAAGGACTTCAACTGTTTGCATCTACTTTGCTAATTCACTGAAAATTACGGAAAATTTTCTTGACTTTTCTTGGGTTCAAGTACGCTCTTCGACATAGAATGATGAGAAATATTCCAAGAAAATCATCTGTTTTGGTAGACGATCTATGGGTTGCCATTCCTTAATAACTTGAATGTATCTTATGGAAATCACAGTGAAAGCAATCAGTGGAACAGCTGATTTAATTTTGTGTTCCTCAGCGATCCGGAGACTGCTACCGTCAGTCCTTCAGGCAATATGTTTGTGTCTACAGAAAACAAGTGTTGAAGCATCGTATTTCTGGTTAACTTGAGAGCTTAAGACCCAGTTAACAATGAGTTCAATCGTTGTAAGATTGATCAATGCCCAGAATATGCATTTCTAAAAATAATGCATTCCTAGGCGTGGTCTAAGAATCAAACGTCATCAGCTTGCAGTCCCTTTTGGAATTCTTCCCGCTTCAAATCAATGACAAAGAAAATGTATTACGATCGACAAGGTTCTTGAAGGGTTGAAACCCCCAGTAACTTGACGATACTCTTCGGTATCAAGCAAAAGAGTTAACGTTCTTGAAGCATTATTCTACGCAAAAATGAAAAAAATTTGCTTTGAAGGTAAATTCTCCAAGGAACAAAAACCATTAAAAGGACTCCCATAGGACTCGCTATTGACCCCCCTTGCTATTGGGCCCTTTCATTTTTATCAACGATGTCTATTAAACTGTAATGTATGCAGACGCCATCATAAGATTCTGACTTGGAAAGCAAAGTTGAGACGACACTAAGGATGTCGAGGTAAAATATCAGCACATAATTAGAAATACTATTATATCATCGTTTTCATGTTTTTCTCGACATGATGCGGTATTCCTCGTCTCTTTTTTAAAACTCTCCTTATTTGAACCATCTTAACACTAACAAAACAAAGTCGCTTTTTGAATCAGAAATTTGAAGAATCAACAACAGAAAAGGGAAGCATGTTTAACGGATAAAAATTATGACCATCAGGAATACTTGCATGGAAGATGTACTGGTGATGCATAAACTTACAAAAAACATAAAAACATGTTACATGGTTCTACATTGAATATACATTGCGTTTCAAAGACGATTAAAGACATAATAAAGCCATTACATGATACTTAAACGAACTACTTGCTGCAATGGCAGCACCATTAGACTTTGTCAAGGTAATAGGTAGAGGGAAAATTCGGCTCTTGGGAAAACCGGGCTAAGGTTAGAAATACCGATTTGATCGGTATAACTGGTTTGGCCGCTGTCGGAAAATTTGAGATCTAAATTCGAAAATACTGTTCAGTCAGGAGAGATACGAAACATGAAACACAAGGCATTGGGAACGGCGGTAAAGGGCGTCTGTCTTTGAAGAAGAGAATTATTGACCCAGAATTATGAAAATTGAAAGTACCGAGCCTCCACAAAAGAGGAGAAGTATACAAGAATACGATGAGCGTGCTGCAGTACTTTTGGTGGACATTAGACTGATCACGAGGCGACCTCGTATTCATTTCGCAAACAGGTTGAAACTACAGTGATAACATAGATGACATTTTAAAGCGTATGTGTCACATGATAAAAGAAAAATACAATAAGGACATTCAAAAAGCTACTAACAACAACAGCAACAACATAATTAGCAATAACAACGATAGGCTAGCCTTTGTTTTCTTAAAAAACACATAACATTAAGTTATACAGTACAACAAACAATGAGTAATAAAATGATACACTGAAATGATTATAAGCTGTTACAGCCATTGGGAGTATAAGCATAAGAGTTTAAACCGCAAGCGTAGATACGGACGTTCTACGTGTGGCAATAAAATTCATTTGATACATTATATGCTAGATAAATATTGAAAGCATACTCATTATTAAATCAAATAAAACGATTCAAACCCCGTTAGATATATTGCCGTTGGTGCCATTTGAAATGCCATTTGAAATGCCATTTGAAATGCCATTACTGAGATGCTCTTCCACAGGTTTTTGGGCAAAAATTGTAATACTTTGGCCAATGCGCCTGCGAGTAGCGTCAGTTTCTTCATAGTACTGATGCAAAATTCCCTCTTGTTTCATCTCTTCCACTTTGGCAATGGCCTCTTTCAGCTCATCGTCATCGACAAGACCCCATATTGAATCAATACACCTCCATTCTGGGCTAAGTGGGCCCTCGATATTCGAGTACTGATCTTTAAGAATCAGACAGCTGTCAGGCCTTGAGATGAATGACACATTGCAGTAGCCTGTAAACATAAAATTGTATTCGTTTTCTCATACAAGGCACTGTAGGCATTGTGGCTTACAAAAAAGGAACGAATTGAAATGGTCCAAGTGACGTTACATGTTGAAATTACAATCTTAGAAGGAGTGTCTTGCTACCACAAGTTCCCTTGACTTATACCAACTATATGATTGGACAACTAAGAAGAATATCACAACGAATCAGATTTGACGTCTGCCTAGAACACAATTCCACCTTTGCTATTATGGTCATATTAATGCCTTCTAGCCTAGTCCAGATTCAAATATATGCTTGAGCGCATTTCCCTCATAAAAGCCATTTGACGGAGGAGAGAACAGGTAGGACAGAGAACGGCCAAGAATTTTAAGTGACGTCATTTTGACTTGAATTTCGATTGAAAGCCAATTCGGGCAGTGTGCATTATGTATTTCACTAGGCAGGAAAAACCTTTGGAAAACGATGTTTCAAACAACCGAGTGCAAAATGAGGTTCAAATATACAGACCTGCTTTCCTTAGTTCCTCGAACATCATTCCCTCTGGAATGACCTTTCGCTTAAACTTTGCTGTTGCCTTGGGGATCAACGAGTAGAACCAATAGCCTTTGGCGGCTTGTTCCTCCGAATGCATATCAATCATTAGAACACCCCCCGGTTTCAAAACACGCAGCGCCTCATGAACCGATTTAACAGCGTTGGGGTAGCTTTGGATCCCGCTGTCACACTGGGTGTCGATGTGGTGGAGAACCTGGTGAATGATAAACACATTTCATTATGGCATTTAGTTTTTGTGCATATATAAAAAGTTAGAGCCTCGAGAAAGCTGAAAGCGGTATGTTGAATAAAGTGTTGCTGATTACGTGGCTTTGTCAGTCGCAAAATCTTTCTTCAGCGGTTGGAAAAATCGTTTATCAACGCTGCTGAAGCGAGGTTTCCATGTGAATGATCCACAACAACCAGACTTTAGATGACAATGAACTAGAGATTATAAACTAAGAGTTAGATGATTAGCAACATGACCAATCAAATCCACTATTACCAAACTATATCGTTGATTGTTTTAATTAAACAGATTTAGCTGTCTTCATTATGCGTAACCTCTCATGACAGACCGGTACACAGTAATTTTCATTAGAAACCAAGTCGAAAAATGCAGAGGAACTGGCTTTTGCACTTTTCTGCTAATAATAAGAAATAGAAAAAACACGAAGAGGAATTTTTTCTCCCGATGCAATTTTTCTTCCCTTAACTAGTTGTTTATTGCTAATAACTAACTTAAAGTGTTGCATATCCAAACGAAGGTTTTTGTACCTTATTTTCTCACTTGATGTCAATAAATGTCAGTCATTAATATAGCACTTCTGGCTTCCTGAGCCCAATCGTAAAAAAACATCATTTTTGCACGCATAAGTCGCAGTTTAACACAGTCGAAGAGATTTTTGGTGGGGAGATACATTGTACCACCGTCCCACGATGGGTGCCATACACTGTACGTATAGGTCGCAGTTTAACACAGTCGAGGAGATTTTTGGTGGGGAGATACATTGCACCACCGTCCCACGATGGGTGCCATACATTGTACTCGTAGGTTGCAGTTTGACACAATCGAGGAGACTTCTGCCTAATATTTCTCTTAATCCGTCGTCTATTTACAAGCACGGTATATTTCAATTTCAACTAAGGATCGCAACTCCACCTTCAATCTACCTTTCCTCTCACTAAATATGGACGACCTGTAGTTAATACAGGCCCGCATTTACGTCTGTTAGGGCCCTGGGTCCAATGTTGATGGAGGCTCCTTCAAATATACCAAAAACATTGTGTCACATGCATAGTACTTGGCTAAACATAGTTATAACCAACCAGGTTAATATTCAACAAATAGTTTGATAGATAAAAACTATAAGACACGAATAAACTTGTATCAATTTCGCATTTAAGTACATTCCCAAAAAAACTATCCTTGCCCTTGGTTCATGACGCTAATGTATTTCGTCTTTACTTAACTGCTGAAAACGTCTGGATGATTTTATTGGGGTCTAAAACTCCCAGGAGATCAAAATCTGCTGCCATTAAACACAGAGCAACAACGCGCTACTGTGGCATTATGAATTTTAGTTCACTCTTTTTCTTGACTCTTCTCAGCTTGGTGAAACATTTTTCACCGGAGGCACCTCCGTATGGCAAATTGCAGTCATTGCATTGAGGGGAAGCTCCAGCCAGGGCCACCGAAAGTTTCGAAGGCCTGGGGTAAAAACAAATTATCGATTCCGTGACCAAAACGTCCAGTCACTGAGGTCAAATTCAACAACAATGACTACCTCATAACAATAACTATTCTGAGAATTAGTACCTAGGCGGTCTGTGGCGTGTGGCTTACGAGAAAACATCACTTACTAAAGAATTCGGTGGTATTTAATTTCGGTGAAGTACGGAAACCGAAAATTAATCCCATTGAATCTTTTAGAAACCGACATTTGTTAGGGGCCATTCACAAAGGATGTCTAGCAAAAAGATGAATTTTTGACCCCCTCCCCCTCCCTCGGACATCTACTGAGAGCTATTCAACCAGAGTGTAACCAGTATATGCAAACAGAATGTATGGAGCGTCGTTTGTGTCTATATTACAATTGTACTTTTTGTATAGTGTATAATAATTTCACATGCCCTTCACCCCCGTTTTACATGGTCTCTAACTATATCCTAATGCCATTATGTTATTCTACGGCATTTAAATCCCCAGTCTAACATTTCATGCGGCTTTTCAAATTCTCTATAACATATCATATTCCCACTGCTCATTCATTCTGTGTGGCATTACTTGTTAAATGGCTTTATACTTCGAGTGGTGTTTCATCTTGTATGGCGTTTCAAATTTCATATGGCGTTTTACATTTCATATGACATGATGCATTGCAGCATGATGTCATGCATTACCCTGTCACCTAGGTATTGACTTCGCGTATGGATTTTGAAAATAACAAACAAGTTTTTCCTTGATATTGTTTGAGTATTACTATACATATATCCAATAGATATCAATTGTCAGTTTCTGGTTCTCCTTTGTCACCAACAAATAAGATATTGAGCCTATCCCCACTTTCTTGTCTAGCGCCCTCTCCGTCCAAGAGTTCTCTAATTTGCTGTTGCTTGACAGAACAGAGACAGGACAGAACTCATGCTGCTACTGGCTCTACATTACTTCTCTCAATAATTTCTTTCTAACGTTCCACCGTTTTCAAGTTGGACGCCTCAATTTTTAACTCACAATCGATCAGAATATATAATCCCCTCTTTGCGATTGCGAACTGTAAACTCTTCCAATTAAATTCTCCATGGGTTATATAAATAAAATAAAAAGACATCCACTAAATAAGGGTTTATGACATTCTTGCCTACTCTTCATTCCATTTATTGGACTGAGATCAAAATATTAGATTTTTATAACTTTCATGATTGCGTTCCAGAAAATTTTATGATGAAGATAGAAATAACTTACAGAAGTTGTTTCACTTCTTCACTCGCCGATATGTTTTCTTTCCATCGAAATTATTCAGGTTCTCATCGAAATTTACACCGAAATTTAAAACATATGACCGGAATTTTTCCACCGAAAATTTTTGGTACCAGATTTTTTGGTACTTAATGTACCACATTCACAAAACAAAAGGCATTTTAGTGGGTTTAACAATGAAGCACTACCTGCATGAACATAACCACGTCAAACATGTTATCTTCAAAGGGCAATGTTGGAAGGAAGTGTTTCTTGATGTCTAAAATCTTCTTTGATTCAATGTATTTGTGCAACTTGGCCTTAGACTGGTTCAGCATGCCTTCAGAGCCATCAATCATGTGAACTTTGCCCACTCCAGCTTCCAGCATCACTTTGCTGTAGTTGCCAGTGCCACACCCAGCATCCAGAATGCGGACCTGCAAGATAAAATACAATATTCCATACCTAATGCTACAGAATAAGAAATGCCACAGCAGATTAAGTAAGGCCAGAGCAGATTAAGTAAGGCCAGAGCAGATTAAGTAAGGTCACAGCAGATTAATTAAGGCCACGGCAGACAAAGTAATGAAAAAGCAAAATAATGGGCCTCACTGCCTAAAATAAAACTTTTTCGCTTCCTGCTGTTCTTATTTTCACTACATTCACCTTTTCATTTAAATAATTTCAGGCTTATTGCTTATTTTTGCAAACATAATTGCTTATTCCATTACCAACTGCAAATTATTACAAATTGTTCAAAGTTTGTGACAATTTATTTCTCTCTTCACATCCCACACATTTTAAAAAACATCTTATCTTTTATCATAGTTATATATTTTTGTCCCTTCTTTAAAATAATGAGTATGATTAAATTAAATATTTGAAATTAATCAAAAAATGATAATTAACCTGCTCTAAGGGTTTTTTCAAGTACCCCTGGAGCATCGCTATCTGCACTTCAGCACCTGATGGGTATCTTCCAAGGTCATAATTATTTGATGCCTTCTCGTAGTTGTTGTAGCTGCTCATGGTGGTTGCTTATTCTGTGAAAAATATAATTGCTATAATTAATATGCGTCAAAGAACTAGGGTTAAGTAATATATGTTAAACTATGTTATTAAATCAAGATTATTTAACTTTTCAGTAACCAACAGTTATGGTTAGAACGATTCTCAAATTGATTGCTTTTTGTTTTAATTAGAATAATCTCAATAATAATAAATTCTTCAATAATTACTTTAATTAATTTCAGGTGTAGAAGGTATGTTTTTTGCTCAGGGGTTAAGAAAATTGAACAGAAGATAAGAAAAAGAAACAAAGTCAAGAATATTTTGCACATTTAGTACTGAGCTAATGGCTCAATATATAGAGAAGGTTTTAGAAAGAAAAACATGTTGGGTGACTTTGACTTAATAACTTTTGAAAGTTTGTAATTTCTAGTCTTTGAAATCTCAAAGTCTGATCAATATCTTGCTTAAAATGCATCACCTGAAAATAATTTTAAAGTTTGAGGTCCAGGCTACTAAAAAACTAGCAGTTTACAAGCTTGCTATTATGTTTTAGGTCAGTTAGGAAACCTACCTGTTTACTCATGATGTTATTCATGATGTTACAAAATACCTTATTTTACTAAGGGACCATTTTGGCACAAATTAAGTGGTGCTCTCATGAAATAATTATATTCAATTACATTTTTTCCCTATAAAAAATCAGCCATTTTCTTTGTTCAAAATTATACATATAACAAATATTCTTGTAGCAGGCATGTGGCATGCATGAAAATTGCATTTCTTTAGTTTGGGGACTTACAAGAAACCAAATGTCATTTGATATCAGCATTTGATGCTGAACGTTAGAGAGGTCTGTACCTTAATTGTTTAAAAATTGTTACGATGCTGATGATATCAGCTTTTAGTTAGGTTACTAGGTGGTATTGGATGCTGTTGATGGTCAACAAGCCACGTTTGATGTTCCAACATTGTTTGCTGTTTAATTTCTTTATTCAGGGTAGCAAAGGCATACCCAAAATTATAAGAATAAGAAATGTAAAAAAATCTTAATAAAACTGAAGTCATGCCTGTAATGTCGCAGCATATTGCCTCTTCTGGTAGCAAAATACCCTAAAAGATGCACAGGCGTATGATTTGCAAATCAACGCATAGGTATCAGGTATCAATAAAAAAAGTTCAACTCAAGGGCCTCCAAACGGGAATTTTACCCACCAGTACCATGATACCCCATAAAGGTAGGACAGGGGCCTGGTCCAAGCTGTTCCAAGAAATGAACACCCTCTTCTGTTGTCTAAGCCTTATAGGAAGGTTAACTGGATAATATTTTACCAACCACAATAGGGCAAAGAGCCCCCTCTTAGATCTGGTAGAGTTTGACTCAGGTCTTTGTTCTGGAAACAATGATGAAACTTTGTGCAAGTGTATTAGAAAATTTTTGTGCATCTGTGCATCATTAATTTCTTCTTGATGGTCTTGGGTATTCAGCCTTTTGTGTGCAAAAGTGACAAGGTGACAGGAGATATATTTCCTATTCAAGCTTAAAAACCTTGCAAGAATGCAGGTGGCACTCGAATCAAATGTTTATCTTAATTAAGGCTGTCCTACTGACAGGGATTGATAAGGTTGTGGGTAGAAGTGATTTTCAAGGAGTGGCAAAATAATGTTGTTAAAAAAGGAAAATCTAAAATAAAGCACCTAAACTTGTTAAACTATTTTCGGGTACTTTCTCTAGGAATCCCAATCAGTACCTAGGTTTCAAATAACAAAAAATTACCAGTCTGCAGTGTCACACCACTCCTGATGCAGTTCACTTGTCCAACAACTTGTTGGAGACTCTGCCATTTCTTGTTCTAAGACTGATACAGATTAGGTTTTGCACTAAAATGAAACGTGAATGAGAGGACCCAAGGGTCAAGAGCATGAAGAAAGAAGAAGGCTCTAGCCAGAAGGAAAAATTACAAGATTGCTAGATCAGCAGATGCTTCAGACGTCTTCAGAAAAAAGTTCAATGTATAACCATGTTGAGAATGTGTAAAACATGACCAAGTTGCTTCATACATGCACTCACTCTTACAAGAGATTTTAACAGGCCAAAAAATGACAAAGAGCTGATTAGAAAAAACTAGCTTTCTTTTAAAAAGTGATATTATCAATTGTTATAGTACATCGAGACCAAACATCATAATTCTAAGGTTCAGGGTAATAAAAACCCCTCCACACAACCTTAGTGAAAGACAGCCTTTGGAACAGGACTCCCCCCTCAAATGTTGTACTGCAGCCCACCTTCTGTAGAAAAAACTGCATCTATGATTATTCACATGATCATATTTCATATTCACATTTCTTTCATAAAGGAAATGCCAGCTTGACAGATCCAGTGTCATGGGTGGACGCAATTTGACTGATAGAGACATATCTACCTCACTTTTTTTAATTATTCATATAATTTAATTTCATACCAAATAAATGAGAAAATTACAGTAGGTTGTGATGAGTAGCATAATGGTAACTTCCCCACTTGGTCAATAATTACACTTAAAGGTTCTATGTCTAATTAAAAATAGAATATTTTTAAATTCAATATAGATCACAATTCAGATATAACAGTTTTCAGCAGTTTAGTGGTCATTGCATTTTAAAATATATGGGTATGCCCCTGATACCCTGTCCACCCCACATATTTAAGCTTGTTCTGCCCCTGCATGTCACCTTGCTAAACAGGGTCGTTTTATAATAAGTTTTATTAAAATTGCAAGATAACGAATGGACTGTTAGGCCAATAACAAATTGAGCATTACAACTTTGCTTTATCAGATCTACCTTATCAATTTTAATGGAGAAAAAAAGCATGTGGATGATTGGAGCAAATCGCGATAAAATTTAAAGCCACCAGTCTACCTATCTCTGGTAACAAGCAAGCACATGTAGGAAACAATTTCACAAATGGCGGTTCGCGAGTACATGGGAAATCCCAGTACGCATGACTAACATTAGAACATGTTGATGAGTCGTTGTGCTATGTGAGAAAAGTGCCATTAATTTTGGCAAAGAAATGCAACTGCAGAAAGCTAGCTGCTGTTGTATAATCTAACCTTTCTAGAAGATGTGGAAAATGTCTAAGGCGGGTTGAAAATGCAGGAATCGAGTCCTTTGTCAAAAGTTTTTCTGGTTCATATTTTATTGCTTTGCTAGACTAAACAAAATGTATCGTTGGCCTCATTTTTTGTACCAACATTTCCACGTACATATTGACGTCCTCCTATTTTGCTCGTTAAAAGGATACTCTTTTATTGAAGAAATATGCTAAACAATAGATTAATAAATATGGTAATATCTGCCTTTGGAATGTACGCCAATATCGGGTACACTATCCAGCATGATCAGTTTTAGACAAAGAACAATCTTTGGCGGTATATTTGCTCGCTTTTAAAAATATCAACATCTGTTGTGGGGTTGGTTACTAAAACTTTTGAGTAATGGAGCTGAACAAATGTACAGGCTGAAAACTTCTACAAACAAATTCTTGATTTCTTGCCAAACATTGAATGGAGACAGGAAACGAATAGAACAGAATTATGGAACTGAATTGCGGGTTCATTAACAGGTTCAGCAATTCTTAACATAGGTTTCATTGAAGAAAACAAGAAATTTTCACACTAATTCGGCACGCCCAGAGCTTGCAAAGAGGGCGAGATTTCAGTCGTTCTGGTTTTGTTTCAAACATAAAAACTTGCCTAAAGCCTGTTTAAGAAAAAACCTGATAAGGTTCGACACAAAGGACAAATCAATACAATCAACCATTAAAGTAGGGGCCTAGCGAGCTAGAAGGATCTTTCTTATAAGCACGAAAATGCAACTAATGTTTCGAAAAAGCACCTTGTGAATTTCAGCTTGTGTTAGTTATCATTGAGATCAGGTAACTATAAAGTATTTGCCAACAAACCTTTGAAAATGAGTAAGAAAAGTGAGTATTCTAACTGCGATATCTCACAAACGACCAGCTTACAAGCAGCGATCAACCGAGAAAGGATGAAGAGATTCGTTGCGGTGGTTTTATAAGCGGACTCAGGGCAACCCCCTGAATATAATATAATACACAATAATCCGATACTGCATCTTGTTTGCGACATACTTGCGTAAGAAATTAAAAACACCAGCGTTGAATGGGTTTTGTATTGACAAAAAATATATTTATAGTTTTTCTTTTTGTTACCAACCGTTTTGGCCTATAGGTTATAAAAAGGACGAAAGTTGATTACACTGATTCTTTTATAAGAAACTGGCTGTAAGAAACGAGTACTGGACAGTCAGAAAAAATTAAGAAACTCCAGTACTCGAAGCAAAAAAGTTAAGAAACTATTAATCGTGATAAAACTGAGAACAACGAAATTTTGTAAAATCCAAGAACGTGATAGCCTAGAATTTAAGACATAAGGGATAAAAATATACTTACCACATCAGAAGGGAAGGGAATCTCTTGACGTGTTAAAAAAAGGTCACGCACATTTCATAACATCATTCATGACATCATAATTAAGAAACTCTTAAGAAACAATGGGTATTGAAATTTCCAGAACATTAAGAAACTGGAGTAATCAACATCGACCTTTGTTTGTTATAAAAAATGATTGTACTTTAGTTTATTAATTGTTAAAATAACAATAAGTTTGTGTTGAATTTCGGAGTTAACTACCACCCGCATTACATTAGCAAAACAGACATCGGACTGGACTTTCATAAAAACTCTTTTAAAACTGTAAACTCTATAAGGTTAGGTGAAATATCTTTCTTAAAGTTCTAACTATTTTTAAATGTACAATATAAATCAAAATGAGCAAATTTTGAAATGGCATATTCTAGCAATTACTATATCATCCATGGTGTATGAATTTTGCTCGTTCTGGGCTGTTTCTCGCTATGCAAAATCTATCTTCTAGACCGGTTCTTTTCGACTAAAAGGGACACCCTCACAACTCTACCTCCAATATAACCTTCCCATATCATACATGAAGAAACAGCCTATTCTATATAAAATTTCATGATCGTTTACATATCTTTATCATGCAGTTAGTTGGTTTGTGGTAGATTACGTGGCTTTATAGGCATTTTTATGGCAACGAGGTTTAATTTATGGTCATTAAATGGGATTATGACGTTGTAATTTAGAAAAGAAAAGAGTTGGCTGTAAAGATAACTTTTTAATAATAACTGTCGTTACTTTTATCTCATATCAATGTATTTTCCACTCTCTCTGTGGTTTTTCACATTCAACACCAGAAACAAGAAAACAAAAACAACGAGCTTCCAGTTCCCACAATATATCAATTCAGTTCAAGATTTTTTCAATGTTTGCAAAAAGCAACACTGACAAAAGTTTGCCCTGAAAGCTATAATTATAATCATTTCAAAATTAGACTAAATGTATTAATTGTTTTATAAACCATCTGTACTGCCAGAATTATCAGTCGGTTTTTGAGTATCCCATTGGGTTGTTACTTTGCCATCGCCAACTATCTTCACCTGTAAAAAGACAATAACGTTTCAAATATGTTGAAACTCGTTTTTAAAAAGAAACAAAGTTCGATGTTGAGTACTCCAGTTTCTTAATGTTCTGGAAATTTCAACACTCATTGTTTCTTAAGAGTTTCTTAAATATGATGTCATAAATGATGTTATAAAATGTTCGTGACCTTTTTTATCACGTCGAGAGATTCCCTTCCCTTCTGATGTGGAAAGTATATTTCTATCTCTTGTGCCTTAACTTTTAGGCCAACAGGGCAATCATGTTCTTGGATTTTACAAAATTTCGTTGTTCTTAGTTTTATCACGATTTAGTAGTTTCTTAATTTTTTTGCTCTGAGTACCGAAGTTCCTTAATTTTTTCTGACTATACAGTTGTAATAAAGGTACTTATTTCATTTTAGGTCAGTCTTGCCTTTATGCTTATAATTGTTCATGTTTCTCCTTGTTTAGGATATATTAGTTTGTCGCGTGTTAGTTTTTCATGTTTTGGGGCAACGTCATATTTTATATGTCCTTTTACACCTCCTACTAGTTCATTTACGTATTGCACGATAGATACCGACAATAACACCGGCAATTATTGATGTTAGTTTGCTATATTGTAATGCTGTTATATAAAGTAGAGTAAGGAGAAACAGAGTTAGTTAGAGAGAAGCGTGGTGCTTGCGAAAGGCCACTGCTATCAAACTTGTAGACACTCACTCGCACACACACACAGAACCGTCGTTTCTAAAAGACTGAACACTCCAAGAACAGGCTGAACACCCCAAGAACACCCCAAGAACACCCCAAGAACACCCTAAGAACAAGCCATTAAGCCGCTGAACACCCTTTAAAACATATCAAAATCGGCATGTCATTCGAAAAATAATTTGATCAATCAATCAAAATTAATTTTGGGGCGGGAAAGGACCTGATAAGTCTAATGCTGTTGGTGTTGTTACAACCAACTGATGTTTTGCGCGCCAGAAGTGTGAACGGGGGTTTGTACACGCGGAGCAAATTCGAGTTTGACTCCCTTTGTGCATTCAAGCAAATTCCCGTTGTTTTGAAAATCTTTCACATCCTGTGACAATGTAAAAATACGACATGTCACTTGACTACCTATTGTCTTCCAAACAATTGTTCTTCCCGTCCGCTAATTTGCCCAAATGGTCACGCTATGCTAGTGCACGCTAGCTAGTTACTAGTTCACCAGTGCAAGCAGAACGAGACACAGCTCCTCTCTTGACGTCTCCAGCGGGTGCACTCGCAGGCTGGAGAGGTTTTTTATAAGGAATTTTTTGACAAATGAAACAGAAAATGCACAGTGTTGGACTTGTTAGAGGGTAGCAGCAGGACCACAGTTTGCGACTTAAAAGAGGGCTTAGGAGGGGCACATTTTTGGGGCCCGTGCTCGAATGGGGTCATGATAATCTCACTAAATCCTCGAATTGGCCCCCACCCTAGAACTACAAATTATTAATAAGCCCCCACTGCTGCCGTTAATGCTCGAATCGGACCCCTCAGTTTGCTGGTTTTTGCCATCTAAGGTTGCCTTTGGCGCTTTTTCTTAAGTACCGCAAAAATTCATACTTTTGGTAATAATTGATTAAATGCGCATAAAAAATTACTACTAAAATAAACGAAATCTTTTAATAATATCTTCTTAATGTCTTCAATAATTTTATAAGCCCCTCCCCTCGTATAAGTCGAAGAACCCACCTGGAATAAGCCCCCATACAAAAAATATCAAAAATGAATAAGCACCCATGGGGGCTAACTCGAGGATTTACGGTATGTATGTGGCAGAAATTGCGTTGGTTTTGGGGCAAACGCCCCCAAGCTTTTGCTCAGTCGTCGGTTAAGGCACAGTTTTAAGCGCTTTTATCGGAAAACTGTTTGTTTTTGTGGGTGTTGCGGTTCCTCTTACCTTCCTAGGCAACTATATATTGTAAAAATTATTAGTTACATGGACTGATATAGAAACTGTAGCTAACCTGCAAGATGAAGTTTTTCCTCCAATGGAAGTTTGACTCCAATGCACAAAGGGAGTCAAAATCGAATTTGCTCCGCGTGTACAAACCCCCGTTCACACTTCTGGCGCGCAAAACATCAGTTGGTTGTAACAACACCAACAGCATTAGACTTATCAGGTCCTTTCCCGCCCCAAAATTAATTTTGATTGATTGATCAAATTATTTTTCGAATGACATGCCGATTTTGATATGTTTTAAAGGGTGTTCAGCGGCTTAATGGCTTGTTCTTAGGGTGTTCTTGGGGTGTTCTTGGGGTGTTCAGCCTGTTCTTGGAGTGTTCAGTCTTTTAGAAACGACGCACACAGAACGGCCATGGATTGAAAAGGCTAAGAGAGGGCTGATGGCATTCAACCCGAGTGGAAGGCCGAGGTTTCGTTTCATATATATTCAAATAATTTAATGGCGTAACAGTGCTGTGAAAGACTGTTTGGTACCTAACTTTTAATATTGTATGAAAGAACGTCTTAGCTTTGGATGGAATGAACGGAATCGATTTTGTGTGTCAAAACGTGTCGTTTATTCGCTCGGTCAATCGCTCAAACAACGAATGGTGTCAGAAGTTTTACAATTATGTATCAGTAGCAAATTTTACACAGGTTTCGTTTCTTATAGCCAGTTTTTTATTAAAAAATGAGTGTATAAATTTAATTCACAATGATAAGCCTGGTTCGCAGAATCCTGTTAACTGAAATACTGTTATACGCTTGAGATTCTCTAAAGCAGTCTGGGACACTCGGGGCTTCCGCTTGAATATACTGCCATTTTCATCACGTGTATCCAAAAGTATATTTCTTGTGGTCTAATGTAAACATTTACAAAACTTACACTGCCTAGCTCTAACCCTGATTGAAAACATGGTGCCAGCATTGCAAGAAATTATCATTCCAGACAGAGTCACGAAGAAAAGTAGAGATATCGAAACAACCACAAGAAAATTGAAGTTGTTCTGACATCTGATTTAATATTCGAACTAAACCCAAAGATACAAGAACTATTCCTGTTGTGATTTCTCCTATAAACACACTAAAATTTTGTGCAAATTAGACCCCTTGTAGTAACAATATTTTTATTTTTATGCTAGGCCCATTATATTCATTCATTCCAGTTACTCTTCCTTGGCGTGCTTCTTTCAAAGCCCCGTAACAATCAAAGTACATCACTAATTACAAAACGCCAATCCCATCTTTCTTCTCATCTATTAATCGCATTATCATTAACTGCCTAGCCCTTCCTTCCATTTGTTTTCGCCTACAACTGTTGTCATAGCTTTATCAATTAATTTTTGTATAAATGCATGTAAATTTAGTCTTTTCTCTGGCTCCTTGTTCTCTGCACGTAAAATAAGACGCGACGCAAGTTGGAAATGACACGCTAGCCGTTTGGTAGATTTATTAGTGAACAAATCGTACACAACAATGCTCAATTTTCGTTTCACTAAACCCGTTTACACTACAGAAAAAAGAACGAAAATCCTTGGTTCCGTGCCTAAAAAAGCGACGATAGGCCTTGCGTTTACACAAAGCATCTTGGTTCCGTGCTAGTTTGGGAACGGTCCCGTTCTTCTTTGGTTTCGCTAAAATGCGAAACTCTTTGGTTCCGTTTCCCGAATCATACATGATTTCTCTAGCGTAAACGGTCAGGAACGGAGCTTTTTGGTTACGATTGAAAACGGAGCTTAATCTAGGGTTGGAGCGAGGCTTTCTGAAAATGTCGGGCGTCATTCCCGCGCCAATGCGCATGTTCCACACGCAAGTTCCGTTCTTTTTACTTAAGTGTAAACGCGATGAAAAAATGTGACATCGTGTTCAAAGATAAACGGAACCAAGAGTTCCGTTCTTCTTTCTGTAGTTTAAACGGGGTCTTAATATTGCTTTAATAGTTAACGTTGAAATTTATCTTGCAGTTCTTTTTTTCAGGCATCCGAAGGTTGTGACGTGGGCAGTGGCACCACAATCCAATCATTATTTTAAACTTCCCAATGGTCCCCGATACCGGAGAAAAATCAAGGCTGGATAAAATTTACAGTATTCCTTTAAAAAAATGTAAATATTACTTGGCTTTAGAGAAGCTAAATGTTCTTATAGCCTAGCCAGGGTGTACTTCCTCACAGCACTTTAACTGTGCACTTTATCTTGATTTGCGAATAATTTCTATCAATAAATGGTAAAATACCTTTGCTAATAACGACAATAATGCAAAACTGTTACTCAGTGTAAATACTCGGTGTAAATACTCACACATCTCGTCAAGGCCTCGTTCTGTTTTCCACCCCAGCTCTTTTAGTGCGAGTGAGGAGTCAGCATATATTGCAGGCAGGTCACCGGCCCTCCGCGGGACGATCTTGTAAGGAATCTGGGGATGAAGAAGAAATGTCTTTAAGAAAACCACAAAAAATAAACTAGACAAAATGCTAAAATATGCGAACATTCGTCTTTTGATTCTTAACAGAATGGAAAACGCCCCTTTTAGAAAATAATGGCTTATTTCTACTTATTAGCAAACAGTCTGATTCAGAGAAGATATGATGCACGGATTTGCACGCCGAATTTCGGTGGGTGGCAAAAGGATGCAGCATCTAGTGCAACATTTGGGTTCTAGCTGTTGATCTATCATGTTGTTTCCCTGTGTTTAAGCTTATTCAAAATCTAGCGGGAAAAAGAACGGCTCGAACAAAAGAACAAAGAAAGAAATCGGAGGCGGGGGGTCAGAGAAACCAGCGACACATGAACATCGCATTGCTGTTTAGTTTTTACAGTGGGCAGTAGGCGGTAACAAATCAGCCAGAACACTACGTGCTTTCCTGATTAATAACCCAGCAATGTTCCATTAGCTCCAGCCTATTGTTGTATTGTTGTTACAAGGAACGGGTAAGCCAATCCACATCACCAGGTATCGCCATCAGCACTTTACAAAACCAAAAGACATTACATTGAAGATTTAAGTGAACTTGAATGCCTGTTTCAAGTTAACGATGTAAGCTTACAAGCCTTGAATTAGTGTTAATAGGCTGATGGCTTCCATTGAAACGCTTGGGCACACTGCTGAGAATGCGTTCAAAGAGTGCATCAGTTGGATCACAGAATAATGATAAAATCTCTATAGGAGCTTCTTCCGACCATTTGAAAAGATACCAAGGCCGCGATGAGAAAGAGCACCTGTATATCGTGATTAAAGCTATTTTTACCGTACATACAATATGCTCGGTTTTTCTGATTGGCCTATTTCGATCTACAACTAGACTTTCTAGCTTTTCACATTTTCAAATCTTATTCTGACGTATTTTACTTTGAGGAGTGTCAGACGAAAAGCGTCAGTATGTTCCAAAAATGTTCAAATTTTGTACCGTTACTAATGTCGGGTAAAGATGGAACTAATGTCGGGTACAGATGGGACAAATGTCTGTGAAGGGTGGGACCAATGTCGGTCACAGATGGGACCAATGTCGGTCACAGATGGGACCAATGTCGGTCACAGATGGGACCAATGTCAGGTACAGATGGGACCAATGTCGGGTACAGATGGGACCAATGTCGGGTACAGATGGGACCAATGTCGGGTACAGATGGGACCAATGTCGGGTACAGATGAGACCAATGTCGGGTACAGATGGGACCAATGTCGGGTACAGATGGGACCAATGTCGGGTACAGATGGGACCAATGTCGGGTACAGATGGGACCAATGTCGGGTACAGATGGGACCAATGTCGGGTACAGATGGGACCAATGTCGGGTACAGATGGAACCAATGTCGGGTACAGATGGGACCAATGTCGGGTACAGATGGGACCCAGTGTCTCACAAATGTAAGATATCGCCTCTGATCTTGCTTATTTCGGACTTAGTGCTACCTTCCGTAGCACACACATCGAAAACATAACACATATATTTATTCTTACAAACACTTGTTCATAGATATCTATTCAGTTGTTAAAAGGTTTTGTCTTTACAAAATATTTCTTTGCATGCCAAAAACAAGAAGAAACGTATAGGTATGTTTATAGTCAAGATGTCTGGCCCCTCCAATATTTTCTGCTTTCATGAAGAAAATATCCAGTTACCGGCCAAAAATTTCAAGGGAAAGAAAAAGTTGTCCAAAGACGGGTTTTTACGAACGATCTTTTGTTCGAAATTAGGAAGATCACGCAGACGACTCATCTGACTTTGTTTACTTAACAGTGTTTACCTTGTTAATGCTTCAGTAGTAACCCACTTGCGTCTTACCCAGGGTAATCATGAGGGGTAAAACAGGAAGATCGTCAACACAGAGTGGTGGGCACACCCTTGTCTAGCGTAGAACATAGACCAGCTTAGGTAGCAGATTAATTCAAACTACTAAGGCGAGAAAATAATTGCATAGGAAATGCAATGGAAAAGCTGTTTGGGCCTAAGCCTGCGTTGAGTTTTGGAGACTGGTAGACGGGGGAACACTTACACATGCCATTCAATAATAAAGTCCATCGATGTTAGTAAAGGTATCTTAGCTTATTGACTATTCTGTGGTTGCTTCAAGTTAGACCATGTTTTGTAGAAAATTACCCCACCCCCTTGTTTATACCCAAGTCTAGTGGTTCATAATTATTTTATTAGGTTCATATAAGGACCCAGAACAATGTTTGGTTAATAGAAAATGGGTTTTCTGTAGAAAATTATTCTGGCTTTAAGGGAATCAAAGAAAGTGGTTTTTGGCAGATGTTCGAGACACGGTTTACTTTCAAATTAAATATAAACAATAGTACATATAACAAAACTAACAGAAGAAGAAAGGAAATAAAAATAAAAATACATAAAATACGAGACAATCATCCAATCAATCAAAATATAAACCTTACAATTAACAGAAGACGAATTATCAAGACTCTATAAACTTGAGGATTGAAAGAAACCCGATTCAGTTTGACGCATAACATAACAGTCGGTTGAATTGTTCACGAATACGTTGCTTGAAGCTCACAGGTGCGAGACAATCTTTGTCAGTTCAGAATTTACCACTGAAAATGTCCTTACCTTTTTTCCACTAGCCTTCTCCATCGCAGCTGCCATCTCTAAAACACTATACCCATGGCCACTTCCCAAGTTGTAAATCTGCAAGAAGGAGAAACAGATACGGTTATACAGAGTCGTAGACGGCAAAATTTCCCACAGGGGATTGATGGGACAGGCAACAAACTGATACACAGGGCCCATGCCACAGGAAGGGTCAGGTCCACCGCACGTTTTCGCTGAATATAAGAATAAAATCAGCTTAAATTATTCATATAGATAAACATCTAGATAAAAAAAGCATTGAACCAAAGTCCACAAATTAAATAGCGGAAAGTTCTTTGTTAAAACTTGTTAAAACTGTTAAAACTAACATAAAATATTTGAGAATTTAAGACAACAGTACAAAATTACTTAAAAACATAACGTTTGCCTAAATTGAGCAGTTGTAGAATAAGGGTTGCGAAAACAAATGAATTCAGAGGAAAATTCTTCTCATTGGGGACCACTCCAGTTTATGATTAGTTGCGCAGGTTCTGATACAATTGATTTAGATACCTTGAAACAGTTATTAACGGCTATCTTTGCCCTCTTCTCCAATATCCCTCTAATAACTAATTCTCATTGATTATAACAGGAACGGCGCTACGGTCCCGTTATATTTAACCCATATAAAACCAAGCACGTTGAATGACTAACTGGCTCTAAAACAATACCAAAGGACTTTGAATGATGGAAGCTTAATTCAACTGAGTAATTTGGCTGTTCAATCCAAGTGCCTTATCTCACGACGTAGGTAACCAGTTGCTGCCTAACGCTTTTATCATGGGCTGAGCTCAGGGGCTTGAGGTTGATAAACCCGTCCAATCCAATTACAACGTCTTTGAAGAAGTCATTCTTTATCTTTGAAGATCTCATTCTGACGGACTGTCAGGTCTGTCTATGGACTGCTACCGGTAACCATGTATCTTATATTACCTGTTCATGGAACGGGTTGCTGGCGACTAATCTGGCACCCCCCACTCCTTATAGAAGGACGGGGAGGGTGTCCCTGGACACCCTTACCGGACTGAAAAACAATATCTGTAAAAGGCTCATTGTGGAGCCATCACCAGGGATGCCCTGTGGTAGCATCTAGAGGGCGAGGATAGACAGACTTATTATTCCTCGGTCAGCCGCTGCAACAGGATGCAGTAGCGGCGCCAAGGTGGGGACTGGGGGACACGCCCCCCTCCAGTTGTCGGCAGGATCGATTTTGTATTTGGTCTAAATTCGATGAGAAAATGTTGGGGAAGGGGTAATATTTGGACAGCTTACTTTTTGTGATGTAATCCTATGATTTTCAAACTGCCTTTACGTAACCTAAAGTTAGTCATGGACGTTCTCCTTTGGAAAAAGTGGCTTCCTTGTTGGTAAAAGGGCGTTTTCTGACGGTAAAAAGGGTGTGTTCGATAGTGTAAATCCCCCCCCCCCCCCACCGAGCTTATTGGCTGGCGCCGTCATTGCATTGGCAGGATGGAAATGCGAGCATATCTTTACCTGTTTCTTGCCCGCTAGAGAACATTCCTAACCTGCCAAGAGAGTGGACTTGGACAGGGGAAAGCCGGGTCTCACTTAACAAATTCAAATGCAGTTTTATGGAAAAAGGCAAAAATGACAGTTTCTGATACCGGCTTGAGCGTCGCTCGGGTTAACAAGGTTCGCGCTGGCTCGCTCCCCTTCGGCCGGCGTCTAGTGAAAAGTAAGCTAGGAGAATGGAAGTTTCTAAGGCTAGCAGAATAGAATATTTAGTGGAGAAAAATGGATGTTAAATCCTTGCAGACAACTGCAAAATTAGCGCTGCATGGAGAACTGCCATCAGACACAGGCCAGAGCCATTAACAGTCCTAGTCGCATCGACAGGCTGCAAGAGAGAGAGACAGCTCCCTCTAAAGAAAATCTAGCTTTGAATAAACCCCCTTCTTCAGTAATGAGATTTGAATGCGTCCGTCAACACAAGGTTCCGTCAATGGGTTTTTGAGCTTATGTGTCCTTATCCTGAGGGTTCAAGCTTTGCCACAAAGTGTCTTTCCTATTGTAAATTTGAGGTAAATGCACACAAAAAATGTGAATACTTGCTTTGAAACCACAATTTTCCTCTAACTTTTTCACTGAAGACACGTGTCCAAGAGCTAAGTCGACCACGTGGATATAGTCTCTCACACCTAAAACAGAAAAATGTTTCGATAATAATTATCCAAAATTGGTAATTGATTGGTAACCCAAACGCCACACTGTTTCGAAAAAGGTATGACTCCTCGGACCAAGCGAAGGTAGATTTCAGACGTTGCAGACGGCACATACCCCCGGCTTTTATTCGACTAACTGATCCTTAGCATACAAAGCAACCTCGGTTTAAAGAGCCAATCAAATATTAGTGGTTTTCCTAATTCTTGAAACGCACCTTTTGTGGGCCTAAATTCCTGTGGGTCAAGTTCTCTCGTGTTTCAAATTCTTTTTAATTCGGGGCGAGATTATGAGGCGCCATAGGGGACAAAAGTATGAAAAAATAATTTCGTTGTATGATAACGTATTTATGGTATATGAATATTTTTTCGGTATTCCCACGTGATCCTTAGGTTGCTAACCATGGTCCTCCAACAAACCCTGTCACTACACCTACTTTTCAGGATACCATAATTCTGGGTGTTAACCATTCTTTTATATCGTCCATACCGCCCGTTTACACTGTGCCGGATAAAATTTATCTGCGTAAAACTTGTTTGGATTGATTTGCGTTTACACTGTGCCGCACAAATTTTGTCCACCTGGCCCTCCCGTTTACACTGTGCCGGATAACTGCAGACACATGACCTGAATCATGCACAGAACGCCCAAAATGAAGTCTTCTCTGGGCAACAAAATAATAACAAAATTCCCGCCAACGTAAAAAGACTTCATTCTCTCTTCAGAATCATCTGCTTCTCTTTAAGAACAAATCAAAGATATTGTCAATACAAATTAGGCCTAGTTTGTTTTAATAGTTTGCTCTTGAAACAAAATGACACTGAACTAGCTACGAAAGTAGGGAAAGCTGGCAAGGATGTCAATTGTACGTGGACTGGCAAGATACTGCACTTTTAACACGAGTATATATCGACAGCAAGGCAGCCAAGATGGCGAAAGGTCTTGATTGGGAGACAGTGAAAACTAAATTGGATGAAATAGCCAATCGCTTTCGAGCAAGATACAATGTGGATAAAATTTATCCGGATAAAAGCGTTTACACTGTACCACATAGCTATCCGAACTAATTTAATCCACTTTCCTAGGTGAACTAATTTTGTTCGGATAGCCTCTCTCAAATTCGTGCGGATAGCGTGGGTCCAGTGTAAACACGACGCCTATCTGATCTGAACTAACTTTGATGCGGATAAAATTTATCCGGCACAGTGTAAACGGGGTCTAAGAGCCATGTAAAAGCTAACTTATGTCAATTATCAGAAAAATTAAAGGTATTATGTAAGAATACGATCATAAATAATAAAAAGTCAATTAAAACCTTATCTAGAAATTTCACACCCAAGAAGATTGCGAAATTACACAATCAACAAGTTTTCTTACAATTGCAAAAATTGAAACTCTAGAATATGGTAATGTTTACCAAAGCTTTGGACCAAAAACCTTACATTTTCTAAAGTATCAGAAGTTTTCCTGGCATTTGGAGGCCATGGGTGTCCTTATTTCGAATATCCTGTTGCACATCTCTTGTTTCAAAAATCTCATCAATAAAGCTAAAAGTCTGGAAATTTCGGAGTGAATTTTTTTTTTCTGTAAATCTCTTTCAGCAAGTATCGAAACTGTATTAAAGTGCATATGACACGAAAATTTTTATTCGCTTAAATCATCAAAGAAACATCGCTGGTAACGATGGTGAACTTAGTTTTTTCATTTGCGACTTACTTTCCCCCAAAAACGGGGTTTTCCGACACCCACTCGAGCTAAAATGTGTCACAAGAAAAACGCGGTCGAACCTGTGGTCACGTGACCCCTGTGACGTAAAGTGGTTGTGTATCCGTTGAATAGAACAAGGCTTCTGTATGGTTTCACTATGTGCGGAACCTACTGTTGTCCCCCTAAAGATTTTTTTCCTCCATAATTTTAATAAGTTTTATTTAGATAACTCAAGCAATGCCATCAAAGGACGGAAAGTAATTTAGAAAAATTTTTTGGTTCATTATAAAATTGATAAAAATTGAAATAAAGTGTTGTGCATGACTTTATGGAACGAATACCCCCTTGAGGAAGATACCGTTGTGCTTGACTACCATCCTGGAAAACCTGCCCCAACAGAAGTTCGCCGCTTGGCATTACTTATTAAAAATGCAGCGTAAAGATATCGAGCCATCATCTTTTTCAAGATCACCTTTTTCCGACTGATTTTTCCCGTACATTTCCCTCTCCTCCTGGTTTTGACACCGAAAATACCAAACATTTTTTCGACGTGATGCTCTACCCTCAGTCCGCAAACCAAAACAAGACAAAGAACGAAGCAAGAATGAAAAAAGCATGGTGAGTAATAAGTTTCCTATTGTTTTTTTATAACTGCCTAACAACGTTCTATTGTGTAACAGCTGAGATACGTTATTGGTAATGACTCGACAACACCGGGGGCACTCGCTTTATGGAAAAAAGGGACTCCTTGTCTCTCTGTGTGGGGTCCATATTACCGTTTTTAATACATAAAAATTACCCAAATATTAAAGTTTGCAGTTATTTTTTTAAACCATTTAAACAAATGTAAACTACTTCAATATTTTATACAAAAGCGAAAAAGGTTTGGAAACTAAAAAAGCAGTGGGTTGGCAACTCAAGAAATATTTAAGAAGCAGGGAAATTATATTCTATGGGATAAAGATTCAAAATGCAAGCGAGAATCGATTAACAATAAACAGAAGTCACCAAGTAACAAAACATGATATAAAAACTTTCAATTAAATCACGGACTCAGTCGTTTCTGTATAACAGAAATAGTGGTATTTGAGCTGGTCAGCCTTGGTCAAAGACCAAAAAATTAATCTTGGATCATGTTTGTTGTTAAATGTAAACATTGAAATTTGTGTTCCTCGTTCTTCACAGGCAAGCAGCGTTAACGGAAGCTCTGCACAGATGGAGTTGCTTTGGCATCAACAAGGTTTTGAATCTCTCAGAAATTCTGGAATTGAAGTATCTACGTTTGTCTCTGACAGACACCAAGACTGTATGCCATTGCACAGAGATACCTATTGAACAAAAACATTGTAAGACTTAATATAATGGTTGATTTGAGTTTCTCCTACATTCTTTAGAATCGGCAGGATCATAACATTACATATATATATTATATGTATATGGTATACTCTTTTCTGCCAGATTTAATGAAAATAAATATTAAATTTACTAAACCTAAGAATTGAAGGTGCCAAACAGAATTTGTATTTCTAGACAGTATAACTTATACAGTATAACAACTAGACAGTATTTGTATAACTTATTCTTCATTCGCCCATACAACGCAATAGCCCAGGCCGCTATGATCAGGGAATGGTGGCCTAAAAACAGCAGAGATGTACAGGGAATACTGAATTTATAACACTAAAAAACACAATGACAACTTATTTCACTCACCATTGACTCAAAGTAATAATTCCTCGCCATCGATCACGCTGTTGGGATTTTTGTATTCCATCTTCGTCCTCTGCCCGGTCATGAAAGCTTCGAGCCATGCCAGCTTCGCCTGGTTCCGCGTCTGAATTATCCGCAGAAAAAAGACTGGTTCGTTCTTGCAAGGCGAAAATAGCCCATCAGCAGCACCTAAAAGCTATTCCCCTTCACTTTCGTCAAAAGCTGACGCCCTCGAGCTTGAATATTTGCCGTGAGACATGTTCATAAACTCGCAAGTAAAACTCCGCCGTATAACTTCTTGTTAGTTAGCAATGTAAATTTTCGCTAACACAACCACTTTACGTCACTTCCTGTCAAACTCGACCCAATCCCTTGTGACAGAATTTGAAGCAAAAATCGACCTTGAAACAGCTGTAATTCCGAAAGTGTTTGTTTTTCGAAAATTTTATGGTGATTTTCGTGATCAGCATACTCGATTACGTGATGGGGGCGAATAAAAATTTTCGTGTCATATGCACTTTAAACACATTTTATAAACATAGATTGTAAAATAATATAAGATTTGACTTGTGGTAAAATTTAAGAATAAAATAACAAAATGGCCAGGCTCGAAATTCACCAATACTTACATTTTTCATCTATATTATCTATCTGTATTATATATTATATTATATATATCATATAAATGATCTATCTATCTGTTATTAGATAAAACATAACAAGCGTGATATCACGAAAAAAAATTCGAGGAACATTCGTCAAATTTGTATTGCGCTAGAATGCTTCCTTTCTACCAATGTTTGCGTGATAAAGAGAGACAACAGCAAAAATTTGATATTTCTTCTTAAGAACGGTTTTAAGAGTAATTTCAGACTCAGAATCACAAACTTCTAAAATATTGGGCTCAGCGATCGGTGAAAAAACAGAAGACGGGCGTTTGAGACTTGACTTGCAGTGTCTATGTATCATGCTTGGGAGCCTAAGGCACCTGTGGCCTTTACAGAAATACTCAAACAGCTTCGTATCACAGTAGTCATACGGCTTTTGGAGGTAAGAATATAATTTGTCGTTCTGTTTTGGCTTTTAAGACACATTTTGAAATATTTCTTTTACATTTAAACAATACTCAAGATCAATTCGATATGCCTGGGGCCACTAAAAGCATAAGAAACAAGAGTGAATTTGCTTCAAGAAACAAATGTGCTAATCGTCTTTCATCGCATATTAAAACCATACTTTGGAAGCCGTATTCTATAAAACAAGTGGCCCAACAAATCCTGTTTAATCCAAGTTGAAAAACGGCGCAAACCACAACCCTATTCGAATCTTTAAACTGGATTCTTAAATCTTAATTCATCGGATTTCCTGGTATTTTCGGTTTTCATATACAATTCTTAAGCGCTCGAGCCTTGGATCATCTCGCAAACCCGAATTTATAAACTTCCTATGACAAAAGCTGATTGATTAGGATACAATCCGGTATAATGTGAAGGAATAGGATAGAATCCGATGAATTATGAAGCACTGAAACGGATTAGGATAAAATCCGATGAATTAGGATTGTATGGGACAGATAATTAGGATTGTCGGGACAGAGGTCATACAAAATTTTACATGACCTCTGTCCCGACAATCTTTGTTATAATTTCACTGAAGGATCCCAGATTTCAGAGCATAGAACGAGAAATTATAAAGATTTTCAAATCCCCGGAGTTAGGTTAGAATATGCAAAACGAAGTTTCTATATTTCTGGTGTCAAAAACTGGAACAATACTCCTAACAGCGTTCGAGAGTTGCTTATTTTAAAACAGGGCTAATAAGAGAGTATATTTTGAATTTCGAATTTGTCATAGTTGGTACTTACAACAGAGGAGGGGGGGGGAATTCACTGGGGACACAGCTCTGAAGAAGATCATTTGAGTGCTAAAACACATACCAGTTCCGTCTTTTGTTTCATAATCATTGCCAAACACATTCAAGTGCGTCCTTCTGCCAACGGCTACTTGATTGATGTATGGCATTAAGTTATTTGGTGTTCCCTGCAAGAAAAAGGGCGTAGGTAAGGAATCCAATTCCGATAATCCGATTAGCCTCCTGTCATACACGTCGAGGAGTTTTTTGACTGCACGAACTAATCACCGGTCGTCTAAGGTCAGGGAACGCTCTCCTAAAAATATGACATCTAGCAAAACATGACGTCTCTCCGGATTCTTCATGTCCGCCAGGAAAAGATCTTTAGCGCAAAAGAAATATTTGGCATGAGAAAAAAAACTAAAAAAGCTCACCTTAGTTCAAGCAAACCCATAAACCAGGGTACATGAATCATTCGATACGTTAAGGGGGGCACATCTCTACGTGAAGAGCAAATTTTGGCACAAACAAACATCAATCAATTAACAATGCGTACACATAAATTACTAATCTTTTAAACATTTACACACACATGCATAAATTAGCATGCAAGAACATTTACCTGTGGATCCTCGCCAATTCTTCCTGATTTATGGGCACCCACTGGGTTGAAGTAGCGCAGAAGAATAGTATTCCACGCCTAAAATAGAACGTTGGTAACTTCAACATAAACCTTCCCTAGCACACATGCACAAGCTGAAAATCATTAACTTGAAATCTTTTTATACTTTCCTTCAGATTCCATTTAGAAATCGTCAAACAGAAACACGCATATGATTAGAAGTGAGACAGCAACGATTGTACATTGGTCTAATAATAATAATCTTGCTCTTGATTATCTCTCGCATTCGTTTATGAAATATACTTGACGCAATATTACTAGCCTAATGACGAATCTGACATTCAAGCACCATTAATGAGAAGTTGTAAAGGGCAAACGGCTTTCGCATTTCATGGACCCAAACTCTGGAATCAACTTAGCCGTGGGACCAAGCAAGCTACCTCTTTATCTTTTTTTAAAGGGCTATTACAAATTGTTAATAACATTTTTAGGATTGTAATTAGCCTCCAATTCTAATTTTGAGTTTAAGTAGATTTTTATTCTGTAAGTTACTGGCACGGCCCCCTAAAGTTCAATCATTATGACTGACGAGGCTACCGTGGATAAATAATTTCAAAATGAAATGAAAAATATGACATTTATTTTCAAATGCTATTGTAAAGTTGTTTTCTCTACATTTCATAATTATTTATAACTTAATAATCTGCCAAATCTTTACTATTATTTCAGCTAAAATAATATTTTGCATCACATACCAGTCAAATGAAATCAGTTTTCAAAATACCTTGTTTGTTGCTGCCACATCCTTGATTATCTGCTCAATGAAGAATTTCGTTTGTCCATACGGGTTTGTGATACCTATTCCCGTTGGGTGGTTCTCGTCCAATGGGAGGTACTGCGACTTTCCATAAACAGTTGCAGACGATGAAAACACCAGGTTAAAGACATTGTGTTTCTGCATACACTGTTAAATCAGAAAAAACAGTTGGAAAAATCTTAGCGCAGGAAGCGAATAACTTTTTACCAAATGGTATCGAGGCCCAGATGGCCTTTTACCTAATTACAATATAACAATCACAAAATTAAATGCTTATTAAAAGTGCATATGTTACAGCGTAAAACTATGTTTATAAATAACTTAAAATATACAATAATAATCAGATATTATTAGGTATTTTTGCTAGGACCTGTTGCTTTTACTTGCATCAGTAGCAACGATAAATATCAAATAGCTAAAATGATCTCAATAAAACTGAGCAGGAGAAAGGTACAACTAAGGACATTGATAACAAATATTAGAATTTGTTAATGAGAACTGTTGGAAGAATGGAAGACAAAAATTGCGAAGAGTAAGAGAAAAATCATGGAAGAAAGAAAGGGCAAATGTAGGTGGGAGAAAAAGGAAAGCAATGTGGAAGATAAATAAATGAAAATATAAAAGAGAAAGTCAAAACAAAAAACACCCTTTATTGTTTCATTAAAGGGGAATATTTTGAGGGTTATACCTGCTTTGAAATTGCGTTTGAATCAACATAAACTTATTAACACTAGCAGAGATGAATACAAGCAGCAAAAATCTCTAATAGTTGGAAAAGATTTATCTACAAACAAGCAAAAACATTGATGAATGAAAAACTGCAAACCACAAACCTGTAATAGATAAATTGTCCCTGTTACGTTGTTATGGTAATATTCAAGTGGAATTTCAACTGACTCCCCAACAGCCTTGAGGCCAGCACAATGAACAACAGCATAAAAGGAATTCTAAAAAATCAAATAAGACATTCTCATCAGATTAAATATGTTACTTTATGTGATAATAATTTTTCATGTTTATATAAATTGTTTTTTCAGTAAAATAGACGGCTTTTACCAATAAGAGATTTATATTATAACAAAGTGAAAGTTAATATTTTCATGAATTGAAGTAGATAGAAATTAAATTGTGAATAAAAATTCAGAAGAATCAATTTCAAAATATATATACAGAAACAAAATTTCGAAATGATGAATAACTAAAAGTCCAAGTTTGTGGCTTTGCCAGCAGGGGTGTAACGCCCCCAATTCAGGGGGTGTAACGCCCCCAATTCTTTGCAAGTTGGTCAGCTGGTCCAAATAATTCTTAGTTTGTGGGTAAAATTGCCTATCGTTAGGTGAAATAGCACTTGAAAATTTATCTATCTTTTGTTTTTTCTGTAAATTTTACTCATGATCACCCTCTATCCCCCTTGTATGAAAGGACAAGCTACGCCACTGGTCATATCTGGCTTCTTTATGGACTTTTCAGTTAGTATTCAATATGGCAACTTCTTGATTGAATTAAACAAGGTGTACAGGGTCAAAGGCTTTGACAAAAACAAAGTACAATATTTCTCAAAGTACAAATAAGTGAAAGTTAATCACTTTTGGTTATGCTAGTTAGCAGGCAAAGGTTTACACCCTTTGTCAAAATGCAAGATAAATGTGGAAGGTAGTGTGACTTTGAGTGGGGTAAGTAAAAAGTGGAAGCTTCTCAAGATATCGAAAGGCAGTGAGCAGGGATTGTTATGGTTTAATAGCGGAGGAGGTAGAATGTAGAAGGAGGAGGATATTGAATGTAGAAGGCGCTCTAGGTGCTTGCTACTAGAAAGTCTTTCAGATAAGTAAAATTATTTGTGAGGCCTTGTTTGTAAAGTCATTTCTATGACTCAGAAAAGACTTTTATCAAATATTGGTGACCTTCAGTGTTAGAAAAGAGTTTCAGATGAGATTTATAAGGGACAGGCTGTGTGTTGTCAGAAATACAGGTTAATGTGAAAGTGAAGTAAAAAGCCTTGTGAAAGTGAAATGAAGAATCATTGCCATATAGATGTAAATTCTTTGGTAGGCAGACCAGGAAGGTGTAGTATTATAGAGCATCTAATTTAGTAGTATTATAGAGCATCTTATACAGATAACCTAATTAAGGCTCTTCAAAACTTAATCAACGTTAATACTACTCGCATTTTGAAAAACAACTCATGACTGTCAATACTTTAAATCAAATCAACAGCGTGCACATTTTCTGAAGATGTGTGCTTAACCGTGAATACTGCTATTGTCCTTATTATAACGCAATTGTACAACATTGTTTTATTGAAATTAAAACACAATATACAACAGAAGGTATTACACACCAAGGTAAAGTTCAAGCTGAAACGTAATGTTTTCTTTAAACAGTAAAAAAGTTAATAGACCATACACTGTTAAATCAACATTTAGAAAACTTACCTGTTCAAATAATTTATCAAGACCATCTTTATCTAGAAGATTACATTGCTGAAAGGTGACATTCTTTCCAGATAATTCTTTGACTCTTGTAATACTTTCTGAAATAAAATTAATTATACTATAAAATTAATTAAGTATAATTATACTTAAGGAATTCAAATTAAAAAAAAATTTCATTTTTTTAGCTAGCTAAATATATATTTGAATAGCTATCTTAAACAAAAAGCAGTAACAGAATACCCAAACTGCTTCTTGCTAGTTGATAACCTAACTAACTAGCAAATTATTGAAAACTAACTTCACCACCTCAAAGGAGGAGAAATGGCACATGAAAGATCGAAAGCTATTGTTATGCAAATTTGTTGTATTTTCAAGTGGCCAACAGGAATGGGTCGGAAGTGAAACGGTCATCAATTGAAACTTCATTCTTTTTATAACACTTGTTTAAAAAATAACAGCAATAAACATATTTTAACAGTTTCAATTTTCAATATTTTTACTGGTAGTCACGAATTGGGGTAGCCCCTTCAACATCAATTTTTTTTGGTCACCCACTTCTTGGTTTCTTTTCCACTGAAACACTCACAAGAAATAATTTTTGACTTCTCACAGCTGCTGTGTGGCTGCATCTAATTTGGTCAACAATTTTCTAAAAAGATCAAATACCATTTTCCCGTAATTATTTTGTGGCGACTCGCCTCATCAATATTTTCAAACTTTTCCTGCCAAAATTTGTTATAAAATATGCATATTTCACCTAATTCTTGCATTCAACTATCTTGTATCATCAAAAAGTTGACAAAAATGCCACCATTTTGAACAAAGTGGTGCAATACTTTTGATACCCTAGTTAATAATTATTAAAAAAATGGCCACTATTAGCTATATTTGCAATATTAGCGAAGAACATACACTGCTGTACATATGAATGAAAGTTGGCTTACCTGTATGTGCATTGACTAAATTATCGACTACAACACATTCATAACCACACTGGAGCAATTCCACCAGGACATGACTACCCACATAGCCAGCTCCTCCAGTGACTAGTATTTTCTTTGCCATGATCTCTGATTCTGTAAAAATCATGTGCATAAAAGCATTCAAAATTCAAAATATAAGTTAATGTGATGGTTTGAGGTGGAAGATTGATCTTTTTGGACAAAAGAAAGGTAGGAATGTGGCCAGCAAGGAGCCTGGGGAGCCACTGCTTCAGAAAGGAAATGAGAACATTTTGGAATGAATTCTGACCTAGACTGACAGATCATGAAAACCATCTCAGAGCTCTCTTACTTTCAAAATCCTGGATTTTCCCCTGCTTTCAGGAACACAATAAAACAAAGTAAACCATTAATAAATTGTTTGAAAAACTTAGAAATGTCATTACCAACATTGCTTGTTCCTTTAAACCTAAAAATAGGACTTTAGAGTTTAAGAGATGGCCCTCTATGATGTGCATGTTAAAAATATGACAAGCCCCAGAATATGAGAAATTGCTATGATCTGTCAGGTTGTTATCCTTAACATTTTTTACAAACAGAATCACAATAAAATCTGCTGACAGTAAGTTATCAGCAGCATTTAAAAAAATTGAAACATTTTCCAAAACAATAAAAGTTGCAGAGTGAAATTGGGGTATAGCGTACAGCTCTGAGGAGAGGAATCAGGTAGGCCATTTTTCAGCAAAATTCCACAGGTGAAATGTTTTTTAAGTCACAAGCACTTTTCTTTCCAAGAATAAGTGTCTATGACATAAAAAAATTACAATAGATGCAGGTGGTTGATCTGCAATTGATGGTAAAATCTTCCATAATGGCCTTTAGCTCAGTAGATGCGTCTAACAAAGGCATTTGAGCAAAAACAGATGTCCAATTTTGAATGTCATGATTGACAGTTTTGATTAAGAGAAGTTAAACTCTGTGCTACACTGGATAGACCAATATAGGAGTGCAAACAGGATAGACCACCATTGTATCTAATGTGGCTTTTGCCCAGCTTGAGTCAAGGCCCTGCAAACTCAGGAACCGCGGAGCAGGGGGGCTGGGGGGGGGGGGCTTTGTCAAAATTTTTTTGCAAAAAATGCCCACTATTTAGTACTTAACTACCAGTAAAGCCTCTTTTTATAAGGTTTTAGCCCCCCACTTTTTTAGACCCCCCACTTTTCTCAACGCTCTGCGGTGCCTGAAACTACGGTCTATGTGCTGAGGGTCTATTAAAGAAGTGATTTATAATGATTAGATATCATAAATAGTTGTTTTAATTTTTTAAGCTTTGTCGCCAATTGAGGCACCTGTAAAATAGGGAGAGGCCTATCTTCTTTATTTGTCCACCCTTCTATATGCCTTATCAGCTGATTACTGTTGTAAAAAACCATTTGTAAAGAATTTAGTAATAGTAATAGCAAGAGTGAAGTTCCTATGACAAATAACATTAAGTAATACATCAAAATAAGATTTGACATACTCAGCTGCAAGAAGCACCAAAAACATGCAAAGAAGTTCTTATACCAAACTTACAGAAGAAGATTGCGATACCTTTGATGGGAAGGTCTTTTTAATTCAAAATTAAGCATCGTATCGCAAAAGAAAAAGACCATCAAAATTTAGAACTTGCAATTGCTATGACATGTTGTATTTTTAGTCACTGTTAGGATCAATATTTTTTCATAAATTTGTTCATTAAGATTGATTCTTTCCTTAAGTTTCCCACACATTTATACTAGATATACACAGGTACTACTTTGAGATACAAATAACTTTTTAAAAAGCTAAACGAATTAAAAATACGATAATCACAACATATATCCTAAAGTCCCTTTAATTTTCACGGCGAAAAATAATTTGTAAAATCATACCGATTATCCTGAGGCTTGAAATTTCAAAAATGACCCTTCGCTCTCGTGATTCGTGTCACTTTCTATCTCAGAAACGAGGTTTATTTACGTAGCCTCATTCCCGATTTGTCGTCGGAATTTGCGCAAAGACAATCTTATCGGTGCAAGAAATGGCCTCTTCCTTAGAATTGGCCTCTAGAAATTAAAAAAAACGCTAACAAACCCCAACCTCGACTAAAGTTCCTTTAATTTTCATGGCGAAAAATAATTTGTAAAATCATACCGATTATCCTGAGGCTTGAAATTTCAAAAAAGACCCTTCGCTCTCGTGATTCGTGTCACTTTCTATCTCAGAAACGAGGTTTATTTACGTGGCCTCATTTCCGATTTGTCGTCGGAATTTACGCAAAGACGATCTTATCAGTGCAAGAAATGGCCTCTTCCTTAAAATTGGCCTCTGGAAATTAAAAAAAAACGCTAACAAACCCCAACCTCGACTAAAGTTCCTTTAATTTTCATGGCGAAAAATAATTTGTAAAATCATACCGATTATCCTGAGGCTTGAAATTTCAAAAAAGACCCTTCGCTCTCGTGATTCGTGTCACTTTCTATCTCAGAAACGAGGTTTATTTACGTGGCCTCATTTCCGATTTGTCGTCGGAATTTACGCAAAGACGATCTTATCAGTGCAAGAAATGGCCTCTTCCTTAAAATTGGCCTCTGGAAATTAAAAAAAAACGCTAACAAACCCCAACCTCGACTAAAGTTCCTTTAATTTTCATGGCGAAAAATAATTTGTAAAATCATACCGATTATCCTGAGGCTTGAAATTTCAAAAAAGACCCTTCGCTCTCGTGATTCGTGTCACTTTCTATCTCAGAAACGAGGTTTATTTACGTGGCCTCATTTCCGATTTGTCGTCGGAATTTACGCAAAGACGATCTTATCAGTGCAAGAAATGGCCTCTTCCTTAAAATTGGCCTCTGGAAATTAAAAAAAAACGCTAACAAACCCCAACCTCGACTAAAGTTCCTTTAATTTTCATGGCGAAAAATAATTTGTAAAATCATACCGATTATCCTGAGGCTTGATATTTCAAAAATGACCCTTCGCTCTCGTGATTCGTGTCACTTTCTATCCCAGAAACGAGGTTTATTTACGTGGCCTCATCTTCCTAAAAATTGGCCTCTAGAAATTAAAAAACGCCAACAAACCCCAACCTCGAATAAGGTACTACGCTGGATTATCCCTCCCCATCATGCCAACCTTCAAACTATGACTGTAAGCGAAAACGGGAAAAAATGAACGAAGCATTTTGACAACGTTTTTGCTGTCAGTATGTCAAAGTATGTCAAAGTGACACTACAAAGTTGAAAAATCGTTAATAAACAGCCTTTTAGATGAGCCCCCCCCCCTCTAATATGCCCCTATCCAAAACGCCGTAAATTGCTAAGCTCTCTAAGCAGCTTATTCGAAATTTCATTGAATAAGCAGCTTATTTCATTGAATATTCTCCGGCACAAAAACAGTGAACCTTATAAAGAAGGACAGTCTATAAAAAAATAAAGGATACATGCAGAGCCGCCGAGTAGGGGGCAAGGGGGCAAATTGTCCCAGGGCCTCGAGGTTTAAGGGGCCTCATAAGAAATTAATTGCGTTTTAACATGTTATTAATTACAAGTAACAAAATCATACTTAAAAAAGTAAAAAATTTGAACGAATGAATGAATTTAAGCTATGCTAAAGGGCGTGGTCGCAAAAATTTTCTGCTTGCTCCAATCGCAAGGGGCGTCGTCTTTTGCTTTTGCTCCAGGGCCTCCAAAAACTCTCGGCGGCCCTGGATAAGTGCCAGAACATAATAGTGGATAATTCATATGTTTCTTAAATAAGTAAGTTGAGTGAAGTACTTCATTTATTCGCTTATTATATTGCCCCTATTATAGATGCTATGCTATTATTCACTGTAAAACGAGCATTATATCTTTCAAGCTTAGCTATACAATAATGCTTACATAGTTCTAGGTGTGCGAAAGAATGCATCCGAATGACAGTAAATCAGGATACAAATTTCAAATAAAGTAATAGACCACATGTGAACGTGCAGAACCTAACTTAACTGCAAAATGTCATTGTTAGCTATAAATTTGTTATCACTCCCGAAGTTTGAAACAACAAGTTTAGAACAATTAACTCATTTTACATTAAATAGTTCCAACACAGAGCCTTGAGGTACATAAGTTCTTTCTTCAAACATTTGTAGACTTAGTACGCTAAAGGCATTTGCTAGCAAATTATCATATAGTTATGAGAATGGTATGGTAATCCAGAACTCTCTTCTGACCAATTACAAAAATCAAAACCTCTTTTACAACTTTTAATAGAAAATCAAACATAGGCGATCATCGTATCTAAACATTTTGGTTTAAATTAATATGTTAAGGATTTAATCAGTGAGTATAACAAGGACATGTTTTTTAACCACAGTACGAGGGTTTGATCTTGGTTTGGTTAACGCAGGTCGAACCTAAACTCTTTTTGAGTTGTGATTAGAGCTTGTAGCTGGGGCTACAAATTCAAAGGTCCCAACACAACAAATAGAGTCAATACAAACAGTGACGGTGTTTATATTCAGTCCTTTTCGGATTTATTGTATTTAATGCATTTGATGCATGTAAAGGGGACGGTAGAGGTGGTTCTGGGGGCCCATCTCTGCTATTAGCCCCTTAGTTTTATCTATGACCATGACAACAAACCCTTAGATTTTGGGATACTTGGAGGGTCATGATATCAGTCAACCTTCTGATATAAGATGGTACCTGATGATGATGATGAAATAGGACGGTGCCCTCCTCCAATGTATACAAACTCAGAACAATAAAGTCACTGATACTTGGCTTAATTCATCTTTCACATCTTCATCTAATCTGTCTATAATTTCAAATGGATGGAAAACAAGCAATACTTCACACAGTACGTAGGGTCTTTCCACGTTAAAAAAGAAAAAATATTGCAAAGATCAATGGGAAGGAGATCCCATCATGGAAGCTTTTTCCATCTAACTACATAGCACAATTTTCTTGTGGCACTTCATACCTTTTGTTTACTGACAACTTCTCATGTCACAAAATTTAAAACTATTCCAGTACCTCTTCGCTATTCATTTTAATTTTGTGTTTAACAAAAAATGATTGATTAATAATTCGTGTTTTATTATGATTCGTACCTAAGAAGAACATTTAATAAGTGAATCTTGCACTAATCTGATTTGTAGCGGATATAATATATAATAAGGGAGAATATTATCCTTCCATATTAACAATATTTCTAGCTATCAAGGGCTGCATCCAAGACTGCTATTAAAATCCTCTTTCTAGAATAAAACTACTCGTTGGATTCATAATTCTAATTGTTTCTTCTAAAAACAGAAGTACATTCCAATCTCTAATTTTAAAGAGCAGAAAGGGTAAGAATGATCATTTTAGGTAACTGAAAAGGACTTCGTTTTGAAAAAATAAACCCTCGATCATTCCCCTTTCAAAACTACTTCGCAACAGGTTTTTCTAAAACAAATCATAAAGGCAAAAAATCGAACAAGCGTCTCTAAAATTCTAAAATATGGTTTGGTACCACGAAGAAGAACTCATAACAGCCACGTAGCTGCAGAGGAAGCAGGGGGAGCACGGGAGAGCTGTGACCCCCCAAATGAAAATTTTGACAATGACTTGCCCCCTCTGGGTACAGTTTTTCCGAATGATAATTTTGAAATTTGGCATAATTATAATTCCGTGACCTTAATTTAATCCAAATAAATCTGTTTGTTATATATCTGTTTTCTTGCTTGCCCCCCTCAGGTATGGTTCTTGCTCGAGTTTGCCCACTATAGCCGACATCTACAGCTACGTTGTTGACTCATAATATCCTTTTGGTCAAAAGAAAAAAATACCCCAGTAATCGCTTAACTATAGAAAATATGAGGATGATGATGAAATTCACATTCAAGGCATGATTATGACGAAGAAACAACAACTTTAATGGAGTAGAATATGTCTAGCCAATGTTCTGGTGGTTGCCACATGCTGGTTACAAAAACAAGTTTGAAGCAGTCTATTCTGCTAATGGCAAATTTTTCCTTCTTGTAATCTGAACCATCGCTTGGACGAACCAGTGAAAGAAACCTGAAATAAAGACCGCAAATGAAAGAGTCGAAGAAGGTATTGTGTCCATGGGAGGTGGAAAAAATATGTTACACTACATTCAAGATCGAGAGTATTTGGTCCTTTGTATGAAAAACTGGGGAGTGTGATTGCTTCTGGGTAAAAAATCTATATAAAGAGTCATACAAGGAGCATTGTTTGAATTTGAACTAAAGCTACAAAAGAGCTAGCTATGCTATGCAAAAGATCTATGGTATGCGGCTGCAAATGAGCTGGGGGTATGCAGCTACAAATGAGCTGGGGGATGCAGCTGCAAAAAAATCTGGGATATACTGCAAAAAATTGGGATATGCAGTAGCAAATTAGCTAGAAAATGCAGCTGCATAAAGCTGGGATGTGCAGCTGCAATAAAGCTTAATTATGCAGCTGCAAAAGAATGGGGGTATCCATCTGCAAATGAGCTGGGGGTATGCAGCTGCAAATGAGCTGGGGAATGCCGATGCAAAAGAGCTGGTGAATGCTGATGCAAATGAGCTTGGGGATGCAGCTGCATTTGAGCCGGGATATGCAACTGCCAATAAGCAGGGGTATGCAACCCAAAAAGAGTAGGGATATGCAGCTGCAAAATACCGAGATATGCTGCAAACAACTGGGATATGCAGCTACAAATGAGCTGGAGTATGCAGCTGCAAATGAGCTGGGACATGCAGCTACGAATGAACTAGGGTATGCAACTACAAATAAGCGAGTGTATGCAGCCCAAAAAGAGCTGGGACATGCAGCAGCAAATTCGCTAGGGAAGTACAGCTGCAAAAAGGCTGAAGTATGCAGCTGCAAATTAGCTGAGGAATGCAACTGCAAATGAGCTGGAGTATGCTGCTGCAAATTAGCTGGAGTGTGCAGCTGCAAATGAGCTGGGTTATGCAGGTACAAAAGAGCTAGGGCATGAGCTGGAGTATGCAGCTGCAAAAGAGCTGAGATATCCGGCTACATAAAGCTGGGATGTGCAGCTACGATAAAGCTTGAGTATGCATCTGGAGAAGAGCTGGGGGCATGCAGCCCAAAAAGAGCTAAGGTATGCAGCTGCAAAAAACTCAAGTATGCAGCAGAAGAAGAGTTGATGGTGTACAAGATTGCTGTGTAAGATGGGTTCCAAGAGGGTTCTTTTGTTTGTAGCGAAAACAATATAATACAATCGATTGCCATGGTACGACAGGGTTCCTTTCTTAAAAAATACAATATGGTACAGAGGAATAGAATATGTTACAAAAGATAACCATGACAAGAGTTAATGGTGTATAGGATTGCTGTGTAAGACTCACTATGCTGATGCAAAAAGAAAAGGCTTTTTTGACTGATGACTTGAATATAAGCGCCATATATAAGTCCACTAGAATAAAATATCTGTCATAATGAACCTTAAAAATAGGAAGAGATTTTAAGAAATGCAGATATCAACAATTTTGCTCTGGATCTTGTTACAGGAGGATTCCGTTTAAAGTTATAGAAGTATATATGTGCATTCCAAACGCAAGTGGCAAGTACCTTTTGGGGTATTTAGGATCTATAGAGTAAAAATAACTTTACAGCAAGTTACCTGTCGTTCTTTAAAAGTTGTTTGTCAATCAAGATTTTATACAAGCCTTTCTCGATTTCTTCAATGCGGCTTTCTATGACTTCTAGCATATCAATTTGCATCATGTCAATGACTAAAAACTTGCCATACCTGCAAAACATAAAAGTAAGTTAAAATTGTTTAACTGAATAACTGTGTAGGGAATAAAGACATTCGAACAGTTCATCATTAGAAGCTGTTTTTTATTCTTGTTTGGTAAACGAATATGTGAGCACGTATAAATGAACAGGCATGTTGAACACGCACGTTGAGCACATACATCTAGCACACTTTAGTACGAATTTACCTAGTCTCTTAAAGCCTATTTGCGAAAACGATCCTTCATTTAAAGAGACAAACAGAAAAGATTCTATTGTATTTTTTTAGTTAATTATGCTTGGAAAAGGCCTGAGGGGCTACATTAAAGCATTGATATTGGAAAAGGGGAGGGAATGCAAAGAAGAAAGGAAAGAGATCAAGTTTCTTAATCTTAGTTTTGAAAGAAGAACAGTTAGAGGGATTCGGAAAGCAAGAAGAGGGTGAAGCTTTCCTAGGTTTACAAGTTCTGGGAGGGGAGGAAAAGCTGTCTGAAATAGTTCGTGGAGTCTCCACTCGCTTTCTCTTAAAGAGACAGAAATGTTGAGCGCTTTGTGGAAAAATTCAAAACTGTTCAGATTGCTTACTTTATTCAATCAATTAATGAGACTTCGCAGTGAGCAAGTTATTCTTAAAGTTTAATGCAAATACGACCATCAGTTTTGAACGTAATTGGAAATATCACATTTCTTCTATCGTTATTTTTTATAGATTTCACTGCTTCAAAACTTAAAACGTTCATTGCTCTCAGGAGATCGGTGATATGATGCCAGTTCCCCTGAGACATGCACACAATACAAGACACTCTTCCAGTGCTCACCCTTTCCAAGTCTCTTTGTCAACCGCACAAACCCATCCCCACAACTCTTCCTTTCTCACTAGATGTTGTAAACTTTAGAAGCTTTACCCCCTTCCTGTTGCCTAGACACTTACAACCAATCTTCATCCAAAACAAAAATAAATAAGGCTGATCTCTCTCTCTCTCTCTCTCTCTCTCTCTCTCTCTCTCTCTCTCTCTCTCTCTTTCTCTCTCCCCCCATAATTCCTCCTTCATTTCCCTTGTTAAGACCTAGCTATAGGCTCTTGACCCTTTTCCTAACAATACCAACTAAAAAAGGTTATTGATCCAATGGCAGACTAAAATACAAAGTTAGCGAATACCTTAAAGCTCCAAGCAGCGCTTTCCTGATATAATCAGGCTCCATTTCTTTCATGTTCAGCGCATTTATGTAGTTGGTATCTCTGTATCTTAGAAACACTGAAGTCTGATTTGATGGATCAACAATAAGTGGCCATCTGGAATAGAGCAATGACAAATGACGATTAGAAGTGACCATCTAATGGTATGTGAAAGATATCAATAAGAAAAACAAACAGACGTTTAAAGACACGGTGTATTCTAAAAACCGCTCGAAGAATTTAGCATTTTGATAGTTGTGACGCAGTAGTCTTTATAAAGTGGATCCAGAGATCCATGACTTCATTATGCTAATGGCATTTACAAGCCTTTTCTAAAACATTGGAACCACGGTTATTTTTAAGGAAAATTTAGAGTTGCACATTTTCTCGGGAGCACTGTGTTGAAGGAATAATTATTGGTTCTTATAGGTATAAACAAAATGTACATGATGCGCAGGTACAGATAGCTTGTGCTCCAGACCAGTGGCGTAGCCAGAGTTTGAAGATTGGAGGGGCAGAGAGTCCGACACAGGGGCGGATCCAGAGCAAATTTGAAGGAGGGGCAGTCGGTAGTGGGGGCGCTGAAAAATTTCCAAGAATTGTTGACGAGAGTACGCTGTATATACAATTTCAGATCCATTTTCAGAATAAACAACTTAACTTTGAGGTAATCCTTGAAGCAAAGTAACCTATCGGTCTCAGAAACTTTCTACCTGATTCTTATTCTTCAAAAGTGGCGCATAATTTCCAAAAAAGGGGTGCCAGACTTGCTTCAACTTGTCGAGGGAGGGGCAACTGCCCTTAGTTGCCCCCCTCCTTAAATCCGCCACTGGTCCGACAGCAGAGGGTCCGGGGCTTGAACCACAGGAAAATTTTTGCTGACCACACCTTTAAAAATTTGGAAAAATACCCCGTTTTGTAAATTCCTTTGGAAATCCCCCATCGGTAAAAAAAATTTAGGCCTATAAATAAAACTCCATTTTGAATAAAATCTTTCGAAATAGATTTATAATGTAATATAAATTCTCAGAAAAAGCAAGTAGATTCTAACTCAACTTGGAAGCAAAATTATAAAGTACATTGTAACAGAAAACCAAATTTTCGAGCATGTAACAACCATTGTGAGTTCTTGATTACATAAAATCGCAAGAAACCAAAGTCAACAATATAGAATCTTGAAAAATAAAATTGTGTTTGTGGAGCGACATTTGATGGCCATATAATACATAATGTTTTAATATCTTTGTCTAACTTTGATATCGTCTTTTTTTCGAGTTACGCCAATTAGACGGGTGAAACTGACGACGACAAGGCAAGGTATAAATAGCAATTGCATAGCAGCTTGAGAAGTAAATGTTAAATTGTCTCCAGTTTAGTTGTCTGTTTGTTTTGTTTGATTTAATCCAAAATGTAAAAATTAAATTCGAAACTGGTGACATGATTTATTTCTGCTCTGAATTGTTAATGTTTGCTGATTTAAGAGTTTAAACAGACTCCTACTTTGACACTATCAATTTCGACTTCGTTTATGTGTGACACAAAAACGTTAAAGCGACTATGAAGTTTCGTAAAAATTATATTTCCTTTACACCGAATGTCTTTCTATATCTATAATTTCTATATCCAAACAGTTCTTTGCTTAATTTGAGCACCATCTTCATTATCTTCTTGTGTTTCATCATTTAAACTTTCGTTTGTTTTTTACTGCAAAAGTTTTCCTGCATTTTTTCATTAAAGTAAAATTTTAGAATTGCAGATATTATTCTTTAAAACTGCACAAAAACTTTCTACACATATTGTGTAGAACTGCACGTTAAAAAACCCCTGATTTGAACTCGTTGGTACTTTTTCTAAGGTAAATTTTGAAAGAGAAAAGTGTTAGGATGATAGATCTTTTAAAGTAAAAAAAGGAAAGGTATTTTATTGAATAATAAACAACTGAAATAAAAATCTCAAAACCATAAACCACAAATTAAAAGGCACGTGTCTTGAACATGATTGGCTAATGCAAAACAATTATCTTTTTTGTTTAGTACAAAGCATGAAATCGAGGGTGAACAACAAGAAGAAATGAAAAGTCACGAAACAATGGAATTCTACTCCAAACGCTTTTGTTTTATTAGCCAACGGTTAATGCGACATATGTCCTTTAAGCAAACATAAACTTCCACCTTGACATAAATTTCGTCTCGCCTTTTCGTCATTTTCTAACATCTTGCGCTCGAATTGTCGGTCGAGCAAGACTCGCACTATCAGTCCTGTGAGTCCGCTGTTATAACCAATTCTAAAATTTGGCGATATTAACTTAAAGTGAATTTCGTTACGATTATGAGCCCAAAAGCTTACCTTGCATCATTTTTAATTTTATCGCCAACATCTCTCATCAGAACATCGTCCAGTTCCTTCAAGTTGCATTTAACGCCTTTGATCGCAAATAAATCTACAAACCAAAGATACACTTATGCTTAGACATATTCTACAAAGCTACCAATTGTATGATCACGAAACTGTTATTCAATATGTTTATATTGAATATTGAAAGATAGAAAAGGAGTAATTATTGACCTGGTAAACAAATTTGTTTAGATGAAGTAGTATTATGTCCCAGAATAGAGGACTTCGCCATAATTCTTGCTACCGTAATGCCTCAAAAAAGCGCCCCCCTCAAATAAGAGCCCCCCTCGAATAAGCGCCTTTCCTTCAAACTTCAGAAATGGGCGCTTATTCGAATTTTTAACGAAAGCATAAATAATTGGAAGGCAATTTAACAAGAAAGATCAATGAACAACACAATTTGCACCCAAATCTACTTTTCAAATAAGCGCCCCCTCGATTAAGCGCCTCCCTCGAATAAGCGCCCACCCTGGAGCCTCAAAAATTAAATAAGTGCCTGGGCGCTTATTCGAGGCATTACGGTAATTCATTTTCTATTTTATGTTCAAGTTTTTGCATTACAAGATTTTCTCGTGCCATTGGATTGTTTTTTGTTTTTTTGTGTTGTTCCTTTTCAGTGTTTAACTCGATGATTGACCAACTTTAATATGAAAACAGTAAGCCCTGTTGAACATATAACACAGTTGTCAAAGACTGAGGAAGGAAAGATTTATAAAAATTTAAAAAATGAAAAAATTACAAGCATACCTGTTTGGTCTTTGGCATGGCTTGTTTCCTCTCTCAATTGTAGTTTTAACTGAAAATAATCACATAACCATTCACATCACACGAACACTGGAAAACTATCTTCTGAAACATCCATGAGTTGGTGTGTAGAACCGGGTAAGTTGCAGCTTCGAGTTGCTAAATTCTAAGTTGCTTCTAGATTATGAGACAATTAGACTCCAAAATGCGGAGTAGAAAATTACGGCCACAATTTTACACACTAAAAACGCGTACAGGTCTGTCTAAATACATATCGAGTACACATTAACACAATATGGAATTTTGGAGTTAAACAAATTATATTCTTATTTCTAGGTAACACTATTGTTTTTGATCCACAAGACATGTTTACAAGCAGAGAAAATTCTTTACCAAAACAATGGATGAATGAATACATTCATCATAGAGATTTGAAGGCGTCAAATTTCGACAAAAAGACTTACAATTGATAGTTTTTCGCGTGCTTCTTTTTCTTCTCTCTTTGCCTTTTCTAGGTCTTCCTCTCCATCGTGAACTGCCTATTAAATTTTTAAACAATTTATCCCAATGTGAAAGACCAGATGACATACATAGGAAAATCATAAAGGAGGTAAAAAATACACGATTCTTGTCATATCATAGATTAGTTTGTTACACGGTTGTGAAAGGAAGAACCAACATCCATACCAAAAATTTCGTTGAATTCATTTTCGGTGGAAAAGATTTCGGTTATATGTTTGAGATATAAATGTCGGTGTAAAAATCGGTGAGAGCTTGAAAAATTTTGACGGAAAGAAAACATATCGGCGAGTGAAGAAGTGAAACAACTTCTGTAAGTTATTTCTATCTTCATCATAAAATTTTCTGGAACGCAATCATGAAAGTTATAAAAATCTAATATTTTGATCTCAGTCCAATAAATGGAATGAAGAGTAGGGAGAAATATCATAAACCCTTTTTTAGTGGAGGTCTTTTTATTTTATCTATATAACCCATGGAGAATTCAATTGGAAGAGTTTACACTTCGCAATCGCAAAGAGGGGATTATAGATTCTGATCGATCGTGAGTTAAAAATTGAGGCGTCCAACTTGAAAACGTTGGAACGTTAGAATGAAAAAATTTAAAGAAATAATGTAGAGCCATTAGCAGCATGAGTTCTGTCCTGTCTCTGTTATGTCAAGCATCAGCAAATTAGAGATTTCAAATTTCTTGGACGGAGAGGGCGCAATACAAGAAAGTGAAGATAGGCTTGATATCTTATTTGTTGATGACGAAATCCGAAACTGAAAATTGACGCGTCTCGGATGTATAGTAATACTCAAATAAAATCCATAGAAATTCTTTGTCATTTTGAAAGTAAATCGGTGTAAAACCAGATTTTTCTAGCGTTTGAAAATTTCGTTGAGAAAAAAGTTCGGTTTCAAAAAATTCGATGGGATTAATTTTTGATTGCCAAGCTTCATTGAAAATATATCCCTTCGAAATTCTTGGTACTTAGTGTATTCTGGTTTAAATTTTTGTCAAGTCTTGGGTGACATAAAATCAAATACGAAATTCGTAGGGATGTTAAAATAAAATCAAATACGAAATGGAAGCTCGAAATGTAGTGACTAACCTGGAGGGTGACTTCCTTCTTTGACGCATCGAGCAAAGCACATTTATCGTGCTCGAAAATTCTTTTGTTGAGTTCTTCGTAGGCCTTCTGCAACTAAATAAGATAATTTGCAGAATTAATTTACAGAAAGTTCTAAAATCTCAGTTAAAATTTCAAATGAAAAGTAAAGGACACAAGTGTAAACATTGGAAAGTTATTAACATAGCCTTTCGCTTTTTGTGAAGGGAAGTATGCCAGAGCAGCAGCAGCACATAGCTCCCAGTCAAAAACTTTCGAAACATTGACATTTTGTATTGAGGTAACACTGTATTGCAAAAAGACAAAATAAATTAGATATTTTTAGTCAGAAATGGGCTCGACAGATCTACGTTTTATAATAATAATGCCTAATTTTGCATAATGATGCATAATTTTGCATAATAATGCCTAATTTTACATAATAATGCATAATTTTGCATGAAAAGCAGACAAACCTGCCTCTGCTTCACTTTGTACAGCTTTTCTACTTCTGCAATCTCGTGAGAAAGCCTAAATGAAAGTAATAATAATGGAGGTTGCGTACGTTAGCCTAGAAAACCAGTTTCATGTACATTTAAATGTTGAAACAGTAAAAAACTCTCCCTCGTTTAGTGATCAGTGACTGTGAATTTTGCTAGCGTTACCCCTAAAACCGTCACCGATACTAGAAATTGGGCTTGAGATTCTCATTATTGCACATTGATCATGAAAACAAATTCAAAATATAGAAACAGAACACTTGTATCGATCATCAACTAAAAAATAAGCGAAATGCGACCTGATAGCAAAAATAGCTTCGACAAAGAGATTATTAAACACGGCAAAAAACTAAAGAAAAGTGAAAATAGTTCTTTACAGGTTTTGAGTCTTTTACTTTTTGAACAGTGTATAATGCAGCCCGTAGTGTATATTGACGGTAGATGAAATCTTTTGAAGGGCGTTAAAATGCCGGCGTTAGATAAGGGTCGGCGTTAATTAAGGGCTGCCAAAGTATATAAATAGACTACAGAGCAGCATACAAATATTAGATAAAAAAGCTACACTTTCATTTTGGCATCCTTTCCAAACAGAGACATTATCTGCATCAAGACCTATGGCTTATTATGAGACTTAAGCTTCAGTCAACCCTTTGCCTTGATAAAAAAGAGATAATTGTCTACTTTCTTCAACGCTTTAAAGAATGTTTTCTTACATTTTGGTTTGCTTTTCCAGATGCTCCTGCTCAATCTTAAGCCTCTCTTGCTTCCTCTTCTCATTTCTTGCCATCAGTCTTTCAGTTTCTTTGATATCCCAACTAGAAATCAACTCTGCCACGTGGGGTGATGCAGCAATCTAAAACAAATTCTAAGCAAGCGTTGTTTCGGGTTCAATGTAACGTCTACAGCTGAACCCAGTTAAGTTGCACCTTCATGGGTTGTAAGGAAATGGTCTGAATTAGCAAATGCCCCACTTATCCAGGGTACGACTTCTGACCTGAATAAGGTAGGAAAACAAAAAAGGCCACCGAAAAATTGGTCTTTAATTTGCTCTCGGCGGAACTACCTTCCAACTTGTGACGGATCCCCTGACCAAATGGCAATTGGAAATCAGTCCAACTTAGTGAAAGTCCGAGCTATACAGGGTAGGGCTAAACTGTGTCAGATATTTTGTTAAGTTCTAGAGAGAATAACTTTACTTTTAGTCAATTAATCAATTACTATAGTCAGTTTTGAATGTAGCAATTTTTCGAGGAGAACAAGTCTTCGGGAACAGCAACAAGCATATTTTCTCGAATTAACAAACGAGATTTTTTATTAAAAAGAACTTTTAGAAGCGTTTTCTTTTAAAATCAAAATTGATTTTTGACACCATGCTTGGAAACGATTAGCTCTATTCTTCTCAACAACATTTTCCTTTTAAATTGTGATCCCTGCCATAGAGAAAAAATTATAGTCTGATTTATCAGCTGATGGCAATTTTTAAAAAACTTTTTTATAACCCTTTCTAAATAGGCCAAACATAACCCTTACCCTTGCAATGAAAGAAGCTACAAATTATTCTAAACCTGTTCAGGAGAATTTCCATCATCAGCACACAAGCGACCATCAGCCCCATTTTCAAGCAAAATCTAGAAAGAAAAGATCATATTCATTTAAGAAGACAACTACTGTGTTTAAAAACAAAGAAGGTGCTGAGGTGATTATCCCTAATTTTATCCAGCACCCTTTGTTAAAATTAAGAGAGATTTCAACGGGGGAGCTCAGCTCCTTTACCAATCTTTACCAAACATTCAAATACATAGGGTATGACCATGGGTGTGATCCTTGTTGTGACTTCTAGAAGTCCCCTACAGCACAGCCCCCTGGGCACCCTTGCCTTGAAGCCATGCCGAAAGGTCTTCTACCCTGCCCCTACCAAGCCACGATGCAATGTCTGAGCTTTAGGCATGTACTGGCGCATAGCATGCACTGGTGCATGGCATGTACTGGTGCATGGCATGTATTGGTGTATGGCATGTACTGGTGCTTGGCATTTACTGGCGCATAGCATGTACTGGAGCATGGCATGTACTGGTGCATGGCATATGCTGTACAGATGTGACCAGGCTATAAACTTCTGTCAGGTCTTGCTGTGGCTGAGCTCCAAAATCCCTTTACTAAGAGTTGTGTTGAATCTGATTTTGAGTAAAACACACCTTGACTATACAGCAATCACAAGAAACTCTTGCCAAGTAAGCCTAGATGGGAAACTATTCATCAATGACAATGCATAACCAACAGCATTTTTATATATTTACTCACCTGCACCGCTGCCAAATGTCCACCAAAAGCAGCTCTGTACAATGGTGTTCTTCTAAAGGCTCCCCTTGTGTTTACAGCTGCTCCTTTGTTTATTAGAAATTCAATTGATTCCTCATCACCCCCTGCAGCAGCCTCTGACAATGGGGTATTACCATTAGCATCCTCACAATCTATCAGTGCCATCTGGTGCCTCAGAATTTTCAACTCCAAAACAGGACCAGTTACTTTGAGACTGGCCAAATCAGACTTTTTTGCCTAATTAAATATATATTAATACATATAATTGAATAACCATGAAGCTTAGGCAAGATAAGTATTAAGCAAAGCAAGGAAACACTAGTATGAAATTTTGGTGAAAGAAACCGACATGTTCAAAAAGATAAAAAAAGATAATTTAAAAATTTCACAAAATCAACTTAAAATTAAAATTGAATAAATCACACCATACCAGACTTTTCAACACCCCTAAACATACCTGCCAAGCTTACATTCCTAGATGTATAAGAGCTCTTGGCCAGCCTTATTATTTTCAACAGTACTTTCTATTTTCTATTTAATTTCCTAGCAAAGATATGTTGATGAATAATCAAATTTCAAATTCATAATAAAGTTTTGATGATATGAACCTCTTCTAGAACATTATTGATCATTTCTTTGTCTCCGTCAAATGCTGCTTCCAATATTATCTTCTTTCTCTTTGCTTCTTCTTTAATTTGTCTTCTTTGCTCTTCTTCCTTCAATCTTTCCTTTTCTGCTTCTTCTCTTTCCCTCTTTACAATCTCTAGCCATGCCTAAAAATAAAAAAATCTGCATTAGAAACCTAATTATCAAGGGTCAGGATAAACAGAGAGACTGACAAAAGTATTTGGTATTAGCAGGGAACTACGTTTTTTAACTTTACTTTCTCCTAAATTCAATTGCTGGGAAGGGTTGGAATTTAGGTATCAAATATACTTGAAAGAAAGTTGAGCAATATTCTGGCAAAGATAAGTTACTTGTATTCTAGTTGTATTTACAAACTTCACTGATGTTGTGGCCATAGAACACAAAATTCAAAGATAGTAAACATTTTCTTCAAAAATTTAAAAAACTTGAAAAGGGAGAAAACTCTTGTGGGATCAGAGGCTGTCCTTTGAAATAAAATCACTAAAAAGCAGATTGCAAATGGATTACTGGGCCCCAACAACAGAGTCAAGGAGGCCATGGTCCTGGCACATTTTTGCGAAACAAAAGAGCCTTTTTGCAAAACTTTTGTGGAGTCGTACAAATACAAATACAGGACATATGACTCGATAGCTCCTCGCGAGTTTTTCTCATGTGTCCTTCAGCATAACAAAGCCACTTTATCTGATGTAATTAATTAATTAAATTTTTGAAAATGCTTACTTTTGTATTCTAATTTTTAATTCTTGGTATATTGTAATTAACATTTGTTTTTGCTAATAAAAATTTTGAGTTTGAGTCTTTAATCTGCCCTTGGTCTCCCAACCCTGAACTTGTATCTAAGGCAATTAGCCATAGCATCAATTTTATGGGAATTCATTTATGTGGTAAGCTAAACAAAACAGGTTAATTTTTGTAATCCACAATGTAAAAGGGCATCACATCAAACCTGACCTCCCTTTCTAGTCGTTCAATTTCCTCTGCATAACGCTTTTTTGCTTCTCTTTGATGATCCAATTTTTTCTTGGCAAGCAAAATCCTGAAATTCTTCTGCAGTTTAATTGCAGCTATGTCTTCCTTTGTCCAAGAAACTTTAGACTGCTTTTTTTTTTCTACGTCGTTGCTTGTTTTCTTGACGGTAGTTTTGCTTGGAGACTTTTTTGGTGAAGATTTCTGCTTTGCTGTTGTGCCTTTCCCTTTGGACGAAGAAGGGCCAGATGACTTTGTCGATGGTGCTGTTCCCTTACCTGTCCCTGGTGATTTGCTTGCAACAGATTTTGGCGTTACTTTCTTTGGGGGCATCTTGTTTGTTGAATAAATCCTTACCACAGGTCTGGGAGTGTTTTGTTATAATCACATGGAAGTAACCAGCGATCCACCTTAAAGGTGGATCTGATTCCCAGCAATTCGCGTTGCTGTGGTAACAGTCCAATGGTAAAACGACAAATGCCAAGTTCAAACAAAATCTTTCTAAAATTCTGAATTGTTAGTGTTTTATCTAAATCAATTTAGATAATGTTTTGTTCTCCACAGATTTATTTTAGAAAGAGCTTTAGAAAAGGATTATTTGTATAGGCTACCAACCACATATTTTTTTAAAACCTGAAGGGCCTGGAAGAAAATGTGGTTAAATCCTTTGCTCAAATGATAATATAGAAAATCGGTGGAACATAACGAGATTGCTGGTTGAAATTTTCATTGCAATTTTACCCAATTGTAAAAATAAACATAAATTTAATAAATTGTAAAAAACTAAACTTTTTAAACAAGTAACAATTGCTTTTTTATATTTTGTCAGACCTCCAAGAATCTAGGCAGCCGTTATTTGCATTTAAACTCACTGAAATAATTTTCCAACGAAATATCTTCGGATATAGGAGGAAATCTCAACAAAATTTTAAAAGAGCTTATTTTTGGTCTTAAAAGATTCCATTTCTGTATTTTGTTAATGAAAACCAGTTGTTTTCTGTTACATCAAGGCTTTGACTTTGAGGGGGTTATTGAAAGACATTATGTTATTGTTTTTGGAAATTTATGTCACAATTGCAACATAACTACACAATTGTACATACGTAGGTTTAATGTCTTGCTTTAAAATAAATGGTTTTTTCAAAGAATCATTAGCTGTTTCTGTACTTGCTTGGGGGCTTTCCACAAATAATTGGACAAAATATTCAGCTTTGATTGACTTCGCACACAACGCCAGCTTGCAGATGCCATTAGGCCCAACCAATTGTCAGCCTGCCCTGGCCTACTATTCTTTGAATTTTAGTCGGCCTTGTTAACTTACTGTTCTTGTAAAAAACATGCGTTGTAGACTTGCTGCAATCAAACTCTCTTGCAGTTTCAGCAAACAAATAACACGCTAGACCCAAATTTTTTATTGCTTCTCATTCTCTTTCTGGTCGTTTTTGTGTTTTCGCCATTGAAACTAAAACATTGATATTTTCCATTTCTTCTTGACATTTTGTTACTTTGTTACTATCATAGAAACAGGAGTGGCGGCATGGGGGGGCAAGGGGGGGGGGCTTTAGCCCCCCCTAAATTTTTGTTAGCCCCCCCCGTCGGCAGGCAATCAATTTTTGCTTTCTCTATACCGTCGGCACTTGATGGATGTCACCCGGTTTACATGTTGTTTGAATGACATAAATAATCGAGGAGAAAACTGCACTGGCTGGTTTATGGTTTTCTTAATGGCTTTTCTTCGGCAGTTTTACTATCATAGTGTCATTATATCCTGTCGCTTCCGTGAAAGCTGTGACTTAATTTCATGGTGCTCCTTCGCATGACCCACAATACCATCGTGCTCCTCTCGGTTATAAATAAAGTCTTTAATGAATTTTCTTCTTAAGGGATTCTCTTTTCGTTTCAAGACATTATTATTGCCAATGAAAACATTTCGATCATGAGCACATTTTGCGTAATAAATTTTTCAAAAAGCACTTCTTGTCCTATTTCATCAACTATTTTTCAATAGCATTGTTCACCGCATAGCTTGCGACAAACAAATGGTTTAGAGAAAACCATCGATTAATTTCTTCCAACATAGATAGGAAGAAATATTCAACAATAAGCAATATTTGCGCATTAAGTTTCTTACAAGGCACAAATTGCCGAGAAAGTCTCGTGGACTCCGACACAGGTTGGAAAGTGGGGACGGGGAGGGGGCAAGGGAGAATTTTGCACCCACAACAAACGATTTTGGAAAAATGCTCTATTTTTAAAATTGTTAAAATTTTTAAAATTAAAATTGTGCCTCGTGTCCATTTCTCCTAAAGTTTCTCAGTAGAAGCATCAACTGCAATTCACTATGCTAAGGCATGCTAAGATGGAGAGAGGGCTCTAAATTTAAAAGTAACTGACAACCTGGTATTTTTCGAGACCACGGCGAAATTGTTGATTTTATCTGCTGTAAAAAGTTTTGCAAAAAGACAATAATTTTCAATAGGATTAGGAGGATTGCTTTAGTGAAATCTGCCTAAAAGAGTGCATTTTCCAGGGAACTAGAAGCATCACAATTCGAAAATTTCCTGCCCCTTCGGCGGCAACCATGGTGCCGCCTCAGGTAGTAACTATATATTTTGCCCGTCCCGATATAGAAATTTGACAAGACTATTAGAAAAGTCAGTCATTATCATACAGAGTTAGATTGACAAAATGTATTGCAGAGGTTTGTGACACCAGCTAAAAAGTTTCAGGCAATAATTTTTTAATCAGGTAAATTTGCATTACACAGCCCCCCCCCCCCCCACCAAAAAATAGTCGATTCGCAGGGCGCCAAGAAGAGCTTTATTGCCACGCAGAAATGCCACCTCTGAAGTTCATAAAGAGCTGTTAAGGAATTTTGAAATGGAAATATCATATTTGTTATGAATCTACCTTCCTGTCATTGCATTTTAGAGAACGGAACAGGTATGTAAGGAAAAGCTCCGTTATTTGCAAAGCGAAAGCATTTCTTACCGAAAGTCATAGCCAATTGATGCAATGATTGATGCATATGTTTATGAGGGCAAGGTTGAGTCATGCAAATTAATTTAAGTTGTAAATTATTTTCACGACAAGCACGGCCTCATTGGCCTTTTCGGGGGGGGGGGGTAATAAGAGGCTGAAGGCCCTCACTTTGGTCAAGATAGGAATTTTTTTATCATTTTTTCTATTACTTTTGAACAGTGCATGAACTAAAAAACATAATAAATCGTTAAGATACCGATTTTGTTTCATCTAATTGCTAACTTTTTTACGTATATTTTTATCATTTTCCTTTTACTTGCATTAATTCAGTAAATTATTTTCTGTACCATTGCAATGTTTTAATTTTGGAAGTGTAAACATGGCCTTCTAGATACAAGAAACTGCACTTTCCTGTTCAGGAAATAAAATTCTCCCAATCAAAACAACATCTTCCTCTGTCATTCACAACTACGTGCAATCTGAAACGAAAGGTTGCCGTTTCTTTCCTTCCCCAACGTCTAACACTAGTGTTTTAGCATGACATCCCCCTCCCTATTTTTCCCAATAAGCAATAATATTTTCAATAAACAATCAGTTCTTTTAGCACAAAAGCATTTTGCCAAATTTTTGTCTGAAGATGCTTTTTAGACCTTTTAAAAGGTATAATTTCAAAAATTTCTTCACGTCGGACCCAAACATGGTGGGTCCTCCTACCTCACTAAACTTGACTCTTAGCCCCACTGGGCTAAATTTCGTTGCGCTGTTTACATCATGTACCCCCCCCCTCAATTAGCTCTTTATTAGCTTAATTTTGCAAACCCACATTAAATGAAGTGAATATAGAAAAAACAATTTACGCTCACGTACAGAAATAGAGATTTCATAGGCAATGAAGTTTCAAGTTTGTTTTTACTGCTTAGAAGTTGGTCCTTGGTAAAGACCAGTGTACACTGGTAAAGCTTTCACTAGTAACCTATAGACAAACCGTTGCTACTAGATCTGCAGGGCACCACTCAGTTTTGCAGGGCAGAGACCCTTTTCACCCCCCCCCCCCAAAACTATTGGCCAAGTTACGCCCCTGAAAACAGCAAGATTTGTTCAACCAATGTTAGAATGCTATAGTTTTGGAGACGCCATTTTGTTATTCATCGTCCTATTACTGTTGTCACGTATCTACACGCATCTTGAATGTTACGCAATTTTAAAAGTAGCTTGAATAAATGCAATAATTTAATAAAATTGTAGCATTTTCGTCGATGAAGTTAACTTTTTTGTTATGCAAACGTGAAATTTAAAAGTTTTATTTGTTTGGAGAGCTCTAAAGTTTTTGGCAGGTCATGTGACTTTGCCATTATTAGGCCATACGACCTTTCTGCATATTTTGCTGTTATAATCAGGAAAATCGAAAGAATCCTGTGTTTTCTTGGCTATGCTTCATAAGATGAAGCATTTTCTTAACTTTTTCTTCCATTTTGGGGAAACGTAGGCCTAGATTATTTGTAGAAAGACTGCCCAAATCTGAAAAAGTTTCCGTTGCAAAACCGAATCCAACGGAACCGAATCCATAATTCGTTTATCGAATTCGTCCCAATACTTTTTGAACGTAAGTGTATAAGTGTATATCAAAAAGGAAAATTCTCCATGACAAAGAAAATTTCTGACAAATTGCGTGATAACGAAACACAGGACAAAACGGCCAAACTATTACTATTGCGGAAACACCAAAAACGCCTGTTGGAACTGATTAACTCAAAAATGTTGACCGAAGAAATTTACGACAAGATCCTATCATTGTCAATTGAAAAAGCTGTTTCAATTGGATTTTTTTAATTGACTTTGATCCCATCTACTACTGGTTCGTATGGCCTCCCTACAGGGGCGAAAATCCCGGGGGTGTGACAACCCCCTTTCCCCCAATCTAAAAAATAATCGATTTCGCAGGGCAATCGATGAATTTGCAGGGCGCTAGGAAGAATTTTATTTGCAGCGCAGAAACGCCAGCATTGAAGTTTGTTAAGAGCCTTTTAGTAATTTAAACGGAAATATCAGATTTGCGATGAACTTCCTTCCTGGCATTGCATTCAAACGAACTGGACAGGTATGGCTAGAAGAGCCCAGTTATTAGCAAAACGAAAGCATTTCTTACCGAACTGTCATAGCCAATGGATGCAATGATGATTGATGCACATGTTTATGAGGGCAAGGTTGAGTCCACACAAATTAATTTAAGTTGTAAATTATTTTCATGACATGCAGGGTGCCACTTTTGGGGCTAGGGGCTGAAGGCCCCCACTTTGGTCAAGATAAGAATATTTTTACCGTTTTTTCAATAATTTTAAAACTATGTATGAAAAAAGAAGATAATAAACTGTTTCGATGCCGATTCTGTTTGAGCTTTTTGCTATCTTATTCATGTATATTTCTATTATTTTTTTTTATTTGCATCAATTCAGTAAATCATTTTCTCCATTGCAATGTTTTAATTTTGGATGCGTAGACATGGCCTTCTCGAGACAAGAAACTGCACATTTCTGTTCAGGAAATAAAATTATCCCAATCAAAACAACATCTTCCTCTGTCATTAACATCTACACATGTATGTATGTACAATCGAAAGGTTACCGTTTCTTTCTTTCCCAACTTCTGTCACTAGAGTTTTAGCATGACACCTTCCCTCCCAATTTTTCCCAATAAACAATAATCCGTTTTTCCAAGAACCCTCAAATTATCTTTCCTAGGCAGTATAGTATTATGTAAATGGCTTTGAAAAAAGCAAACATTTAGTAAACTAAAGCTTTTCGTCTGACACTCTTCAGAGTTTAAAACGTCAGAACATAGATCGAAAACTCTACGCTAAGAAATATATATAGTGTGGATCGAATAGGCAATCAGAAACACGAGCACATGACTGTAAAGTTGACCAATCAGTGCCGCTTGCCTATTAGAATATTACCAATGGAGTCCTAAGGTGAAAAACGAACTCCTATTTGTCTACACAGTAGCGGTTTTTTCGTGCTTATGTAGATAGATTCTAAAACTGCTAGGTGGAACGACGATCGGGCTTTACCAATAATCCGAAACATGTCGCCATTATAGTTTTTTGCACAATCTGGGTTTTCTAGCAAATGCTGCCCGATAGCAGAATCGCAGGTTTTATTGTTAATTTTGGATTTGCAAGACCGAGGTGGCTGTTCTCTTTGGGGATGTGTTTTGTTTCTAATATTAGATGGAACGTGTTGTTTTATCCTTGGTCAACCTTTACAGTCATGTGCTCGTGTTTCTGATTGGCCTATTTCGATCCACAACTGGGTATATATATTTCTTAGCATAGAGTTTTCGATCTATGTTCTGACGTTTTAAACTCTGAAGAGTGTCAGACGAAAAGCTTTAGTTTACTAAATGTTTACTTTTTTCAAAGCCATTTACAAGTTTTGTACCACCAAAAGATTGTTTGTATAGTATTATGCTAAATTCTACTCTTGGAGATGCTTCTTAGCCCTTTTACAAGGTGTAATTTCAAAAAATTTCTTTAACGTTGGGCCCAGCCACGGTGGGTCCTCCTACCTCATAAACTTGATTCTTAGCCCTCCCCCCAGGCTCAATTTCATGGCGCCGTCCACACCATGTAGCCAAAATCATATGCCATAATCACAATTTACGCTCATGTAGAGATATACATATTTCATAGGCAATTAAGTTTCAAATTTGTTTTTATTGCTTAGAAATTTATCCTTGGTAAAGACAAATCTGCATTGGTAAAGCTTGCCTTAAGACAAACCTTTGCTTCGAGGTCTGCATTGCATGTCCATAAAAAACTTGAATATGGCCAACCCATAGACGATATCCTTTGCATTGCATATCATGGCAATTAAAAATTGTTTAAAGAACAAAAAGCTCAAACCGTTAATTGATTAATTTTCATATGCCGTGAAGCTAAAATTGTTCAAGTTGAAAGCCTGCATTGGAAATACGCTTTATGCCTTTCCCATTTTTAGCTTATTTGAGGATCGGCAAAATTTATTCTGATAGAGACTTAGCTTTTATTCTTTATTTCAAGGTTTAAAGCTGAAAATGCGAGTCATCAAATACACGCCACTCTGCTGCGTTCCACTTCAAGATCAACATTCAGTGGCGGCGCCAGCTATTATAGAGTGGGAGGGTAATGGGCGCAGCCAGTGGGACCTCGTTTTAGTGATTTGTACCTAGGTAACTTTCATTAGGAAATTTGATCTACCCCTACCCAGCGGTTTTTAATCCATTTTAAAAATAAATATATAGACCATATTTTCAGAAAAGTGGGGGAGGGGGGTAATTACCTCCCCCCATACCACCCCTTGGCGCCGCCACTGTCAACATTGCCTATCACAACAACAACAATCCAGCTACCGTTGAATTGAATCACTTGGGATTAGTTTTAACTAGCCCCAAAGGAATGCAGATTTGAGCAGATTTGGCCAATCAGAAAGCAGTTATCAATTGAAAAGCCGGAGCACTTGATTGGTGCATCCCCTTTTCGTTTGGGCTAGCCCCAAAAGCTCGAGAGATGGTTTCTGATACGCGTGTTTGTCTAGTTTTCAAAAGAACCACGGGCAGTGGGACCTAAACAAACTAGAGAATGGACAAACAGTGAAACTCGAAGCAACGGAATCAGTTGAAATGTGCTAAAATAATAATGGACGTTGATTTTATTTACGTTTAAAATATTTATAAATGTAAATTTAAAACTTGTTTTTGGAAATCTTTGGTGGGGCTGAGCCCCACTAGCCCAGGGACCACGCGCCAGTCTAAAGGTGGATTAGCTGAAATAGGTGCGCCCGAAAATTTTTGAGGCGCACCCATTTTTAGAACATATCAAGACATTAAAAATAGATGAAATTAGTTTAAGGGTAATAAAACACCACGCCAAGTTAGAAAATACATCATATCATTAAACAAGATAAAACACCTAGAAAATGAACAAAAAAGGTTTCCAGTCAAGAAGAGCTGCTAACCTATTATTTCAAAAAGGTGGGGAGGGGGGCTATAGCCCCTGCTAGCCCAATGGCTACACGGTGCCTGCACTAGCACCAATACACGAGCCGCGATCCTGAGCTCGTGTGAACGTATGAATCCGATACGGTTTGGCCCCGGAACCTCTGTTTCGAAAGGCAGCTTCGTTTTCGGGATTTTAAAAACAGATTTGCACTCTTAAAAAACAGGAAGGCACGAAATGACAGTGGATCCCAGCGAAACAATATATATGCTCTTTGCGATGTTGATGAGCTGCACAAGGTAAATGCAAAGGAAGATTAGATTGTTTAAAAACTGACTTCGAAATACTTCTTGTTTCAAAACAAACCAGCGTATCAGATATTTTAAACACCTGTGTTGTTAAAAAAAGTAACAATCTCAAAGGATAAATTATTAAACAGCGAAGTGGATGGTTAAGAGACGTATGTCGTGTTTTGCTACTGTGTTATTTGAAAACAGGAGATATGCATTGGCCTAAGTGTGGCCTAATTGGGCAGGCGAACAACCGAGGTCAGCTTTAATAGTTGTCCGAAGTCCGAGGAGAATGAGTGGAAGAATGTCGATCCATCTTGTGGAATTCGGTTGAGCTTTGATTGATGCTTGGAAACGCAGAACTAGTCGCCATTTCGATATTCATCGTCCTAATACTTTTGTCACGTACGTGCGTTTATTGAGAAAGCAGAGATCTTAGAATTTACACGGCAATGATAGCATCCCCTCTATTTCTTGAACAAAAGCTTTTGTTGACAAAAGATCGAATGTTTCAAATTTTTAAACTTAGCAATTGTAACTTAAATCTTTCAATATAAATAATTATTGATGTGAAATGAAAGACATATCTAAAGTTGAGCAAGTCATCTAGCAGATTTTTTGAAGACGAAATGAAAAACAGGGTGAGTTGAAAAAACCTTTTACTCCTGGAATATTAGCTTGTTTTGTAGGTTGCTTTGGTAAAATAAAATGACAAAAATATAGCACTAAATGATAAGAATTTTACTTTTTACGAGGTTGGATGCACCAAGTATGTCATTGTGCTGCTAACGGTAACAGTAATAACGGCCATTGAGACTAGACTTATATTCTATCAGGCGGTGATTCTCATATTTGCTTAACTTTTGCCAAAAACACGACAGTTTAATTTTTTCCAAACATTTGAGTATTTCATAAAATATTAAGCTCAAAAGCGACAATGGATATCAGAAGGTCTCGTATGAAACTTTTAAACGACCCCCACCCTGCAGAAATGCACTCCTTTTTACATGTGTAGAGTGACCACACGGAAACAATATAACTGCTTTAGCTAAACATTATAATTTAATCAAAATACAGTGACATACATTTGTGCTCATGTTACATCAAGCTGTGAAATAAACCAATCTTTTACAGTTGCAAGATTCAAAATATCTTTGACTGGAAATGGCTATAGAAACCAAATAAATAACTCAAATAAAGTAAGAATTAATACGGTTTTTAAAGTTATTTATTAACGTCTCTTTATGTTATGATAGATTCACAAGAGAAATATTTTGCAGCAATGGCCTAGGTTCGCTTCCATATTCATAGAAGTTGATTTCAACTTGTATCCATAGGCCATTTTCAATGCAGGTAAAATGCAACTTGATCCGAGGCCGCATAAACAAATCGCCAAGAATTATTCTAGGGTGTTTTACATAAAGAAAAATGATATGAGGTTATTAGCCTGTGCTCCAGACCCCTAACTTGAAAGTAGCGGTGTCTAGGACACAGGCTAGTTGTTATTGGCTAAAAGCAAGGCAATAATTTCAAGGTGCGGGAAATTTCAATCCAATCCTGCTTCTTCTATCAAAGCAACTGAGAAAAATAGCAAAGTCGGTGGTGGCGACGAGGGGGGGGGGTAATCTAGCCCCCCCCCCACTTTTTTGGACTAAAAGCATTCATTAATTTTCTAGTTCGCAGTTTGCAGACAGTAGACGCTGTAATAAAGGAAGCAGGACTGAGTGATATTTTACAGAAACCAGTCCGTTTAGATTTCATAGACCTCAAGCTCGCATACTTGAAGATATTCTTGCCTGTTCAAGAATACAGTCACATACCGACCGAACAATAGCCTTGGACAATCGAACTTTTTTAACTCACCGCTTGCCAACGTTCCACTTTCTACACAAAGTGCATTGTTTCGTCCGCCATTTGAACTATCATCCCCAACACTGACATCGAATGGATTGATTTTTTCAGGCTCCCAAGTAACGCCACTTCTTATTTGAATACTTGTGACTGCAGCTTGCCTTGTAAGGTCCACTTGCCACCAGGGTGCCATATCAGAGTTCGTGATACTACATCGCTCCCAGTCCCCACCTCTGTCCCCATCATTTCCAAAGCTGGCAACAAGATGTATTCCACCAAACGTATAAGCTGAAGATTTGGAAGAGGGCTTCTTATAGGCAATATTCTCTTGAACGCCGGGAATTAAACTAAAATAAAGGGATTTAACAGCAATTTAAAATCTTGTTTTATTAAATCAAATCGCCAACAAGTATCGTTGAAAGATAATTTTTTTCTTGTTTAAAAGCCTGCGCCCTCGACGCATGACTCTTGGTCGAGTTTGCCCACCCCGGCCGATATCCACAGCTACTTGGCTGGTATTAGACAGGGAATTTTGTAGAAAAAACTAGCAAACTGCCTAACCTCAAATTTTATTTCACATTCTTACTTAATCGACCATGGAGATTCCAAATCCAAGATGGGCCAAAAAAAATTATCACCGGAAGTTACTGTTTTTGATGACGTCATCAAAAAATGATTAAAAAATCTTTGAAAATCGGCCAAGGACTCGAACTCAACTTTTTTGCATTTTTGCACTAAATTAACTATGCAGATTTCAAATCTGAGATGAAATAAAAAATATCTTGAGCGGAAGTCAAATTTTGTGATGACGTCATCAACTTGGAGAAAATTCACTTTGAACCTTTTTAATTGTTTCCTCGCAACTATCATTGTCAAATATGTTCCATATGCGAATTGCACACATTCAGTGCTTTTAAAAGATGTATTGAATTTCTATTAGACTTACTTTTAAACGTTCTTTCATGACGTCATCATCATTTTATGACGTCATCGCCTTTTAAAGGTAATTGAAAAACGCGTGAAAGTATGCCTAAAAATCTTTAGCTAGTTAAAAAAGTCATTCAAAGTTAAAATTTCGTTGTATAGAAAATGATATGGATCCATTCATCCTTCATCACTGTCTCTTTTGCTGGAACTCCAGAAGAAAATGTAGTTCCACTCATCATCGTCTGCTTTAAGCTGATGACCTCACCATAATTTTTCCCATGGCCTAGTCCTCATTGGTTACGGAATTTTCTTCGATTCATCACTAGAGCGCTGCAGATCTTGCAGTTTTTTAGCGGAGGGTGTGCGGGGCCCTGCACAAGATGAACATAATTTTTGTGAAAAAAATTTTGGAATTATTTTGCTGACTCCAGTATTTTCTGCAGACATTCACAGCTTTTTTAACGTTGACGATCGGATATTTTTGTCTTCAAGCAGTTAAGAAACGTTTTTCTCTGTATATCCTCTTCGTGACATTTATTTATCAAATGTATGTTAAAAATTAGAATATGTAAAGAAATGTTTTCCCTATAAACCACACTAATAAGAACATGTAAGAGGACGAGCCAGTTGTAGGACGTGTTTTTCATCGCTCAGCAAGTTCTTCTAAGATCAACGATACTTACCAAAGAGATCTATCGAGATGAGTTGTAGTGATGAACTAATCACACATGCAATCAATTATATCAGAGAAAAATTAAAGAAGAGACCAGACAAATTCGCCGTCACAAGTTTTGTGAACTCGAGGCATGGCCTAAATCACACCGACGTGGCTGACACTGTAGATCAACTCGAAGCCAAGGGAGTTATTTTCCGAAAGGTCAAGAAGAAGAGGCACTCATTCTTCATATCTGACTTGGATGAGGATGAAAACTCTTCTATAATGGAAAACGAGACTGAAGACAGTAATGTCGAAAGGAAAGAAGAGGAGAAACAGCGGGAAAGTGTTTTTGCACCCCGCCATGACAGCCCTCCCTCGACCATCATGGACTTCATTCGTGCCGAGCTTGAACAAAGGGAGCTACGTCTCGCAAACAAGATCATGGCCAATCTGGAAGGAAAATATCTGGAAAAGGCAAATAATGAGAAAGTGCTTATTGAAAGGTTAGAAAGGGAGGTGGATTTTCTCAAATCAGAAATTCAAAATAAGAACAATCTACTTTCAAGTTTGCTCACAAACATGGAAAATGGCAGGACTAACAATCGAAACGAAGACAAAGGTAGCGAATGCAAGAATAATGCAGAACCTTACACAGACAAAGGCAATGAATGGAGACAAATCATCCCCAAGAGAGCTGGAATCAGAAGAACAAGCAAGGAAAAGAGGCCATCTAGTGAATGCGACTGGCATGCAAGTTATGAGGATTTTCCACCGCTATCGAACAAATTTGACCTGCTGTCATCGTTGGAACTGAATGATACTGCTTCAGATCATTTTTGTACAGTAAAGTCTCCAGTAAAGTCACAAGAATCTAATAAAGTTACGGCAAGGAACAAAAGAGTTATTCGCAAAGATTTGGAAAGAATGCCATCAAGGCAAAAGGATCTCCATCGTGTTATTGATCAAGACCAACAGCCAAAACGAACCCAGGATTGTATTACTATCATCGGCGATTCCATGGTAAAAAATATTCAAGGATTCAAAATGAAGCAAGCAATCAAGAATGACCGAAATGTTTATGTTAAGTCATTCTCAGGAGCAACAGTGGATTGTATGAACAGTTACGTTTGCCCAACGATAAAAAAGAATCCGAAGACAATCATTCTTCACTGTGGTACGAACGATTTGAGAAGATCCCAACCTGCCTGCAACATCGCTAGAGATATCTTCCAATTAGCTAGAACATTGGAAACCAGGAGTAACTCGGTCCTGATTTCAGGGTTGGTACCCCGGGGCGACTCGTTAAATGGAAAGGCCACTGAGGTAACAAGTTGCTGAAGCAAATATGTATAAGCAAGAACTTGAAATTCATTGACAATTCGAATATAGATCCAAGCATACACCTTAACCGTAGCAGGCTACATCTAAATGACCGTGGAAACACGCTTTTAGCTAACAATTTTATTTATAATCTAGGATATTGACTAGAAATCGAGGGGGTAAAACCATACAAAGAGCTTCCCATCGGCATAGAACCTGGGAAGCCTGATCTATCCAGCGCCAGTATTTGTAACGCCCCAGCAGTTACTGCTGGAACTACTGCGCATGACCTACATGACACCACCGACGACAGTGATGCAAAATCAGCATTACATAATCTGCGTTTAAAGAACATAGGTCGTATGACTATCGGGTATCTAAATATAAATTCCATTAGAAATAAATTTGATGCACTAAAAGCGATAGTTTCACAGAATCTTGACATTCTAATGGTCGCCGAAACAAAAATTGATGATTCATTCCCAAAGGGACAATTCTATATTGAAGGTTATGCTGATCCACTACGGCTTGACAGAAATTGTGAGGGTGGCGGTCTGTTGGTCTATGTGAAAAGTGACATCACAATGAAGCAGTTAAAGTCATTTAAATTTGATCTTGACATTGAATGTATTTGTTTTGAAATCAATTTAAGGGGGAATAAGTGGGCTCTTTTCAGTGTTTACCGACCACCGTCCCAATCACAAGATCACTTTTTCGAAAATCTTGGCAAAGCAGTTTATCATCACAGCGAAAAATATGACAAATTTTTATTACTTGGGGATTTTAATACAGTAGAGACAGGTCAACAGATTCGTACTTTTATGAATAGCTATGACCTCAGAAATCTGGTGAAGGAGCCAACCTGTTTCAAGGCTGACAATCCACGGTGTATTGACCTAATCTTAACCAACAGATATAGGAGCTTCCAACATACCACCACTACCGAGACAGGTCTCTCTGACTTTCACAAAATGATAGTCACAGTTTTGAAAACGACGTACCAAAAGGCTGGACCTACTGTTATTAACTATAGAGAATGTAAGAAATTTTCGGAGCAGACTTTCAAACGAGAACTTAAGGAAGAGTTGGCTAGCATTAAAACAACCGATTTAGACTACAGTTCTTTTCAAAATTGCTTTGAGAAGGTACTTGATAAGCATGCACCGATGAAGAAAAAATACGCAAGGGCCAATGATGGTCCCTTCATGAATCGAGTTCTTCGTAAAGCTACTATGCTGCGCTCTAGGTTGAAAAATAGATATAATAAAAGCCGCACAGCTGAACATTGGGAAGCGTTTCGTCGACAGCGTAATTTGTGTGTCAAATTATTTAGAACGGAAAAAAGAAATTTCTATAAAAATTTGAATACTTCTGATATTACAGACAACAAGAAATTTTGGAAAACTGTAAAACCTGTCCTTTCCGATAAAAGTCGATCGAACTCAAATATTACCCTTATCGATAATAATAGGATGATTTCCAATGATAAGGAAGTTGCAGAAGCCATGAACGATTATTTTATATCGATTACTGACTCATTAGGTCTGACAGGAAACAGGGAGGTTACCATAAGTACAAATGGTTTATCAGATCCTATAGAAAAGGCTATAATGAAATATTCAAAACACCCTAGCATTAGGAAAATTCGCAGTTTTGCTCGAATTAACGGCTACTTTAAATTCCAAGAGGTTACTGTGGAACAGATGCACTCTGAAATTGAGGGGCTTAATCCTAAAAAGGCAACAACCTTTGGAAATATACCCGCGAGAGTGCTGAAAAATAGCTCTGACATTTGTTCCGAATCGTTGCAGCTTATTTTCAATAACTGCATTCAAAATGGTGTCTTTCCTGACCTATTAAAACTAGCAGATGTCACTTCCCTCCACAAATCGGAGGAGAAAACCAATAAGAAAAATTACAGACCGGTTAGTGTATTACCAACTGTTTCAAAGGTTTTTGAGAGACTTATGGATAAACAGATTATTGATTATATGCAATCTTATTTATCGTCACTTTTATGTGGTTTTCGTAAAGGGTACAATGTGCAGCACGCATTAGTTCGAATGCTTGAAAAATGGAAAGCAAGCTTAGACAGGGGAGAAAATGTTGGCGCAATCCTTATGGATCTCTCGAAAGCCTTTGATTGTATTAAACATGACCTCCTTATAGCAAAACTAGATGCTTACGGATTCAGCCATGAAGCACTGTGTCTTGTTAACAGCTACTTGGAAAATAGGCATCAGAGAGTTAAGATTAATGGATCATTCAGTACCTACAAACAATTGTTCCTTGGTGTTCCGCAAGGATCAGTTCTTGGTCCCCTCTTTTTTAACATCTACATAAATGACTTACTTCTCTCCTTAATGGATACGGATATCTGCAATTACGCGGATGATACAACTCTATATGCGTGCGATAAAAATCTCAATAATGTAATTGCAAGGCTAGAGAATGACTCAAGTATAACTATCCAATGGTTCGCTGATAACTTTATGAAGTTGAATACAAACAAATGTCATTTACTTATTCTTGACAAAAGTTCTAATCAACAGGTTAAAGTTAATGTAGGAGATTCTATCATAGAAAACTCGGAAGAGGAAAAGCTACTAGGTGTTGTGATAGACAAAAAACTCAGTTTTGAGACACATATCAGTAAAGTATGTAAGAAGGCTGGTAGCAAACTCACCGCCCTCGCTCGCATATCTGGATACATGGACGCTAATAAACTTAAAATCTTAATGAGAGCATTTGTAATTAGCCAATTCGAATATTGTCCACTAGTCTGGATGTTCCACAGTAGGCACTTGAATAGTAAGATTAATAGAATACACGAAAGAGCTCTGAGAATTGCATACAAAGACTATGATTCTAGCTTCAATACTCTGCTAGAAAATGATGGCTCGGTAAATATTCATGTAAAACACCTGCGAAATCTTATGATTGAAATGTTTAAAACAAAGGGAAATATCAACCCTCCTTTTATGAGGGAGATTTTCTGCGAGCGTCATGCTGTTTATAATTTGAGAAATAATAATGAATTTATGGTACCAAGAGTAAGAACAACCATTTATGGAACCGAAACTATCAAATATAGAGGGCAGCGTCTTTGGCTCTCTTTACCTCAGCACATAAGGAATGCTCAATCTATTAATGAGTTTAAGAAAGAAATTAAAAGCTGGAATGGCACAGACTGTACATGCAAACTATGTAGGACGTTCGTGCCACAGCTTGGTTTTTTGTAATTCTATCTTTTAAATAGCTCAGGTTTTTATAGTTTTTTAATGGATCATTTTGTATTTAAAATTTTATGCATTTAATCTCGTATGTATTTAGTTGATGTAGTAGTTTTAACAGTTGGCTTGGATTAGCTCATTTCTTTGTAAATAGCTATGTAGCGCCAACTTTAAATAAATTGATTATTATTATTATTATTATTATAATACCACCTGTAGGCCAGATCATTCTTTCCATCGTATGTCTAACCAAAGCTTAAAGGCAATTTCTCTTACAATCTTCTTTTGATAATGTAACCAATAGTAAATGCTTCTGTCAACCAGTATGGATCTGGTTGTAGAGTTTCTGATTATCTGTTTTTCATTGCCTTGCGAATTCTTACTCTTATCTGCACAAGTGTTTCATCACATTTCCCTTTGTATGATTATTTTTGCACAAATTTTATCGCTTTCGTGAGAATGTCTTTGCAGATTTCCTGTCTCATCGTAACTCTCTCGAGGAATTTCCCCTTTCCAGAACACTCCTAAAGCTTTTTAAAATGTTACCTTTCCTTACAACAACATTACCGGTGTTGTTTCGCAGCCAATAACTGCATGAACAGCCGGTAGATTTTTGGAACTATCTAAACCCAGGTAAGATACGACGTTCCAAAATTAACTTACTTCTCGTTGTCAATCTTTAAGGGATATTTCCTTGAAGGCTTTTCACACAATAAGCAGAAAACTACATTAGTGTCCTTTCGACAACTAACAAATTTTATTGATGAGGAAAGAATGGAATATCAAGTGGATGTCAGCCTCTTCATAGCTGCAATTAAGCAAGTATGTCGTGGAATCTTTGATTATCTTTAAGGTTTGTTATTTATTGGTAAACATGAGTGCTTTCAAAATTAACTGCTCGAGTTCGAGTCCTTGGCCGATTTTTAAAGATTTTTTATCATTTTTTTGATGACGTCATCAAAAACAGTAACTTCCGGTGATAATTTTTTTTGGCCCATCTTGGATTTGGAATCTCCATGGTCGATTTAGTAAGAATATGAAATAAAATTTGCGGTTAGGCAGTTTGCTAGTTTTTTCTACAAAATTCCCTGTCTATATGTAGTGAGAAAGTTGTTTACGACACCTGGCTTAAATAGGTGATCAATGGAAAGATGCAAGAAGAACTTTCAGTTTCATTAATAATAAAAAAGAAACTAAATAAGGGAATATCTTTTCATCCCTCTACGCAAAAATCATTTGATGAAAAAAGAGTTTAACATACTTCTTCTTAGACCATATAATGAGGCTGAATCTCGCAGTCGGGATATCTTGCTCATCTTTAAATTTATAAAATTTGCTGGTCTCGACATCCTTAACAACGTAACGACAGGTGTCATCCAAGCTGCATTGATAGAAGGTCTTATGAAACATGCTTGTTATTGTCTGAGTTGGATTGTGCACCTCTTTAAAGACAGACTTCCTTGTACTTTGACTCTCGTCTGACTTGATTAAAGCAAAGCAAAACAATGAGACAAGCAGCGTCGCGAGCATAAAAACTCCCATTTTGGACAAAAGATTGACTGAAATCTTTCCTGCAAAGCAAAATTTGTTTCCCTTTATTTTACTTCAATCATAAACAAGATACAATGCTGGTAATTTTTTTGAAAAGAATTCGGCAGCACAAAAACATAACTAAGCACGGATAAGCGGAAACATAGCATCGACCTCCGTACATTTCGTTCTAACCCCGTATAAGGAATAACGGTTTATTTTTGTCCAGATGCCCATTCTGTTCATTTACCCTTTAATAGACTAACTTTCTGCAACTACTTGATTGTTTCTACATAGGTGCGAGGATGGCTCAGTGACAAGGGTCTGGGTTCGAGTCCCTGACATGACCAAACTTAGACTTACTCCATTAGCCTCTGTTTCGCTACTGCCTCACTTGACGGACGCTACAACAGATAGGGTTCGTCACTTTATTGTAGCGTCCGTCAAGTGAGGCAGTAGCAAAACAAAAGCTCATAAAGTAAGTCTAGACCAAAATTTCACTTGGAGTGAAGAGAGTCGCCAGCTTTCTGTATTTCATTGCGTAGGAATCATGAGGTGTGATCACATCGAGTCGAGAGGAAGGGCCAGGGGCCTGGACACTGCTCGACAAGGATAGCCTCTCAATGACTCAGGCTCGCCCAATCAGCGTTCTCGTGAGAAAATTCGCGCGTTCGGCGTTCAATTAACAAACGTTTAACGCCCCTTGGTCCCTTTCTTGACAGAGTATGACAATGAAAATAGATTCCATAAATACGGGCACTAGTTTGTGTCCAGGTCCTGCTGGGGCACTTCTCCTGGCTACTCTCCCCTATTGGAAATCCTGCTGAAAGTCCATCCATATGTTATCTTGTCGGAAAATATCGTGGGCCTGAAATTCCGCTTTTGCTTGGGATAATTTGGGGAAACAAATATGAATAAATATTGATATAATATAGATAAAAATCTACTTATTGTGAAAATCGAATCTTTTATCGTACTTTCTTTTACTTCTAAAAGATTGGCCTGTTTTCAGCTATCATCATCTGTTATTATCAGCTGTTATCAGCTAGGCATTCTGTTTACGCGCTCGAAATTCTGTTGTTCTGGTACACAGGCTACAGAGGACTGTTTTCATTTTTTAACAATCTCTTTGCGCTTTCTTACTGTGATTTTTCGATCTATTTTACGACTGTCAGAAAACCTCTGAAAAGACTCCGATCCACTGTAAACGCAAGCAAAGAGTGGATAAAATTTGTTCGACCTAATGTAAACGGGTCGCTTACAGGACAAAATGAATGCGGCCTCTACGCGCCTCTGCCTTTCCACACGATGTTGAAAAATCCGTGGAAACATGCGTGGAAATATTGGGCGCAATAGCTTTAAGACTTGTTTGAAAGAAATTCTACTCGAAATTTCAGTAAAATATGAAATACTGAAACTGATCTCTCACTAACATTATGGACAAAAGGGCCAAAAGGCTTTTGTGGACCTAAGCTATGGAATACCGTTGGATTTGATGCTAAAGCAGCAACCTCCCTGATCTCTTCTAACGACAGAATCAAGAACAAACTATTAATTTTTATTTAAATTTATTATCGGTATCTAACCAAATGTGCCGTTTTTGAATAGTAGAAAAGTAGATTTGCTACGTCCCCTGAAGAGCAGTTCTCAGGAATAAATAATAATACCCTGCATAAATAATTCAAAATGAATGAAAAATGACCCCAAGTTGGCTACTTCGAAGCGTTTACACGACCCCGGGTTTAGCTGACCCGACTTCAAATGAGAAAACGTCATAAAAAGCCAACCCGTCTCAATGGGTTAGCCTTACTCTGGACAAGGGTGACCCGGAAAGGCGGGTTGGCACGGGTTGGCTGCTGTTATCATGAAAGATTTGACCGCAGACGGGCTGACCCTCTAAGGCGGGTAGCAGCCAACCCGGGTTGATGGCAACAGAGCCTTAGCGAATGATGAAACTGGACAAAGTTAAACAAACGGGATTTGAAAGGAATGAATTTCAATTGAACTCTAATGGCAATCGGGAAATAGATAGTGGCTTATGCCACCTGTCAATCAACGTTGACCAATCAGCAAGTGTATACCACCCAGGTGCTTCTTGATTGGTCAATAGCTAATTAGCCGATGGCATAAATCGTTAAGTATCTGATGACTGCTTTTAGGCTACAATCCCGGACAAAAATTTTGAGACAAAATACAATTCTTGTAATTTTCTACTTTACCTTGCCTCTGTAAATTCGAATCCTCCCTTTTTCTCCGAAGCAATGTTGGATTTGTAGTTCTATCATTTTTGCCTCAAAATCATGCATTCAACATTGAATTGGGGAAAGGGGAAGCTATTTTTCAAAGCAAAGAGAAAACATAAAGTTTTCTTGAGAAGTCTCAACTATTTTTGTCCGGGATTGAAACTGGCCCCATATCAAACACTGAAATACTTTTCAAAATTATAAGAAAAAGTCAGTGTTTTGCGTTTCAATGGTTTGATAGCTTACCGTATCCTTATATCCGCAAGACGCTTGTTCATGACGCAATCATTTAGAAACTCTAAGCTAAAATAAATCGACTAAAAACACAAATTTGTAACTTTTCGCTCTCAATTCTAAAGCGAAATAGGTTCGAAAAAATGCTTCAAATGAACTGCTTTCATAACAAGGCAAGCAAATATTTAAAACTGATTTTTTCTGACTTTTTAGTAGCACCCGTGTTATGTCCGTTTTTCTAAATAATGTGAACATACTGTCTCTATGGCCATGATCAAACTTAGTCGTAGCAGCTGCTAGACTTAGACGAGGCTGACTGGGAAGGGTGGAGTGACGCAACTCAGGGACCTTTTGGAGGCAAACGAAGTTATTGTCTATGGCGAAGGCTGCACGTTTCGGAGTACCAAGTTAATCGTGTCCCCCCCTCCCCCATCCCCCCTTCAGACGAATATGAAACATCAAAATAAGCAATAACCTACTTAATGATTGCATGTGTCTTTTCTTCTGCTGTTAGTTGCTGAAGTCTCCAGCTGTTTCAAACAAGTGATATTTTGTTAGCATTCAGTTACCTTAACAGGGTTATCCAACCACATTTACATAATTAATGGAAAAGTTGCAAATCTTCCACTCTTAAGCTGAAGAGAACTGATTCAGTAATTAGCTGGCTATTGCTTAACACCAGTAGAGAGGTTTCCTTGAATCAATTAGACGATAAACTTAAAGTGAAACATATTCACGCAAACTTTCCTGTAAAAGTTTAAAAAGAAAACTAACCAGTTGTCAGGACTGCCGGTGTATTATGCGTTTCGGTAATCTTATACGTTTTGGTAATAATAGGGAACCAAAACGAATGGTTTAGTTTTGAAATGGTCGGCTTACAGAAATTCGTGGTAATTTTGGCTTTGCGAAAAAGAAACCAATTAATATTGCTCGGAAGTCAATTTCTTGAAAAGGGCACTTTGCTGCCCCCGCGCTGCCCCCGTGGCTCCGGCGCCCTTGGGGGGGGGGGCTAGGCAATCAGAGAGAAAGAATGGAATTCCAGTTTAAAAAAAGTCGCACAAACTTTAAAATTGTGACAAGACATGAATTTAACAACAAGAAAGGGCAGCTCTTTAGAGCAAGATTGATATTATTTGTGGGGGAATCGCTTATATAACAAAATGACTCTAAAACGACAAAGGACATATATTAAGAAACTTCTTTGTAGATCTTTTCCCGTGATTTTTCTTTATTCTGAACGCTCTAAATTTTTTAAAAAAGACGTAATTTAATCATTAAACCAAAAGGAACCATTTTACTTAGGTAGGTTGCAGATTATTGTTTGTGTTGCACGAAAGTTACTAACTGACGCGACAGCATGGTTGCTGCAGAAGGTGGGGTAAATTTTCGAATTTTGATGTTTCCAGTTCGCAGGAAAATCCACTCATCGAAGCACTTTTCTATTTGACAGTTATAATCGATTTTCTGGCAATCATTCTCGTCATTCGCGCGACGCTGAAAAGTTGTAATGTAGAGTTTGGTTCTCACTGTTTCAGTTTGCCAATTAGCAGTTGAAACATGAACGTGCCAAAGAGCCTAGAGGATCAAATCTAAATGAAATCATAGTCCAGATGCGGATCCAGAGTGAGTTCTTTGGTGCACAGAACTCAGTCAGTTTTCCAACATATAGCTAAAAATAGTGTTGCCTGAAATTTCCACCTATGCTTTAAATGGAAAACTTTAGAAGACGAATTTCATTTTGTAATGGTTTGCCCCCTTCACTCGGACGATAGGAAAAAACTGTTGATGAATATTGGAGAGAGGTATCCCTATATAAAAAATCTTAGTCTTGAAAACAAATTTATTTGGTTGATGGGTCAAGAAGATAATGATTTGATTCAAATTCTTGCGACAACAGTAAGGCGAGCATTCCAAAAGCGTGATATTTATCTGACTTTTTAAAAATTGTGATGATCATTTTGCTGTTGTATATTTAAGATGTCATGATTTTTGTAGCCATTTGTATTAATATTTTAGATGTAGCAATTTTAATTAACCATTTACGATGTTTTGTTTTGCTGTAGTAGATTAAGGGCCATTTCGGCCTATACGTCTATTATTAATACAAAAAAGGAGTAATATTTGAACTAAAAAAGTGAATTACAAGTTACCTAGAAATTACAAGTTTTATCATCTTATTATAAAATCTTAAAATTGCCAGTTTGATGTAATTCGTTCGCCGTTAATTTTCCAGGAGCATTAACTACTTTTCTTTTAAACTGCACTGGAGACGTATGGTCAGACGGAAAACCATATTTTGATGAATAGGCTGGTGTCTACGTAGGCAAAACAACAAATTGCGAGCAAAACAGAAGGAAAAACTTTGCTGTGGCATCAAAGACAAACAAGAGGGTATTTTGAAAGGGAGGGGGTTGCAAATTTTCAGAGGCACTATTTTCTGTTGGAAAGAAATCTATAATCTAGATTTAGTGAGTGGATAGTATCAAGTATTTTGAGCAACAGAGCCTTAGCGAATGATGAAACTGGACAAAATTAAACAAACGGGATTTGAAAGGAATGAATTTCAATTGAACTCTAATGGCAATCGGGAAATAGATAGTGGCTTATGCCACCTGTCAATCAACGTTGACCAATCAACAAGTGTATACCACCCAGGTGCTTCTTGATTGGTCAATAGCTAATTGGCCGATGGCATAAATCGTTTAGTATCTGATGACTGCTTTTAGGCTACAATCCCGGACAAAAATTTTGAGACTAAATACAATTCTTGTAATTTTCTACTTTACCTTGCCTCTGTAAATTCGAATCCCCCCTTTTTCTCCGAAGCAATGTTGGATTTGTAGTTCTATCTTTTCTGCTTCAATTTTTGCTTCAAAATCATGCATTCAACATTGAATTGGGGAAGAGGGAAGCTATTTTCCAAAGCAAAGAGAAAACATAAAGTTTTCTTGAAAAGTCTCAACTATTTTTGTCCGGGATTGTAGCTGAATTAGATTCCTTGAAACTGGCCCCATATCAAACACTGAAATACTTTTCAAAATTATAAGAAAAAGTCAGTGTTTTGCGTTTCAATGGTTTGATAGCTTACCGTATCCTTATATCCGCAAGACGCTTGTTCATAACGCAATCATTTAGAAACTCTAAGCTAAAATAAATCGACTAAAAACACAAATTTGTAACTTTTCGCTCTCAATTCTAAAGTGAAATAGGTTCGAAAAAATGCTTCAAATGAACTGCTTTCATAACAAGGCAAGCAAACATTTAAAAATGATTTTTTCTGACTTTTTAGTAGCACCCGTGTTATGTCTGATTTTCTAAATAATGAGAACATTCTGTCTCTATGGCCATGATCAAACTTAGTCCTTTTTCTAGCAGCTGCTAGACTTAGACGAGGCTGACTGGAGAGGGTGGAGTGAGGCAACTCAGGGACCTTTTGGAGGCAAACGAAGTTATTGTCTATGGCGAAGGCTGCACGTTTCGGAGTACCAAGTTAATCGTGTCCCCCCCTCCCCCATCCCCCCTTCAGACGAATATGAAACATCAAAATAAGCAATAACCTACTTAATGATTGCATGTGTCTTTTCTTCTGCTGTTAGTTGCTGAAGTCTCCAGCTGTTTCAAACAAGTGATAGTTTGTTAGCATTCAGTTACCATAACAGGGTTATCCAACCACATTTACATAATTAATGGCAATGTTGCAAATCTTCCACCCTTAAGCTGAAGAGAACTGATTCAGTAATTAGCTGGCTATTGCTTAACACCAGTAGAGAGGCTTCCTTGAATCAATTAGACGATAAACTCAAAGTGAAACATATTCACGCAAACTTTCCTGTAAAAGTTTAAAAAGAAAACTAACCAGTTGTCAGGACTGCCGGTGTATTATGCGTTTCGGTAATCTTATACGTTTTGGTAATAATAGGGAACCAAAACAAATGGTTGAGTTTTGAAATGGTCTGCTTACAGAAATTCGTGGTAATTTTGGCTTTGCGAAAAAGAAACCAATTAATATTGCTCGGAAGTCAATTTCTTGAAAAGGGCACTTTGCTGCCCCCGCGCTGCCCCCGTGGCTCCGGCGCCCTTGGGGGGGGGGGCTAGGCAATCAGAGAGAAAGAATGGAATTCCAGTTTAAAAAAAGTCGCACAAACTTTAAGATTGTGACAAGACATGAATTTAACAACAAGAAAGGGCGGCTCTTTAGAGCAAGATTGATATTATTTGTGGGGGAATCGCTTATATAACAAAATGACTCTAAAACGACAAAGGACATATATTAAGAAACTTCTTTGTAGATCTTTTCCCGTGATTTTTCTTTATTCTGAACGCTCTAAATTTTTTAAAAAAGACGTAATTTAATCATTAAACCAAAAGGAACCATTTTACTTAGGTAGGTTGCAGATTATTGTTTGTGTTGCACGAAAGTTACTAACTGACGCGACAGCATGGTTGCTGCAGAAGGTGGGGTAAATTTTCGAATTTTGATGTTTCCAGTTCGCAGGAAAATCCACTCATCGAAGCACTTTTTACTACCTTACAATACAACCTTACGCTTAGAATTAATATCCAGAGGCGGAACGCTATTTGACAGTTATAATCGATTTTCTGGCAATCATTCTCGTCATTCGCGCGACGCTGAAAAGTTGTAATGTAGAGTTTGGTTCTCACTGTTTCAGTTTGCCAATTAGCAGTTGAAACATGAACGTGCCAAAGAGCCTAGAGGATCAAATCTAAATGAAATCATAGTCCAGATGCGGATCCAGAGTGAGTTCTTTGGTGCACAGAACTCAGTCAGTTTTCCAACATATAGCTAAAAATAGTGTTGCCTGAAATTTCCACCTATGCTTTAGATGGAAAACTTTAGAAGACGAATTTCATTTTGTAATGGTTTGCCCCCTTCACTCGGACGATAGGAAAAAACTGTTGATGAATACTGGAGAGAGGTATCCCTATATAAAAAATCTTAGTCTTGAAAACAAATTTATTTTGTTGATGAGTCAAGAAGATAATGCTTTGATTCAAATTCTTGCGACAACAGTAAGGCGAGCATTCCAAAAGCGTGATATTTATCTGACCTTTTAAAAATTGTGATGATCATTTTGCTGTTGTATATTTAAGATGTTATGATTTTTGTAGCCATTTGTATTAATATTTTAGATGTAGCAATTTTAATTAACCATTTACGATGTTTTGTTTTGCTGTAGTAGATTAAGGGCCATTTCGGCCTATACGTCTATTATTAATACAAAAAAGGAGTAATATTTGAACTAAAAAAGTGAATTACAAGTTACCTAGAAATTACAAGTTTTATCATCTTATTACAAAGTCTTAAAATTGCCAGTTTGATGTAATTCGTTCGCCGTTAATTTTCCAGGAGCATTAACTACCTTTCTTTTAAACTGCAGTCGTTGATGGCAAGGGAGACCTATGGTCATACGTAGGCAAACAGGCTGGGGTCTACGTAGGCAAAACAACAAATTGCGAGCAAATCAGAAGATAAAACTTCGCTGTGGCATCAAAGACAAACAAGAGGGAATTTTGAAAGGGAGGGGGTTGCTAATTTCACAGAGGCACTATTTTCTGTCGGAAAGTAATCTATAATCTAGAATTAGTGAGTGGATAGTATAAAGTATTTTGAAGTTGCATTGCAATTATGAACTAGCAAATACATTTTTACTTTTATAAAAAAATAAAAGGATTTTTGATGCAGCTTTTTAATCTTAATTTGCCTTAGACCAAAACAGTGAATATCGCCAGAATTTTCTAAACTATCAAGTAAGATGGAAATAGACTTGATGCCAGCTTTGGAAATGATTAATTTGGTGTTGTTCTTCTGGATATTTGAGGGCTTTGTTTTTTTTAAATTTATCCGAAGCTGTGACCAGGCACGAATACGAACAAACATGAAGATAAAACGTTAATTGAACAAAACCAGGCCTAATACAACGGCTAACATATTCGAGTGTAAAAGCAGCGTGGTAAGTAAGTTATCAAAAGAGTTCATTGTCCAATAAGATTAAACATAACGTAACACGTGACTACAGCAAGCATAAGATGATAATAATCATATATTCTAATACTCCCACTTGATGATTATAATCTATGAATATTAATGTCCAGATACGTAGCAAACATTAAGTAAATTACGAAATTTTTGAAAGGATACTTTAGGCAGTCCTTTAGTCATAATGTCAGCTACCATTTTGTTGGTTGGACAATACGTCACTGAAATATCCTTTGACTCAATCTTTTCCCGGATGAAATGGTATGTAACATCAATGTGCTTCGTTCTGCTGTGAAACTTTGGGTTCTTAGAGAGTTCAATTGCTCCTTGATTATCTTCCAATATACTTGTTGGTGAACTGAGATTGTGTCCAAGATCAGATAGCAGGCGACGCAACCATATAGCTTCTTGAGCAGCAAGTGAAAGGGCAACATACTCAGCTTCTGTTGTAGACTTTGCTACAGTGGCTTGTTTCTTACTGCACCAGCTGACTGTAGAGTTTCCAATTTGAAAAACATACCCTGAAGTTGAATGGCGAGTGTCAGGATCTCCAGCCCAATCCGCATCAGAGAATCCAAATATCTCAAGGTCTTCTCCAACTGCAGAAAGCTTAAACCAAAATTTATGGTTCCCTTCAAATATCGTAAAATGCGTTTTATTCCCATCCAGTGGTCTTTACTTGGTTTAGACATGAATCTGGATAAAATGCTGACTGCAATAGCAATATCTGGTCTTGTAGCAGTAGATAAGTATGTCAAGCATCCAATAGCCTGTTGGTATAAAGATTGATTAAAGGGCTCATCATCTTCAGAAATTCTTTCAAATCTTTTCCCAGGCTCTATTGGGGTTGATACAGGTTTACAATCCTCCATCTTGAATCTCTTTAGAACATCATCTGTGTATCTTGGCTGGCTGACAAACATAGTTTGGTTTCTCTTGTCTCTTGTGATAGACATCCCTAGAATGTAGTGAACTTCACCTTGATCAACAATTTCGAATCTTTGACATAATAACTCTTTCTCTGACTTTAGGAAATTGGTATCATTCGATATACACAGTATATCATCCACATAATCATCCACATAGATAGCTAGGATACAAAGGTTGACTTTTCCATCTGTGGTCTCAACTTTCTTGATGTAGATACAGTTATCTGCTGTGTTCTTCTTGTATCCAGAGGAGATCAGGAAGCTGTCAAGAGTGTTGTTCCAACAGCGGGCAGACTGTTTAAGGCCATAAATACTACGTTTCAGCTTGCAAACATGATTTGGTTTGCTTTGATCAACGAAACCTTCAGGCTGAGACATGTAAATGTCACAGTCAATTGTGCCATTTAAAAAGGCAGTCTTGACATCCATTTGATGCACTTCAAAGTTGTAAGCATTGGCAAGAGTTAGCAATGTCCTTATTGCTGAATACTTTGCGACAGGTGCAAACACTTCTTCGTAGTCAATGCCATGGGTTTGTGAATAGCCTTGAGCTACAAGTCGGGCTTTAAATTTATCTAAACTTCCATCTTCATTTCTTTTCACTTTTAAAACCCATTTTGAACCTAGAACTTTCTGGTTAGCAGGTGGTGGAACCAGATCCCAGGTATCATTCTTGATCAATGAATTGTATTCTGAATTCATTGCATCTTTCCATTGAGTTGAATGTTCACTGTTCAATGCCTCTTTTATTGTTCTTGGCTCATTATTTTCCCTCACAATTGGATCTGTCATAAGGCATTCATCAGTGCGAAATCTTGCAGGAACCTTTGTCTGTCTTTTAGGTTCCAGATTCCTAACTTGCTCCATAAAATGTTCCTCATACGTTGCTCCCACTGGTTGGACATTTCTTGCAAGTTCCTCAGCTAGTTCATGCTGATCTTCAGTAGTAGGTTCAGTAGTATCATCTGCGACTTCATCATCATCTTCAACATTGTTGAATTCATAAAAAACAATTTCTTTGTCCTGTTTTGATTCATTGAAGTCATGGAATTTATCTTCAAAAAATAATACATTTCGGCTTCTCATAAAACGCTTAGAGTTCAAATCAATTAGTTTGTAGCCTTTCGTTCCTTCTGGGTATCCGACAAAAATTGCCTGTAGAGCCTTCTGATCAAGTTTACGCCGCTGACTTTCAGGAACATGCACAAAAGTTAAGCAGCCAAAGACTCTTAGATTTGAGACATCTAACCAACATTCGTAAGGTGTTGTCTCCTTCAAAGCTGCAGTTGGACTTCTGTTGTGGAGGTACACTGCTGTACTCACTGCTTCTGCCCAATATTGTTGTGGCAATTTAGCATGAGATAGCATTGAACGTGCAGCTTCAATAATAGTGCGGTTCAGTCTTTCTGCAACACCATTTTGTTCTGGACAGTATGGATTTGTCAGCTCATGAATTATTCCTCTCTCCTTGCAAAATTCAGTAAAGGCCTTTGAAGTATATTCACCTCCATTGTCAGTCCTAAGTGCTTTCACTTTACATCCTGTCTGATTTGCAACTAAAGTCACAAATTCTTTGAACTTGGTTAATACTTCATCTTTTGATTTAATGAAATATACAAATGCATATCTGGAGCAGTCATCAATGAATGTTAAAATATATCTGCTTCCCCCAAGTGATTCGACATTTATTGGTCCACAGACATCACTGTGAATTGTTTCCAATAGTTCTGTTGCTCTATGTGCACTCTTCTTTGGAAAAGGAATTCTTGACATTTTTCCTAATGCACATGCTTCACACTGACCATCAAACATTGTATCAGAATGTTCAAGTCCTTCTACAAGCTGTTTATTTATCAATTGATTCAAGTATACATGGTTCAAATGTCCATATCTGCAGTGCCATCTTCTCATTGTTCCTTTATTGGGCACATCTGTAAGACTCGCAAATTCTGGAGAATTCACACGATAGAGCTTTCTATCAACAATATAGCCTAAAGTGAGCTTCAGGCCATCTTTCGACACAGTACATTTATCCTTGTCAAATGTAACTGTGGCACCCATCTGTGCCATTGCAGGCACTGAAATCAAATTCTTAGCCAATTCTGGAACATATAGAGTGTTTTGTAATACTAGCACTGCTGAATTTTCTCCATCACAACAGGTAAGTTTTACTTTACCCTCGCCATATGCAAAAATAACTGTGTCATCGCCAAGATGTATTTCCATTGGTTTCTTATATCCAACAAAATCAAGTAAAATGCCTTTCTCATATGTCATATGTTTGGATGCAGCACTATCAATATACCATCCATCAGATAGCTCACCTTTTGTAGAAGAAATAAGTCCCATTTCTTGAAAATCAATTGACTGGATCACTTTGGCATTATTTGCAGCCTCTTGTGGGTGCTTCTCTTCCACAATATGTGAATATGCTGTTTTTCTTTTATTTAGGGGACAATTCTTGACAATATGTCCGAATTCCTGGCATTTGAAACATCTAGGCCCTTTTAAGTCTTCGTGTCGGCCATGTTGATTTCGTTGTTGTTGTCGTGGTTCACGTGGTCCTCCTCTTCGCGAGTGAGAATCACCTCGAAATATAGCACCATTTCCACGAGAATATCTTTCACGGTTGGAAAGAAACAAAGCATCGTTCCCTGAATTATTTTGCTTCTCATTCTTATCCTTACGCTTCATAAATTCCTCAATAAGCGATCCTTTGATATTATCCCAGTCGAGATCCTCAATATTTCTTGCGTTAAGGCTTGAGATAAAATTTTCGTATGAATCTGGAAGGCCTTCGAGGACAACAGTGGCAAATTTTCTTGGTGAAATGTCCTCCTTTAATTCTCGTAATTGCTCAGCCAAGGACGTCATGTACGTAACATGTTCCATTAAATCTTCGCCTTCTTTCATACTTGCGGCATAAAATTTCCGATTTAGACGAACGACCTGCGCGACTGAAATAAATTCAAATTGCTGCTGTAAAGTGTTCCATGCAATGCTTGGGCTTGTTGTGGACATAATATGTACCTGCAGATTTTTAGAAACACTTAAAGCAATCAAGGAATATGCCTTGTCCGATCGAAGTCGAAAAGCATTCCTTACGGCAACAGATTCATCACTTCCTGGGATTTCCTCTGTGCCCAGGGCAAAACCCCATAATCCACGTTCCATCAACACAAGTTTCATGTTGTATTTCCAGCTTTGATAGTTTGTACCGTCAAGAGGTTCAATTTTCGTAATTTCGGCCATCTTTCCTTGATTCTTGACACGACCACGTTCCTTCTCGACAAATATTCTAAAGTTTACCCACGTCGAAGAGACAAACGAACGTCACATATCTACCGCCGATTTACACCGTTATTCCAGCAAATAACTAGGCCGAGAAGCGCTCCCTGGGACCATAACCTTTTAAATTTATCCGAAGCTGTGACCAGGCACGAATACGAACAAACATGAAGATAAAACGTTAATTGAACAAAACCAGGCCTAATACAACGGCTAACATATTCGAGTGTAAAAGCAGCGTGGTAAGTAAGTTATCAAAAGAGTTCATTGTCCAATAAGATTAAACATAACGTAACACGTGACTACAGCAAGCATAAGATGATAATAATCATATATTCTAATAGTTTTCTTATTACTGTCCTTGTCTGAAAATATTGATTTTCCTAAACTAAATGCTATCAGTTGTTTCCAACACTACTAAACAACAGATTTGTAGTGTATTTGTAATTTGTAGTAAAGGAAGGTAATTTCAAAAGATTTGTGTGCAACCAATCAAAGATTTGTGGCAACCAAGTTTACAATCCACCAAGTTTTGGCCCTAATACCCTTCTGTTAGTAACTATTATAACAAGAAAAAAACTTTTATATGAAGTTTAAGTTGCAAAGGCTTTTCTACACAGCTGAACTCATTATTTCAATTTTAGCCAAGAAACTAATGATTAACTATAAACTTTGAATGTATGAGTTTCATTGAATGTTTTATAACCTAATTTTAAATTTTGGAAATCTTAAAATTGAGTTGAGATTGCACACACACTAACAGTTTAGGGTAGTATATGCCAAATTAGGTAAGGTAAGGCACAAAATAGTCCTTATGGCTGCTTTCAAGTAGCGATCTGTAACAGTCAAATTACAATAACTTTATCTTTTATTTTCAACACCAATATTTTATCACCAATAGTGATAAAAAAGTGAGATAAATTGAGAAGAAAATAAAAAACCAATCAGAATTTGACAAAAGTTATTATCTTTATACAATACTAAAATACATTATACACAATATATACATTGAAAGCAAAGATAAGATTGATAAATTCTGTGATCAAAATAAGATCTAAAATTACAAGTGTAAAACCAATTTAAGAAGATGAATAGAGTAGCATACTAGTGCTTAATGGCAAAAAATAAACCCAATCTCTTACGCCATATTGGATAAATTTTGGGGAAAATAATCTTATTTCAGCTATCTTTTGAAGCATAAGCCAACTATATGCAACGAAAAGTTGGAGCACAAAAAACTTCACCTTCATGCAGCCAAGCATAGTTTGAATTTAAAGTTTATTCATAAAAATTGAAAATAAGAAGGGGAGTTCCCAGGCAATTGTGCTGGCCATTTATCTAGTGTGTGCTAGAAACATAATTGAAGATTTAAAACTAACAAATATCTAGAAATCTTCATCTACAGTGAATGTATAAGTAGAGCTATCTATTTTATTGCATTTGTCCATGACACCACTCTTTTGGTACTCTGCTACTTTTCTTTCAAAGAAATTGGTCTTGCCTGCCAGTGAGATGTTTTCCATAAAGTCAAAAGGATTTGTGGTATTATAGTGCTAAAAAACAAGGAAAAACAGGTCAAAACCACAGAATAATGAAAAATGAATGCTCTAACATCAAATTTGAACTAAATTAAAAATAAAGGGTTCATTTTAAACATAAAAACTAACAGTAATTTTGTGCAGAAACACCAAAGAGAAGGGGATATTCAAAAAGATGAAAAAATGTTTACCTTTGAACAGCCAAGCTCAAGGAGCAGCCTATCAGCGACAAATTCAATGTATTGTGCCATTAGTGCACAGTTCATTCCAATCAAATCAACAGAAAGAGCTTCAGTAAGGAACTCTTTCTCAATATTTACTGCATCTGTAATAATGTCCTTAACTTTCTTTTCGCTTGGCTTGTTCCTCAAATGCTTGAACATTAAGCAAGCAAAGTCACAATGTAATCCTTCATCACGACTGATCAGTTCATTTGAGAATGTCAATCCATGCATCAGATTTCTAAAAAGTGAACAAAATTTTCAATATGAAAGTCTACATATTATAATTGATCAAGTATCATAGATATAAATTGATCATGGATTAAGTTATTAATGACAAAAAGTTACATCTACACCAGATGGAATTCATTTTCATGCTTTTGTGTTTTATGGACCACTGAGTAGCCAAGATTATGAAGCAGTGTCCTGGTCCTCCCTCTTGATGTGACGTCACCTTCTGATTCCTACATCTGGAATTACGAGAGCTGACAACTCGAAAACAAAAATGAACAAAGATACTCTGATTATCTGGTATAAAGTGAATTAAGAATGTATGAAAATTACCTTTTCTTGATCCAAAAGATGGCAGCAAATGACCCAGAGAAAAATATCCCTTCAACTGCAGCAAAAGCTACAATCCTTTCAGCGAAAGATGCCTTTTCAGGGTTGATCCAATTGAGAGCCCAGTAAGCTTTCTTCTGCACACACGGCATGGTTTCAATTGCTCTAAAAAGTTTATCTTGTTCTATAGGGTCCTTTATGTAAGTGTCGATAAGCAGACTGTACATCTCAGAATGGATATTTTCAATTGCAATTTGAAAGCCATAAAAACATCTTGCTTCTGCAATCTGAACCTCTTGACTGAAACATTCCACCTAGACAAGGAATAGCAAAATTAAGAACATTGGATTTAAGAAACTTTAGAAATCTAAGGATTCTCAAAAAGCCATATTGTAGATCTGGTTTCTTTCCATACAAGTTTAGAAAATCCAAGATTCTAAAACAGAATCCAGAGGTCATATCTTGAATTGCAGACAGCCCGTTTTGACTAAAATGATTTCAAAGTACGATGAAACTTTTCTTTAAACATGGATACCCCTCTCCATGCCAAAAATATTAGGCCTATACTTTACCATAGGCCTAAAATTCATCTTAAAGTATGCTAAATATGACTTACCAAATTTTCATTCACAATTCCATCGCTTGCAGCAAAGAACGCCAGTACGTGGGAAATGAATTTTCTCTCGTTTGCCTGAAATTTAATCAAAAATCGTTTACAGCTTGATCCCGAACGAAAAATAGGGAATTTGTTCATTGTCAATAACACGCGAAGGCTTGATTGATAGATTTAGAAAACGTTATTCATACTGTTTTACTCACATTAAGTTTGTTCCAATCACGCAAATCATGGGACAAGTCGACTTCTTCGGCAGTCCAGAATGAAGCTGAAAATAAAGATATAGACATCTTCAATGCTGTCCCTCGAAGGAATAGGCCAGAGTTTATCAGCTGATATAGTACCGGTTCATCCTCAAAGCTAAAAATTCCGGGTCATCCTAGACTCATAGGAGCTTTAGACAAACTTTAGGAAAAAAGCTTTTAGCTATTAGAAAAGTCTTAAGTTGTAATATTTTATTTTTTAGTTGTAACATTTCATTTCCCTAAGGCCTAAATCTAAAAATTCTGAATGCTTACCCTCTGCCTTCTTGTAAAACTGCCAAACGTCGTGGTACTGAATTGGGAAAATCACGAATCTTCTTGGGTTATCCTTCAACAGTGGTTCATCTTCGACATTGAATTTGGTTACTTTCTTTGGTTTCTGCAGATAAAACCGTCTCATATCAATAAAATTCTAATGCAAAAAGCGTGCTGTTTCAGCCGGTTGAAAATGGCGCGTAGTGTTCGGGGTTTCCATTGATGCGCAATGTTATGTAATAACTGGCTGCCTGATATTTCGCGGGTGGCTGCAAACCGAAAATCGGCCTAAAACTTAATCCAACGTGTTTCAATATCCATCTGGCGTACTTAGTAAACTTTGAAGAACTCTTTAACTGTTTCAAACTTTAAGGGCGATGTTTCGCGGAAAACTGCACCATTGCCAAACTAAAATTTGGCGGCAAAGTTCATGCAATTCATGTTTAGGTCAAAATGGTCGGGAAGGGGCCTAAAATCTGGCATTAAGCTGCCTAACAAATATATAGCGAATCTTTTTCTGTAGCTTATAAACTTTTTGCAACCATTTCGTGAGGCGTTAACTGTTTGGTCGAAAAAACCATAGCGAAACAGACAGAATACTCACCTCAAGCTTGATATCTTTTTTGTTGCGAATGTTCTCTTTCATAACCATGATTCTTTCCTGAGTTTGCATAGGACTGTTGACAACCCGGTTAGTTATGTCTCCCAACATCTTGATTCAGAGTTTTCTTGAAGAAGATGACGAGTAATTGGTTGAGTTGTTTCTTCGAGGTGTGCAGATGCAGAAGAGCTCTAGCTTACTGAAACACTGCTCCGGGTGGGTTTATATCTCCCGCGAAACTGTAAATTTTAGACGAACTTGATTGGCTGAACGAACATGTCATCAGGTGGGTTAAACAATTGATTCGAGAAATGTTCAAAATGGAGCAATGCGATTAGTCAAAATACAATGCATTCCAAGCGTCTTCGGAAGCCATTGAAATACAACGAATCTCGTGCCAAAGTGCATCAACCGCGCCAAATTCAAACAAATTCTATTCATCATTTTGGCGCCAAGGGATAGGTTTTGGCGCGAAATTTTGTACCTATCAATATTGGCCTCCAGTCACTAAAGCCCCGGCAAAACGACTGGACATTTGCACTGGTTACGTACTGGACATTGCTCACTTGTTCAGAGTGTGGACATCCATTGAACGAACAGTTGTTGAAACCGAAGGGTGCACCAGGGGTACCTGCCCCTCAACCTTCGAGAAAATGTCTTTTTGTAAGAAGTAGCCCTTTTGGAAATCCGACCCTTTTTCTTTGAGGTGGTGCACCTTCAAAAGTTTTTCCTGCCTCCGTAACTAAGAGAATTAGACAAAACTTTCTATTTATGTAGTTTTTAACAACACCACGGAGACAGTTGGTATGGCCTAATAAACTTGTAACCGTGCTAGATTGGAAATCATTTGTCTTCTGCTTGTTATGTAAGTTATTTCTAGATTTTTTACACCCTGCTGCATTGCTAGTAGCTTCTTTGTCGTCCAAAACACCTTTAGGTTCAATAGATATCTCCTTAGGGGATTTTTAATATTCCTGCGTACACCGCCGTTATGTAATATGCCGCTTCGTAGAATTTTATTATATTTTGGGCGATATAAACAGAATAACAATCGCCATGATAATCCAAAAACGATTGGATTTTGAAAAAACACAGAACTCCGAAATTAATCAATGATATTTATCAGTGTCGTTGGAACAAAATTCATATTTGGGAGGCTGCCTATTGAATTGTATTCAATCCCCCAGTCCCCGCTTCCGACGGCCTATTGTTTTGCATCCCATCCCTAGCCCCCCCCCCTGAATAATCATTTAATGCATTCAATCTTATACACTCTTTTTTTATAAGAACCAGTAAATTTCAGTTCAGGCTGACTGTTCTTAATTTGTTCAAAAAAATCTGAGGCTGGATTGTTCTTAATTTGTTCTTAATCTAATAGGGTGTAAGCAGTGCGAGTGCTAGCTTTTTCGCTCTAGGGAGGTGTTCAGGCCTCATTTGCCAACAAAGTGAGTGAGACAACCTTCATTTGCCGAAAAGTTTGAATATTCGACGAAAAAGCACCCACTCATCGCTAAAAATCCTCGATTTTGAGAAAAACATTGTTCAAAATTGCATTTTGCAGAAGCTCAGCCTCAGCTTGTTCTTAATTTGTTCTTAACTTTTGACCAATTTTGAGGCTCGTGTTCTTATAAAATTGTTCTTATAAAAAAAGAGTGTATCTAGGATAGATAGGTTCTTGCAATTCCTTTTTATGTTTGAAGTAATTGGTCCTATGATGATAGATTTATCCCCACCATTTCATTCATTTACTTCATCCTCTTTTTCAATTTTACTGTAGCCATTAAGAATTTTTTTAACGTGTTAAAATTGAATATGTTCCTTTTAAATCTCCTCGATTTATTGGCTCTTATTTCCTTCTTCCGTCACCTTAGAGCTCACCCTGCTGATCAGTTCATACAAATTTACAGATTTAAAAAGAAACTAAGAAAGTGTGAGAAATTTCGGTACTTCATTTGCAAAGGGCTTGTTAGCAAAAAATTGGTTGGTTGAAACCCCGATAATACCATACAGGGATGTAATCTTATAACAAGATTCCACTCAAAGGCAAGGCCCGAGATACAGGATCAAGAAACTTGAGTAGCATAAATAAATACTTTTATTTTGTAAAATATGGTTGTTGTTACACTTATCTATCGCCGCCCCTCCCCAAAAAAAGTTGTATCTGAGTCTTTACACGAAGGGTAGAGGAGAGGCTAGTGAGAATCATGCTATTGTGTAAAGCAAATTTATTTGTTTCTGTTGTCTTATAGCTGTGGTATAATTGTCGTTGGTGCTGGCCAGATTAAATGGAAGTCTTGATAACGATAGTCAGGGGAGTAGGTGACTTTGTTCTCAGTGACGTGCCCAAGGACTTTTCAAAGGGGGATGTAGGGGTGAAACAAAATTAATTTACTAGCAGGCTGTGATCCATTTTTCACTACAGTGCATAAATTTTCTGTAGTGCATCCTAGCTGCATACTTAAGTATCGTAGTGCATCTATCAATAAACGACATAACAACGATTTTAAAGGAACTTGTCGTTGACTAGGGGTGGTTCAACCCTTGCAACATAAAAAAGCTTTTTGCTCCCCCTTTTTCATTGGATAAATCTGCAATGAAACAGTATGGCCTGCAGAGCAAATTACGATCTAAATGCAGTGCCTAATTAAGCTCTTTTCCAAAACCACTGATTTTGCTAAATGGAAAGAAGCGAGGGGTGATTCACTCTTGCAAATAGCGTACGAGATTCTGCTTAAAACAAAAGGATTTCTGGGGATTCTCAGATAGAACAATATTATTTTCACAAAAGGTGTACGAGATTTTCTTAGAATGATTTGCCCCTCGGAAAGAAGGGTGTCGCAAGGGTACACATCCGGGAAAAATGTTAAATGCCACAACCTTCAAATTGCTGGAAATTGATACCACGCCCAATTGTTATGTTATGCTTTATTTGCATGAATTTACGAAATTTTAAATTGATATTCATTCATGATGCAAGTTGAATCATGATACAATTGAACATTTAAAAATTTCATATTAATTTTCTCTGAAAAAAACTTTACACTACACCTCTGGTAAATGAGCACCTTGACAGGACACGTGTCTAAACCAAAAGGACCCAACTCTTCCCCCGCTGATTGGTTTTTCCAAGCCCATTATTTAAATTTCCAAGACCGATACCACTCTGAACTAATCAATGGCCGATGCCACTCTGAACTAGGCAGTGGCATAATGAAATATCTAAGTTGTTCTGTTCTTTGCTATGTAATCTTGTAATCAAAACATCTAACTTTCTGCCAAAACTTTTGAGAAAAAACTTTCAGCAAATGCCTAAACAAATGGCTAATGGCTTACTTAAAGTCATTGGAATGATACTTAACCACTCAGATTATTCAAAAAAATATCATCCCCAACTCCAAAATTATGGAGTTTGCCATATCACCCTTTTTCTTTCTTGCCTCGTTTTGTTCTGTTAAATTCCGTACAAAACATTTTCTTACTTTAAATTTTCAGACTTGACAATAAATTTAGAATTCTTTACTTCATCGTCAAAAACTTTTTCATTTCTAATTTACACTCTTTTCTTTTTATAAGAACAATTTTATAAGAACACGAGCCTCGAATTGGTCAACAGTTTAATTGGTCAACAAATTAAGAACAAGCTGAGGCATAGTGAAATTCAATTTGGAACGTTTTCTCTCAAAAACGAGGATTCTTAGTCATGTGTGGGTGATTTTCTGGTAAAAATTCAAACTTGTAGACAAATAAAGGTTGTATCACGCACTTTGTTGGCAAATGAGGCCTGAACACCTCTCTAGAGAGAAAAAAGCTAGCAATCGCGCTGCTTACACCCTCTTAATTTATGAGCAAATTAAGAACAATCCAGCCTCAGATTTCATCAAACTAACAAAAAAAATTTGGAAGGGGTATATCAAGGTAACTTTGGGAAACTTATGGGACCAAGTACTGGCTCTCCATTCCGAGCTCCATTTGAGGATTCCGATTTTGAATTTCGATGTCGTGCACGCCTTTTTAAAATATCCACCGCAGATTATACCCATTCCTGTCGCATTTGACAGCAATTTGTCATTACAATTTAATGATTCTCAATGAAAATATAGAGTAAAGAAATGAGTCGAAATGTTTTTCCATGTAATAAGTATGCCTCTATATTGGTTCATTTGAATAACACATTACTGCAGACTTTTCCTTTCAATTGGTAAACTAGATGTAAATATAGAGAAGTCAAAGTTAATTCTTTAATGATAGCGCCCCTTTCTCAGAAATTCTGTCAACCCATGTCAACCTTTAAAACAGACGTGGGCATTTCACGGCCAGCGAACAAATAAGGCCCTTTTGACGTTTCTGTCCAGCCCACGTTAAGGCCGGTTTCCACTTGATTCGCTCTGGTCGCGCGACCTGGCAAAATCGAATCAACAAATCAGCGAACGCGACCAGTCGCCCGGTAGTTCAACTAAGCTGAACTACTTAGCGAACGGTCGCGCATTCGCAGTGAATGAGGAAGTTCAATTTGCGCATGCTCCAGTGTACATTCGCTCAGTCGTGCGACCAAAGAGAATCAAGTGGAAACCGGCCTTTAGAGTGTGGTCAATCAGAACATAAACTTTTGTAAGAGTAATTTCCCATTTGACCTACACTACAATTTTATATACTTCCAATATTTATATATTTTTGATAATCAGTAGCAGCTGAAATAAAGAATAAATCATAACTTTTTGCATGTTTAGAAAAAAGAATATTGCACATAATAAAGTTAGCGTTGGCCCGGCCCTCCAATATAGTTCTGGTTTCTCGTTTGTCCCCTTGTAAATATTAATTACCCACCCCTGCTTTAAAACGAGCTTCAGATAACGTTTTGAACAGACAAGAAGACTCAAATGTGGCAGGTCTTAAAAAGGAAATTTTAATCAAAAGTATTTCTTGTTAAACTGGTGGAATTTTAAACCTAATGGAAATTTAACCTGGTGAAAATTTCAACACAATGACAGAAGCATGAAAAATTTATGGAAGAGTTTTCCGCTCTCTAAAACAGCTTGGCCTTTTTGAAGTAATCATACAGAAAATGCTTTTTTTGTTAGCAGGTAGCTTCAGGTGTACGCCTGAAAAAAATATCATCAAAACAGAAAGACCAACAGAGTCTAAATTTGGCAATTGATGAGAAAGGAGACAATGTAAGAAAACTCTTTCAATGGCTGAATTTTATTACATCATTTATTCATAGCTTGGGAATTCGAACAGTACATCTTTGCCTGTTAGCTTCTTGTACACTGCAGCAAAGGTGTCAATCTAAAACAAAAAATCATTGTTTCAGGATAATTTTGAAAACACAATTTAAACCTTTCTACTTTTATATTCTTACAAAGAAACTTTTTTTGATTGATTAATATTGAATTCTACAAAGATAACACAAATAGAATCATTTTACAACTATTATATACTTCTCAATCTCTTGAAATTCGTTTATAACAAAACATTGATTGAAAAAAGGGTTACTGTTTACAATATACTGTAAATGGCCAATTAAGTGAAATGAGCTATCATTTAGTTTTCAAGCTATTTGGATGGGCACTGATTTCGGCTGTGTCTCTTTGACTTTGTTTGCCCTAATAATGAAACACAGGAGAGTAATGTCACCTTGTCCGAAAAATTGAATCTTCATATTTTTAACTTCAACATGGGTGATTATTAAAAGCATTTGTTAGGCAGGTGGGCCCTTTATTTGTACAGAGGGCTTACTTGAAACTTTGGTACATAATTTGTTTTTGACAGTATCTCTAACTTAAAAATTATTGAACTGCTGTACATAGATATTCCCTAATCAACAAATATTAAACAAACAAGGAAAATACCTTGTGTTCAACGTTCGTCTGCTGGCTTTTGTCAAGGTGACTAGAAAATACAAAAAACAATTTGAAACAGTGAAAAAATCCGCAAAACATTATTTTTCGGCCTCAAAACATAGCAGGATTCAAATTCCAACAAAGACACACATTTCTTGTTGGAAGCATATAACCATCCACAATGACAAATACTGAGAGGAACAAAATGCTAAAGCCTTCAAAAGCTACTTTCACATTTTCCTGAGCACTTGTCAGTCACAACAACCTTATAGCAAACTTGTACAACTTATTAGATGGGACGTATTGATTTGGGGTGGAGGTGGCTTAAGAATTAACCCTTTTCAGTTGCAAATGTGATCATGATAAAAATAATATTAAATATCGCCAATATATAGGGGCTCATCAACCATTTCTATTTCCAGGGCAAAGGCTCACTTGATTAAGCAAGGGGCCTTCTGTTATAATTCTATATCAGGTTTCACTGGCAAATAAGTCAGGATCTAGTGTTATCTTTGTGTGTAGATTTTGCTTCAGTTGCATGTCAGTCATCAAATGCATTTGCATAAGACTGGGGCGACAATTCACTCATCATTAGCAGTAGGCTTTGAAGGAGTTGGGCCAATTTAAGTATTATGAAATGAAAATAACATTTACATCAATTCACACAATAGACAAGCGACAACAACTTCAAAGACAGAGACAAGACAAAAGCAGCCTAAACAATACTGTAACAAAAACTTTTACAACTTACACTTTGGTCATTCTAGAACCATCAAGCTTTATTCTGATTCTTTTGCCAACAATTTCACTTGGGTAAACGAGATCATCCAGGATATTATCGTGAACTGAAGTCAGGGTTCGGCTGCACAAAAAATAAGAATTGGATTGATTGCAACAGAAACGAACAAAGAAGCCCTTGTGTATATGAAGGCATACCTCTAGCTTGAAGCTTGATTTTGTAGCAGCAAAATTTTAATATGCATATATGTGAAGAACAGAGAAGCATCAGATAATAATAGTCAATCATCATCTATTTAAATAAGACTGGGGCGACATACTAATCATCACCTGCAAATCTGTTCTTAACACATGTATACATTCTTAGCACATGTATATGTGTTTATATTTAACAGAACCTACATAGGCATTCAGCATGACAATCATTTAAAATTCTGTTGATTACAAACAAGAACCTTGTACCTTCTTGGTCTCATTTGTTTCTGGTTTCTAGTCTTTCTTGTTGGTCGTGGAAGAATTCTCCTCTAAAACATTACAAGATAAAGAGTTTGATGAAAAATTATATAAATTTAATACACATAAATACAACAAGCGAAAAAAGTTACAGAAAAATACATTCTTCCCTCTACAGTACATTTCCTTATATGTAATAAACCAAATATTGAGACGTAAAATGACTTCAAAATATATTTATCTTCATCATAATCGCACATACAAAAAACTGACTTACAACACGTGCTAACTGGAATAGAGGCTAGATATGATTTATGCACATATTTTAATACTATTGTTCACAGGGGATAACACTATCCCCCTCCCCATCTCTCTTTCTATGTTAGTGAATGTGAACGAGTTCTGTTTGGTAGTATGTTTGCAATGTCTACTCTGCACCAATTTCTGTTGATCATGTTGTTATTATCTTCTGGTTGTTCTCCGTGGTTCAAGTCCCCTGTATTCCCTCCTCCTCTTGCACCCTCAACGTGTACTCTATCATCAATGAGATTTGTTGTCTTGTTATTGGTTAGGTCAGCAAAAATGTCACAGACTTTTTTCTTAGGAGGTCCCTTTGCAGGTAGGGGGTCAGTTGCTTTTTTGAGTAAGTGGATTGATCTTGGAGGTATATACTTCAGTTGATTGACATGAATAGTAGGACTGGCTTTGCCACTGGCGTCAACAAGCTTACAATTCAGATCTCCTATCAAGTGGGTGATTGTCCAAGGCCCCGACCACTTTGGTTGAAAACAACGTGAAATACCCCTTTTCTGAGGTGGGTTCCATAACATGACAGTATCATTGATCTTATAATGATGTTGGGTAGTTTTCTTATCGTACTGTTGTTTCATTCTTTCTCTGCTCTGGTTGAGGATACTGCGAACATTGGTAAAGGAGTTTTTAAGGCGCGTACCGATGTCATTGGCAAAAGCTTGAGCCTGTTTCACATGGTGTGGAGCAGACTGTTGAATCTGTTGCTGTGGTGATTTATTAAACAGCAACGCAGTTGGTAAAGAAAGTTTAGCACCAAGAATAAGTTCAGCAGGTGTAACTTTAGTGCTATTATTAACACTTGAACGAATGGCGTAGACAGCTGATTGCAAGAACGTGTCCCAGTTACGGCCATGTTGATCGATTTGTTTCTGCACACAGGACTTAACTAGTTTTACCATTGCCTCGGAAAGGCCATCACCTTGTGGGTGGAGACGCGAAGACTTGGATTTACCTATACCCAAGATTTTGGCCACTTCCCGCATAACATTGCCATGAACATTTGAGGCACCATCACTGTGCAAACGTTGCATAATCCCATACCGACAGATCCATTGGTCGTGAATCGCTCTAGCAATAGTAGGTGCCGATATCTCTTTGAGGGGAACAACTTCAGGCCATTTTGTAAAATGGTCGACCAGGATAAGAGCATACTTGAAACCATCTTGAGACGCAGGCAGAAAAGGTCCGGCTAGGTCGTAGCAAACAAGTTCGAATCGTTCAGTAGACTGTATTGGCTGTAACTGATCTTTGTGGTATCCTTGAGGGGGTGGATTAAAAGAAGCACAAATCTTGCAACTTTTCACCCAGTTGATCACATCCTGTTTGGCATTGGGCCAGAAATAGTGTTCACAAAGGCGAGACCAAGTTCTGTCAACAGCAAAATGACCAGAGGATGGGTGGTCATGGCAAAGTTTCAGGACGGTTCCACGTAAATCGTCAGGTACTACAGTTCAGTTGTGCCAATGCAAAATGCCATCCTCAGATACAGAAAGTTTATTGCGATATGGTTTTAAGGAACCTAGACGGCAGACATCAAAGTTTCGTTTATCAGAAGACATGTACTCGATTGCTGCTTGGATGTGTTGATCTTTTGTTTGGAAATCTCTGATTGCAGCCACTGTAATATTAGGTTGTAATTCTTCCAGTGAGTTGACACTGTGCATGCGACTGAGACAGTCGCTTATGGCGTTGTTCTTGGATGGAATGTGTTCTATTTTATAATTGAACTCTGAAAGTTGCAAAGCCCAATTCAGCAATTTTCTACTCTTAGGGTTGCGTTTGGATTGCAGGAATGAAGTTACGCGATTATCAGTACGCAAGAGAAAGGGTTTACCAAGAAGGTAGTGACGAAATTTTTCGGTAGCAAAAATTATAGCATGCGCCTCTTTCTCTACAATGTTCCACCTTGATTCAGTTTCATTGAACTTTCTGCTGGCGTAGGCGACGATGTATGTTTTGCCATCACTTGTGTTATGGGCTTTAAGACATGCACCTTCACCTCTGTCTGATGCATCGACTTCTAGGATGAAAGAGTCGGTACTTGTAGGAGCTCGTAAAACTGGTGCGGAAGAGAGAAGCTGCTTTAGTGCTTCAAAGGCTGCTTGAGCTTCAGGTGTCCAGACAAACGTTGAAGTCGGTTTTGCAAGTTCGTGTAGAGGAGCAGCAACAACAGAGAAGTGGGGAACAAATCGATCACAAAATTGTGCCATGCCTAAAAATTCCTTCAAGGATTTGGCATTGGATGGCACTGGAAAATCGGTGATGGACTGAATACGAGCTGGGTCAAGGCGAATGTGTCCCTTGTCAATGAAATGGCCTAAATACGGCAAACTTGTCTGGAAAAATTTGCATTTCAAGGCGTTTAAAGTGAGACCAGACTGTCGAATTCTTGCTAAAACTCTGCGAACATTGGAGAGATGATCTGTGAAATCTAATCCTTTAATAACCACATCATCGTAGAAGGGTGGTAGAATACAGTCGCTTAAATCAGAAAATGTTTGTTCCATGGTTCGTTGGAACAAAGAAGAGGCCGGTTTGATACCTTGAGGCATAACGTTCCAGGTCCATTGACCAAAACCGTAACCAGGAGAAAAGGCAATGATCGGTTTGATTCTATCAGCACAAGGAATTTGGTGGTAGCCACTGTTGAAGTCGATTGAGCTGACATATTGAGAGCCGCGAACAGAGTCAAGACATTGTTGAAGAGATGGAGAAGGCCAACCTGAATCTTTGATGGCAGGGTTGAGAAAACGATAGTCAACTACAAGTCGAAAACGATCGGTAACATCACAGCTATTTGAAACATTCTTCTTGGCAACAAGGACTGTAGCAGCACGATAAGGTGAATCAATATGTTCAATTAGGCCATGAGCTTTATAGTGCTGTAAAAGTTCCTTGACAATGGATTGTTGATGAAGTGGCACTCTGCGTAAAGGCATTGAAATGGGTGTCGAATGAGCCAAATCAAAGTCGAATTCTGTCACGTTGGTTTTGCCAATTTTGGTGTTTGATAAAGAGAAGACATCAGAAAATTCCATCAGTAAATTCTTGGCTTGTTGAAACTGCGAGGGAGACAAGTGGGTCAACTGTGAAGTGAGAATCGTAATAGGATCGGAGGTTTGAGTAGAATTATCTGTGTCCTGAGTAGAGAGAAGATTAATTGTGTCTTTAGGAAGAACAGAGAATTCTTCAAAGTCATACGTCCCTAGAGCAACCTTGGTGCCCTTTTTGATGGTCCTTGCGACGGCAGAAGTATTAACAAGGACGGTGGGAACACATGAGTGTTGATGAGAAACCTTGTGTAAGTACGGAACAACCTTTACATGCAGACGTTCTTCAAAGGGTGCATGTCCATCAATCAGTGCAATCGGTTCTGAAACTGGGCGGAATGCATGAAGGGAGGCCCCATTAGCAACTGTCTTAATAGTCAATGATTGTCCGGGTAGTATTGTGTACTTGTTCGGTGTTATGAAAGCAATGTTATCTTGAAGAGAAGGCTGAGAAGATACCAATACCATGGTTTCATCTAGATGAAGGAGTTTCTTGGAGTTGTCAATGCCCCATTTGGTAAATTTATTTAGAAAACTCAAACCGAGAATGCAAGAATAAGGCAATGCATCAATAATCATAAATTCAACAATGTGAGATACAGCAGGATGCCCTACTACAAGAGGGGCTTTAATTACACCAAAGGGTTTCATTATTTGTCCATTTGCATCAAGCAAACCTGGGCCAGTATAACCCTGTAATGGTAGGTTTTGCAAGTAAGGACTGCCAGTGAAACATCTTTTGGCAAGACAGCATACGGTGGCACCAGAATCAAGCATCATTGGAATTTGCTGTCCATGTAATGTTCCTGTTAGCCAAAGCAAATTAGGTTCTCTCTGTAGAAAAGATTGTGATTCTTCTTTTTGGGGGGTCAATGAAGCATTGTCGGCTTTCCCAGTATGACCCTTTACTGGGGGCCCCAAAAGTTTCCCGACTGTTGAGGAAGATTAGCTTGCTGCTTGTAAGCTAGGCAATCACGTTGGATATGATTTAAGCCGTGGCAAAAATAGCACTGAATAGGTTGCCGTCCATCTGGCCTTGCGTTTCGAGGCTGAAAATCCCTGCCAAAATTGCGTTGAAAACCATTGCGTGATTGCCTACGGTTGCTCTGCGGGGCAGGAAAAACAGGGGCACCATGCTGATGTTGAAGTTGCTGTGAGGGCCTAAACGGAAGTTGACGGTTGAGTGCATTGATTTGGTCTTGTTGTTCATCAAGCTTCCGCATTGTGAGTTGACTTTGTTGCTCAAATTTGGTGTACAAGGCAAGAATGGCGTCCAGTGTTGTATCAGATGGATTTGCAGCAGTTAAAACAGCATCAGAAGGGCCAGTGACAATAGCACCGTTGATTATCGCAGATGGTAAGGAAAGATGAACTGATGCATCGCGGCAAGCCTTGAGCAAATCTTGATGGGTAATTTTGTCATCATACGGGTTGGTGCAAAAGATGAATATATTTCTGCGAAGTGTATCAGAAATCCCTTGTAAAAACTTGCGTTTCACCGCATGGTTTATAATGTCAGTTTTGGCTTTTGGATTGGCGGCTCTGAATAACTGTAAAAGGTGGGTCATGAATTCTTCTTCACTTTCATCGATCTTTTGAATACAGCGTTCGAATGCAGTCATGTGAGCTTCGCGATCGGTTTCTGAATCGAAAACTACGGCGAGTTGTTCCTTAAGCTCGCTGTATTTCTGGGGACTGCCTTTCTCATCTTCAAATTGATCCAAGATGGCTTTAGCACGGCCATCAACACAAAGCATTAGAATTTGGCCAACCACGAGGTCGTCAGATTTCTCGGCAATAACACAACATCTGTCGAAGTTACGAAGCCATTGGTGCAAATTTATGTCCCCGTCGCCGGTGAACTTCTCAAGTTTTGAAAAAATTATGTTAAAGGATGACATTGTAAAATGATGTGGGTCAAAACACTCCTGTCACCAGTGTAATAAACCAAATATTGAGACGTAAAATGACTTCAAAATATATTTATCTTCATCATAATCGCACATACAAAAAACTGACTTACAACACGTGCTAACTGGAATAGAGGCTAGATATGATTTATGCACATATTTTAATACTATTGTTCACAGGGGATAACATATACTAAAACTCACATTTTTTACAGAAAGATCTTGTATCTCATGTAACTAGTTCTGATGAATATCATTTATGGCATTTCAAAATGGCAATGTCACTAACAAAAACAACTGCAGAGCAAACAAACTTCTGTTTCCAATAAACTATACACTGATGAAAATAGATTTGCAATATATATTTTGCTATAATACGGTTCACAAGATACCAGTTTACTCTGCTGATATCACAAGATACCAGCTTCCTCAAGGGTCAGCAAAACTTTGCAGTCCTTGCCTACACTGGATATAAGGGGTTGAACTATCAACAATATCCCAAATTGTGATCCAAACTGAGGTTGGCAGAAAATTCCAAACCTGTATGTATTATTCAAAATGTGCTTCAGTGGCATGTCAGTCATCAAATGCATTTGCATAAGACTGGGGCGACAATTCAATCATCATTAGCAGCAGGCCTTCAAAGGGATATGTGTGTTTTTGCCAGGGAGAAGGTATGAATAAGATAAATACTCAGAGAAGAGAAAACAAACCAGGTTTTGTGTGGTAGAGTAACCTATCACACACCTGTAGTGGATAACTTGTGTCTCACCTGAGCAACAACAACAATATGTTTTCCTGAAAATTTCTTTTCAAGCTCTCTCACCAAGCGTACCTTGATAAAAAGAATGTAAATATCAAACAAGGTTTAGTTACTGTAAATCCTCGAATTGTCCCCCCCCCCTCAAATAAGCCCCCACTGCTACCGTATATTCTCGAATTGGACCCCTCAATTTGATGGTTTTGCCATCTGAGGTTGCCTATGGCGTTTTGGGGGAATTACCATGACAAATTCGTACTTTTGGTAGTAATTAATTAAATGCTCATAAAGAAATTCCTACTAAAATAAACAAGGTCTTTTAATAATGTCTTCTTATTGTCTACAATAATTTTATAAGCCCCCCTCCCTCGTATGATCCCTCCCCTCAAATAAGCCCCCATCCAAAAATATAAAAAATAAATGAGCCCCCAGTGGGCTAATTCGAGGGTTTATGGTATGTAGAATTACAAAGTGGGTATGATTTGAAACATGAAAATAACAGATGTATGGACTCATTGTCTTCAGTTTTCTCATCCCATATCAAGTTGAGCATTTTTTAGGATGTTATTCTCACTAGAATTAATGATGGCAAGATTTTCTTCCAAACAAAGTTGACATGCTTCAGATATAAGAATGATTCACTTCATTTTAACAGTTGCCTTATGATTAATCACTAAATATATGAATGGCAATACTCAAAATGGCAACTTAGAACTGTCCTGTTCTATATGTGTGTACAGCCTATATAGCATCAAGCACTTCATGACTAGCCAGTAAACAGTGATGATATTTTCATATTAAATTAGTTTTCTAATTTTTAAACTTTTTTAAAATACTAAAGGGTTGGGTCCTGGCTCTCTAATAATGTCAAAAGCATGGTATATATTGTCTTAAATGAACAAACGCACTAGATGAATTGTGGAAGGGATTTAAGGGGCTTTAATCAATCTATTAGACTCTGGCTATTCAACAATAAAATAAAATTGAAATTAATCAGCATTTTGATGGTGTAGCAGGGGTCAGGGTATGAGAATAACAATTAGCCAGAGAAATATTGGCTTACATATATCAATGAAATAAAGCTCAGTTTATCATCAACAATCTTCAGTTCTTTTGTCATATTTCAGTGAAACAATAAATTCCTAAATCATCCCTGAATTGATCTAGAAATCTTCAGAATGCACATATATATATCTTATTATATAAATTTTTGATTGTAGCAGCAAAATTTTAATATGCATACATGTGAAGAACAGAGAAGCATCAGATAACATAAGTCAATCATCATCTATTTAAATAAGACTGGGGCGACATACTAATCATCACCTGCAAATCTGTTCTTAGCACATGTATATATATGTGTTTATATTTAACAGAACCTACATAGGCATTCAGCATGACAATAATTTAAAATTCTGTTGATTACAAACAAGAACCTTGTACCTTCTTGGTCTCGTTTGTTCCTCACATCAATTTTTGAATGACATAATTTACTCAAAGAATATCTTCCCTTAACTTAAAAGAACTTCATCTTTAACAAACAGATTATCAATTGACAAAGCCCTTCAAAGACATCAAAACAACTGACAATTTGAAACAAACCTGGATTTGTTGGAAGTTTCTCAACTGAGGGACTGGAACAAACAGGATGATGGCCTTTCTTCCTGCAACATCTAATTCCTGAAATTGACAAAACAAATGAATGAGAAATAAAATTAATGAATAACTTAAGATTTACAAGAACTGAAATGAAATGAATAGGAATGGCAATAACATCGCCTATTCAAAAACAAAACATTTAATGAGGATACCAAAGGGACACTTGAGTTTTGCAGATAGTGGATGTCAGGTTAATTTTGGTGCAGAGCTGCAAAATCAATCAGAATCTATCCGCAGATTGCAGATACTGACTGCATTGTTGTGGAATGAAAAAATGGATGACCAATCCCTTTACAAAATTGTGCATTAGTAACCTGTAAGCCTTATAACAAACCAAGACATAAAACATTCCACAAAGGTCCAAACACAACAGCCACAACAACAACAGAAAAAATAAAGTTTTGGTACAAAATGGCAATCTGCTTGTGGGAATAGGGAAAAATTGTGGAATTGCATACCCCTAGTGACCCCCTAAAATAGCCTCATGTTTCAGATAACTGCCCACATTAATCATTGTGATGATGGACTTAAAATTTAATTCCAAAACATAAAATACTGAAGTTTTCTAATGAAGTGTCTGCATAAGTTTCAACAATGAGATCACAGTGCAGACCACATTGAGCGACAAATACAAGAACTATATTGCATGTCTCTTTGTCTGTAATACAATCATGATGTAAACAGGGAGTTTAACATGCATTAATGCAATTGAAAAGGAATTCTAACAGTAACTAAGGAATATAATACATAGGGAATGATAAAAAAGAAAATTTGAAGAACCAAAAGAGAATTTCCATGAAGCTACTTTTAGTCACAACATATCTTAACTTTTGAAAACATAAAATTTGAAAATATATATTTAATTCAAATTCTGACCACACAAGTTTCTTGTAGCAAATACATCCAAGCAACACGCATAATTACCTTTTTTACATTGAAGCAGACAGAGAAGCAACTTAGAAGCATCATGTTCTATACACCAAAATTGAGTACTTTATGACTTAATTACCTTTTACATACAAACAGACAAACAGTAATTTCAAACATTTAAAAAGTTTATGCAAAGTTTTATGAAAATATAACTCTGTGATAATACAATAAAGGAGCATCAGCTTTTTTAATGAGGTGTTACCTTTGCCCCACTGATGTAGAGTTCTCTGAGGTCGGCTTTGAGGTCTGAGTTCATTTCAAGCTCGAAAATTGCCTGAAAGTAAAAAACTTTCCAATTATCTTTGTTTGAATCAAAAGGTTTTTATACTTCCACGAAGCAAAGCTTGCATATTCATATATTCTGCAAAACACGCACACAAGTAAACACATATATATATATATATAATATATATATATATATATATATATATATAGTAATCATTTTTACATATGTGTTCAAATATTTAACAAACTAGAATCATTGTTCCACTATGTGTGAAAAAAACCCCAAAACTAGATTTGGCTTTTTGAAGTAAAACAAAAGTGAAAATATTTGCAACACCATCATAGCAAGACCATGAATGGGTCAAGCTACTTGGAAGGTGCAACATTGTTCTAGCATGTTACTTATCCAGCAAGCCATGACTTTAAAAGTTTAAGACTTGCAGTGATTAAGCATGCATATATTCTGTGGTTCAGAAACAAAGTAAGATTATATAGAGAAAGAATAATAATATAGGTATAGTCAATCCGGGTAAAAAATACGCACGTGTCTCTGCGGGGAAAAATTACGCACCACCTTTTCAGCCACGCCCAATCACTTATACCGTTTTGCTTGTGGTTCCCCTATAGCCTAGAGAAGGCCTGTCAATTTGACCTGCTTTTCCCTTTTGTAAGGATTCTTGATTTAGAATAAAGCGGAATTGAATGTCTACCTTGTAAATTGGCCCAATATAATGTTTTGTCGGAAATCATTGAACTTTCTTATTGTCGCGTCAGTAACTGTCAAGCCCACAAAGTCAAGTATTCTCAGTTGTTCTAAGGGATTAACCTTTTGACCTATGATAATTACATTTGCTTGCTATCTTTTGTTTTGTCTACATGGCATGCGTATTTTTTGGACACACAATTTTTGAGCACATGGGGAAAAATTACGCACTCCTGATTTTGATTGATGTTGGTATGGGACCTATAGAGATATGTAAATATGAGTCACAGAGGCACAAATTATCATGAGATATTACATAAGCTTATATTAATGGGAGTTTACAATGTATTTTTGGCACTTAAGTCATAGCCTCGCTTTCATATGCCAAAGTTTTTAATAGCAGACATCCTCATGCTTTTCAACTTTAAAATCACTTAGAAGCTGTTCAAAACTATTGCTTAACATCGTTACATGGAAAATCAAGTATTATATGAGTGTTCTTCATAAACAAGCCTCTAGGATTCATTCTTTTATGTGTGCGTATTTTTTCCCCACCTATCCGCATTTTTTACCCCATTTGATGGGGGAAAAATTTCGCATTAGTTTTCTTTAATTATAAGAAGGTTAATTGGATTAGCAAGACAACAAAGGTTTGGTTAACAAGGTATTACTATTCAAGTTCGAAAAATAAAAGAATATTGACAAGATATCTTTTGAATATTTTTCTGGAGCAAACTTTGTGCAAAATGCGTATTTTTTCCCCCAACTGACTATATAATACATACTAACATTCTACAGATTGAGCCAAACAGAATTTATGACTGCCTTGGTTACGGTGAAATCACCAGGGCAGGCTTTAAGAATGCTTTTCTCATTTCATAGAGTAATTTGGTTCAGTGGAATGAACTGGGTTGCTGATGCAACAAACTGGAGTTTGATTCTAGAGCATTGCAATACAACTAGCCTTGTGAAATTATTCTTAAATATTGTCCCTGGATAACTTCGCATTTCACTAGTCAGAACATTTCCTTACTTTAATAAGCATGTATGTTACAATTCCAACTGTATAAATGACACAATTATAAGAATTCTAGGTTTACAAACATGAAGGGTAAAATACAATCAACCGGTTGCCTAGGACAAAGTAAAGGAACAAAACAATAATCAGGTTCAGTGCCTTTTATTGCCCAGGTGCTTTCTGAGAAGTGATCAGTTTGTAATTTGTTCATTTGATTGAATTCTTCAAATTTACAGAAACAGCACAACTTAACCAAATTTTGTATGACATCTGCCAATCTGATACTGGTTCAATAATAACATGTTGGCCATGAAAAGAGAGACCCAATTTTCCAAACCGTTAAAACGCTTTCGTTTAAAAAATACTCCAACAGAAGATCCAAGATCCTTTAATTTGAAGAACATAGGAATCAAAAAACAAAATCAAACTGCCTTTTTAAATATCTATCATTATCAATGCTACTTCTGGCTAGTAAACAAGAAGAGCTGGTTTTACATTTTCAACTATCAAATGCACTGGCAAAAATAACCTACCAAATTCATTTAGCAAAACTTCAATCGCTAAAGCGAAATAAATATTTTTGCAAATAGTTTACTAATGGGGCAAAATTTACATGCATAAACTACGCATGTGAGTCAGTATTATTGCTGGCTTAGGCCCATGATGACATTCATTTTCTAGTCTAGTTTGTAGACAGGCAAGGAAATAAGACACATCAAAGATAAGCCATTCAAAGATCTTACCTGGGACATGGACAGTTCGAACTCATCGGGCTGAGCGCCATCTCCTTTTCGTATTTTTGCACTGGCAGTGAACATGATGCTTCACCTGAATATAACGAAGGAAATGGGTCGGTAATTTCATTTCTTATACAAATCATCGAACATTTATCTTTAGAGAATCTGATAAATTGAGGATTTAGGTCTATTTTCGTGAAAACTGTAACAATAAAATTGCAGGAAAAAGCAGCAAATTTTTGTTCAATAATAGATAGTAAAGTGCCTTTTACCTTTCAGGCTACTTTCAAGTGCATCGGATGGAAAGGCCTGATCGTGGGAACCGCGCTCCGAAGGGACTGGATCCAAGCACTCTGCAACAACAACACATGAGATATTGACATGACTGCGCAACAAGAGAAGCTTGGGAATGCTTTGGAGGAAAAGCAGTCTAAAAATTATGAATTATTTGGATAGTTGCTTTTCCATGTGACAAAGAAATTACTTGATAGTCAAGAATAGAGTCAAGGACTCGTACCCATTTGGTAAGGTATCATACATCTCAACTTATTGAGCCATTAATTTGAAAAGAATATCAACTTCCTCCAACACTCTTAAAAAAGAAACAAATGCAAAAGAGAGGCAGAGAACTACTTGAAGCTCTGTGTATTTCAAAGTGCTTTTGCGAAATATCCGCGTGTGTACACCATGCCATCATACTCCCTTTGTTAGAAAAATTTGGTGGCCTTAGACTGTGATATTACTTATCTAACAAAGCAAGCCACATTTAAATTATGAAGCACAAGATAGAACAAACTAAATCATGTCACATTTGGATTTGATATTTTTCTTTCTAAATGGTCAAAGAGTTCAAGAATATTGTTTAGCAATGTGTATTAGAATAGCTTGAATAACAATATTGCATTATTGTCCTCACCATTCTTTATTAATCACCTTTATCTTGAGGCCTGGCCAAATGAATCAAATATCCGTAAAACATTACCCAACACTGTTTTATCAACATTGTTGGACAACGTTTTATGACCTGGCCAAATGAATCAAACAAATTTTCAAAACACCTGTGGTGGACAAGTGCTGCAGAACAGTGCTAACTTACTGTGCTTGCATGATTAAAACTAATGTTTTAAAGAGTGGACAAAGGAATGCAACATTGTTGGTCAAACACAAGAACAAAAGAGATGTTTTAGGAAATGTTTGATGGAAATCAAATTTCCTAAAACATCAATAAACATTATAAAATATCATAGTGGCCAAATGAATAAAACATGTTTTAACCAACAATGTTGGATGCTGTTTTATGCTTATGTTGTAGTCACTTGGCTTTAGCTAATCTTTAGGGAATGGTTGCCGGAGTTAACAAGGATTGCATGCAAACTCATCAAAGTTCTTGACTCAAGCATCATTTTATCCTCAATTCAACAGCCTTTGAAGTTTGAAATTTTGTGGACTAAGGAAGGTCAACATCAACAGAAAATCCTGAAAATTTCATTGATTTATCTTATTCCATTTTGAAATTATTCCATTATCACCCTGAAGAGGGCTAGGGCCATTTGAAATTTTGGAAAACCACTCCCTGTTCAGCCACTCCCTGGAAAATCCATTTTGGAGAACCACAGCCAGCCACAATGCTAGGGTTGCTAATACCTTCTGTCTACTCTTCCTACAAAGCTGTGTAATGACCTATTTTAAAGGGTGCAGAGAGTTCTTTTAGAAAATATTCCCTAGCCTAATGTTCTACCCTCACACTTGACCAAAATTACCCCCCCCCCCCTCTGGACCACAAGACTCCCCTAAAAATCTGTAAGCATTGATGATGATTGCTTTGTTAAAGTTAATGTAGGAGTACATGGCCAGTTCTCATTGAGGGTCTGTGTCAGTTGTTTGACATGGTGGCTATGTCAGATAATCAGATTGTTTGAAGATGGCACATAATAGCTGGAACATAGCTCACTGAAGCACTATGCAACAGACCCTCTTCAGACTATAAACTTTGGGTATATGGCCAAAAGTAGTTTGGATCAAAAATCATGTGAGAGGAAGAGTGACAACAAAACAAAGGATCTTGACTTGTGTAGACAGAAGAGTTCATTTTCTCTCTTGGACTCTTCAGCTAGGCAAGATGTTAGCCTTGGCTGGTTGGTAATAAACCAAAGAACTTATCAAATACATCCTTCAATTCAAAATATTTTGTTGTAATCTAATTTGATCTTGGACTGCTAGATTTATGATATAATTGAATTTGTAGGATGATGACATCATCATTCAAACCTTGGGAAGCTGGGTCAAATGAACGACAAAATCCGCATAGCTACAGCAGCAGACCATCAGTCAGGATCCGACCTGGTGTAGCAAGATCAAATGAGAAAATGAACAGGACAGATTCACCACCACCAATTCCCTCAAGGCAAAGAAATGATGAGAACAGGTTTTCTAATCAAATGTATGGCTCATATTATGGAAATTCAAGTTATGGAATGTATGGTGGTGTTGGAGGTATGAGGGAATGTTTTTTCTGAAATTCATTTAATCTTCAACTTTCAGTGCTCCTTAAAGTGCCTGTGACATGATTTTTTTTATTCTCTTAATTGAAACGTTGCACTGCTCTTATAGTAGATCTGAACAATTTTTTTGAAATAAAAGCGTTTTGATATTGAAATTAAGCAAAATAGTGCGGCCTAGCCAAGTCGCTTTATCATCATTCGCCGTTCTCTTGTGATGTCATGGGAGGAACTTGTTATTGTATCAATGTAAGCGCTACCTTCAAAAATCTCATCCTCGCTGCTACTACTTTCTCTGGAAATATCGCTCATCTTGAACCTGTTAGATTTCCCTCATTGACTACGATACAAACACTCGAAGGAGGAGGCGATCGGGTCCCTCCCGTGACGTCACTGTCTACTTATTCTGAAAACCAAGATGGCGAATTTTGGCGTAGAAGATCGCCAATAACTCCTTCATTTCTCACGAAACGTAAAAACTAACCTCAGAAATGAAAATAACAGGCCTTTTTACATAAGAATAGATATATAAGCCCAAAAGTACGAAAATCATGTCACAGGCACTTTAAAGTAAGCACTTTTTGAGGAGAGGTAATTTGTTAATTTCAAAGTTTAAATTTTTGCTTATAATTATAAATATTGTAAGATGTTTTCATTTAAACATTATAGCTAGTCTCTTCAGTCCAAATTAGATAAAGAGTTTTAATAAACAGAAAAGCGTTTTCTTGGCCTATTTAGAAAATTTAGGTAGACAGTGGGAAGGCAGCATCTACAAGTTGCTGAGACTACAAAAATAATTTACAGCAAAAGAGTTTGCCTGCGTAAAACTTAAACAGCAATTCAAAATACCATAAAATTACCTTGCTTCTTGAGTTCTAAGATTGTTATCTATCATATCTCTTTCAATCCATATCAAGTAGCTTCCTTCAAAATAATCATTTTGTTTAGTCAGGCCTCTCACTGAAAATGCTCAATCAAGCACAGCAGGCTCAATGATTGTATGAGAGGTTATTTTGAGCTCAAGTGACAAGAGTGCCAGGAGCACAATAAGTTCATCTTTGGATTCCCAGTGTTTGAGCAACAGTCATCTCATTGTTTGCTGTCATCATGAAAATGCCAATGCACAACATTAAAAACAAACATGAAAACTTTGATCATTTTGAAACTAAATTCACAAGGCAAAAACAGAGCAAAACGAATGAAGCAATGTGAACCTAGCCCATTAACTATCTGGTTTGGAGATCGGTAAAATTGGAGCCTGTATATTACTTTTTTCTTTGATAACACAGCATAGAATCAGCTTAGGGTCCCAAACTGCAGATCAAAGGGTCAATTGTTTAAGTCACTGAAATATCCAAACTTACACATCAAATGAAGGAACCACCAGCTATTTGTAAGTCTAGGCAAGAAATCATGAAGTGTGTGTTCACCTGGAGAGGAAGGACCAGGACGTGGCCTGATAAGGATAGTTTCACAATGACCTGAAACCTACTTTCAGAAACTACCAGTCAAACAAATACAGCATGAGTGCAGCACAGTAGATTAATGATTGAGCAGTTCACTTGTTTACATAGTTATTATGTAACCCAAGATAAAAAGGAAATGGAAAGGCAGGGAGCAATAGCCCAGATGAACTCTAGATTTAATTTCTTCTAGTGATGGGAGCTTCCCATTCACTTTTAAAACAGGTTCTTTTCAACAAGATAATGAGTTTTCTGCCAAGTAATCCCCCATTGATAGGTGCATCTTGTAACTCTCTCTTTTTGCACTGTCAACGGGTTTCTTTGAAGTCAACAAAAAGAATTCCTAAAAATGTCGATCATCAAATGGGGCTTTCCTTTTTCAAAGAACAATGAAATGATCATTCTTTAGTACAAAACTCCTTGAAACCCATTGATTGGATGGTTTGTCCCGATATTATCAAATATCCATCTATCTGACAATGTAATTGAATGTCCTTTTCAATTTTTTGTTTGTTTCTTAATTTACGTTAGAATTATAATTCTTAGTTTAAAATGCTTATTAAGGCCTACAAATTGCTTTAAGAAAAATACAATTGAAAAAGCATAATTTTCAATAAAAGCCTAACTTTTGATGAAAACCATAGTACATAATCTGCAGTTGCAAGCTTGGCCTTGCTAAGCATACAAAGTAGAGAACCTTCTTGATAATTCTTTCTGTTCCAAGAATTTCTCTTTGTTAAGGTAGATTTTAGCTTGGCGAGGTTTCCATTTATCTGGGAATTTCTTCTCTGGAATACTTTTCTTCATAACATATCTAATTTTTGGTTTGGTCTCAAATTCCACAACTGTTCAACTTTTTTCTAATCATGGTAGGCAGGTTTTATTATCCTGCTTATGCGATTCTTGCCACTTGCCTACTTTCCACTTTCCTTACAGTAAGAATTCTTGAGCCCTGTTTTTTCTAGATCATCAGTGATTAAGCTTCCTTCATCATCCATAAAGGACTGTTTCTATCTTTCTTATTGCTACCTTTGCAGTTTCTTTGCTACTTTTCAAAATCAGCACTAGAATCTTATTGCTAAATTGTTGTTTCCAGTGATATTTTTCAGCTACTGACATTATTATGTTACTCAATTTCTTTGTTCATGGTATTTTTGTTTGTTGCTTTGCCATGATGCATTTTTTCATCAATGTTAGTTGAAAGGGAAAAATTGATGGTTGTGCTGGTATCTGTAGCGTCAAGTTCTACTTACTGTGCTATCTGAACTGCATGATACATTGCAAGAAGAAATTTACATGGAAAGCCTTTGGTAATCAGGAAATTGCTAGTTTTTTTACAATTTTAGGAAGAGACTTTTATTGCTGTTTCAAGCTGAGGATTTAGATTTCTGTAAAAGTAAGATATTGTCATTGTCCAGCCAAACCACAACCTTCAAGGGATGTCTTGAAACCAAATGGAGAATTCCGCTGTCAAAGCTGCACCAAGTTTTGAACAAACAACGTTATCAAAACTTATCAGTCATATAAATACTAACCAAAAATCTAGATTAACCCAAAGAAATAGCAACAAAAAGTAGTGTTATTCTAAGACCTTTTTTGGATGTTTGCCAATGTTTGTTCCTTACTTTTTAACTTTCTTATGACACATATGGTGATATCTAACTCCTCTTGTTTTCAAGGTTAATGCTGTTGACTAATAAACACTGACAGGCCTTGCACACATTAACAATGTTTTCCACACCAAGAATTCTAATGGACACACTTAAACCAGCTTTGTTTTTCATGATAAATTTCAACCAATCAAATTAGTTTGTGCTATTAGATTGTCCAACTAGAATGCAACATACCATAACCTGATTTACTCTAAGCTTGTTTAATTTGCCAGTGTTAATAGGGTGTGAAAATACCACTCCAAAAATCCTTTTTTCTTATAGATATGTATATATATAAGAACTTTTCTAAATTTCAGCTTCTTGGGGATTCTTAATTATGAGGTTAAAAAGAATAAATTTCAGCCTCAATGTTCTTATAAAAACAGGTTCTTTTATGCGGGTTTCTACTGTACTCCTTTTTACTGTTGTTTCTACGCTGTGTTTCCACTCCAGGTTTTACGCATTTCTTAATCAAAATATGGACCTACCTAGTATTGTGAAGCATCCGTTTCATTCGCATTTAGAATTTTTTTGTAGCATAGATAGATACCAATTAGAGACAACTCTTAATGCTTGTGATGTAGTCGAAATATTTGCTCAACCTTTCTTGTTTGTTTGCTTGTCTCTTGCTGAGGCAATGTGTGGGTCATTCGTAAGTGACACTAAATGACCTTTCGTCATTTCCCTTTATGGCTGTCCCAGAGTACGGAATTTTACCATTTTTCAGATTAGGCCCTGTTCACACGATACCGGGTTCATATCGGATCGATCTTCTTTTCTATTCTGTTATGCAAAATGATGAGAGGAGACTTTGAGATGAGAATCAGAAGTCACTTTGCGATTTCCTAGCCTTTTTCTTTAAATGGGAAACCTATTTCGTGGCATACATACTTGACGTTTGCATGAACAATGCAAACTTCCCCTTGCTTGAACAATGCTTGAATTGTTAAATGAGAGATCTGAACCTAAATTATGTTGGATTTTTAGTTTCTGCCATACCGCTGATCTATGTTGCTCTTTGTTGGCAGAAGAGCGTTCGAAGTTTATGCCATCTATAATTGCGGGAATAAGTATGTTTCCTATTATAAGAAATATGTGATGTAACCAAGTATCGATGAAGGCAGATTGGTAAATACCCATTTGTGTTTTGCAGGCTATGGTTATGGCAATCAGCCTTACATGTACAATCGACCACTCGGTTATGGCCAAAGCAGCATTGCACCAAGTACATTTGCTAGGCGAGCTGAAGATTCATGCAGGCCTGCTTTTGACTCAGTGCAATCTATTGTGCAGGCCTTTGCTTCCATAGCAACAATGCTGGACTCAACCTTTTTTGCTGTACATAGCTCCTTCAGAGCCGTGCTTGGAGTCGCTGATCAGCTGTCAGGTTTGCGAGCGCACATTGCAAACACACTAGGTGCATTGACAATTTTCAGAGTTATTCAGAATATCTTTAAGAAGCTGATGAGATGGCTTAGGTTAAGGAATGGCGATATTGAAGCGGTAGAAATGGATGTTTGGGCTGAAGCAACGAAAGAGATAGCAGATAAGCAAAGGAAATCGAAATCGTGGCCGGTTGTGCTATTCTTTGCAGTTGTGCTTGGAACGCCATGGCTCATTTGGAAACTATTGCAGACAATATCAAATGATGAGAATATAGAAGAATGGATAACTGGTAGGTTTTTCAAGTCAACTATAATCAGTTATTGTCTTTATTGTAGTCTATTGTGATTGTTGCGGTTATAATCAGTTATTGACTTCTATCAATTAAACAACCAATCAATCAGTCGCATTGCAATCAATCATACCAATCAATCATACCAATCAATCATACCAATCAATTAATCAATCAATCAATCAATCAATCAATCAATCAATCAATCAATCAATCAAGTTAACAATCGTTTAATCATTAAAATCAGTCATTGCAATTGATCAATCAGTTTTACAATTAGCTGACAGTGCACTAACTTCAATAGTCAGTGCAATATCCTCGCAATTTTAGGTGGCATAAACTTTCCGATGGTTACCTTACAGCCAACTTTTCGCTTTATCAACCGCACTTTTTTCTACAATCTTCGAACGCTTTTCTGCCTGTCATGAAGAGGATTTGATCTCGCTTGTTTAGAATTCAACTTAACAAATTTGATATCCCTGCTGAGTCAGCTTGTTATACCTTTCGTCCTTTTATCTGCAAGTGGAAAAACTGATCAAAAAATACAGTTTACCTAATGCTGCATTTTTGGTTCCATTAATTGCCATTCGATTTCGGCTTATCAAACATGGATACTTAAAACTTAACATGGCAAACCGCAATTTTATTCATATTTAGAAACCATACCCTGGTGCCACAAGAAGCTCGCAGTCCAAACATTTACTTCTAGAGTTGTTAATCAATATTGACGATGTCGATAGCTTTTCTTTAGATTTTACAGGGAAATATAAATTCTTTCATATTATGTATTTACTAGTTTTAATTTCATAAGCAAGTTTTTTTCAATCCCAGGTGATGGTGAACACTTTGAAGCCGAGGCTGAGTACGATTTTGATGCTGAAAACGAGGATGAAATTTCTTTTCAAGCAGGAGATTCCCTGCGTGTTGCCCCAAAACAAAAGCAGCCTCATGTGAGAGGATGGCTATTGGCAAGTGTTGATGGGAAAGTTGCAGGGTTGGTCCCTGCTAATCACGTGAAGGTATATCATCTGATGCACATTCTTTCTTAAGCCTTATTTAAACAAGACGAATTTTTTGCGCGAAGCGAATTTTCCGCCACGAAATTTTTAGCTGCGAAATTTTCTCTCGAATTCGAAGTTCAATTTACACTGGCAGACATTTTTATGGGAGTTCGCTGCAAATATTTCAAAATAAAATAACAACCGTTCATTCTGTTTTCTGAAAACTTAAAATTTTGAAGTTAATTTTATTGCAAAAGTGAGAAAAACAGCAAAAAAGGCGATAATGGGTTAGAAAAATTTATTCAAAACATCTTCGGAAGGGGGAGTTTCATCTTTCGGTAAGAGATTTATGTTTACATAACCAGGAATACATTTTTCAAATACTTTCAAATTGCGCCATCTAATCTTGCACAAACATGCGAGATGCTGTAAGTGCATCTGCATCAAACAGATCTTGCGTCTTTTATGACTGAAACTGCTGTTGAGCAGGCAAATAAGCAGACAACATGGCATCGTTTTAAAGAAATTCTTACCGATCGTTTATTGCAGACATATTGGTATTAAGATAGAACTTTAAGCCAGTTTTCGACAATTTGAAATGTTTGAACAATGATCCAATATGAATCCACCTACATGCAGTGTGTACGTGAAAAAATGAATAATTACCAACCTTTTTCATTGACGTTGTATAGGTGAGAATGTTTGAGAAAAAGAATCCGGAAAGACGTAGGCCATCAGGAACCAAAACATAAGTCACTTATCTTCAAATGCTTTAATTAACTTTCTTATTACCTCTTGATTTAAATGCTCTTCTGATTGGTTTAATTTACAACTCGAAAAATTTCGCAGCGAAAAGGTAGGAATGGTTTCTACTTTTTCCTAAGCGCTGCGAATTCGCAGAAAATTGTCTTGTTTCTACTTCTGCGCATATTTTTCGCGCATTCGAAGTGAAAAATTCGCTTTGCACAAAAAATTCGTCTCGTGTGAATCGATCTTTTAATTAAAGAGTTAATAATTATATAATTATAATTTTAATTAATAAAAGTAATAATTATAGCGCAACTGTTATTTTCGTTCTTTTCGCACTGAAATATGGACAAAAGAAGTACATTAGAATCCAAGTATTTGTTACCGCAGCGTAAACCCTGTAGCCCTAAGGTTATGCTTTCAAAATTAGAGAAACTGTTTGTTATTTTTGTGCACGACGAAGGATCAAGTATAATATGATGTTATCAACAATTTCATCGTTAGCCAATCGCGCATGCTCCACGTGTAGTCATTGCCAACGGTTAAAATGTGCCTCTGAACATCTAATTTAACTAAGATTGGGTAATTTGTAATGGAATTACAAAGCTTTTTGGTTGATCACATAAAACTCTATCAAAACACAGATTACCTAGGTTTGACTGATAGAGTTGGCTAGACTTCTAATCTAGTCTAGCTAGTTTTAATCAAAATTCTTGGAATTCATTTTATCATCACCACCGTCCTTCGATCGTAGTGGTCGGAACACTCTTATCATCTCTGCCCCAAACACTACCTTTCATCACTGCACTTCCTGGATCTCCTACACCAGTTCCTGTATCTCTAGCCAACATGTCCGTTGGCGAGATTTTACTATACCAGGTGGATGGCAAAAAAAACCATGCCAAAACAAACCACGGAGTTTCAGAACGCAAATTGCATTAGGGAAATTATATACCCTATACATAGACTGTACGTTTGATTTCAGATTCCATATGAAGCAAAAGTGTGTTGTTTATTCGCAGATTTTCATGCATCGTTCAGTTTGTTTTTCACCTTATCAATCTATAACCTCAGTTTGATTTCTATTATTCCACTATGATACCCTCTTTAACTGAAGCAAAGCAGTGGAAATAATGATAGAATAGGAACTACATTTTAGTATGATCCCCCTTGATTGCCTGGAATTGTAGTCATGTTTCAGTACATACCAACCTGCATAAAGAAACAGTGAAATAGACTAGTTATACAAGAGATGGTATGTTATCAATAGAGGATCATTGGAACCGCCACAGCACTGGTTGTTTGATTTTAGCTTGCATTGAATTTCTGTTAATGAAAAAGTTGGTTGGTAAAACTTTGCAAGATCTTGTAGAAAACGGTGAATCGCTGATAAAACCTTTCAAAAATCTGGTAATCTCACAGATTCTACAGAATTAAAATAAGAAAGTGATGTACACTTACGTTCGAAAAGTACTGCAACGCCCCCCCCCCCTCCCCCTCCTTTACAAATTGGCAGTACTGCCCATTGTAATGAAGTTGTCAGTTTTGTAATATAAAGTAAAATTTGAGCAATTTTTGTATCACTGAATTCATTTCTATGTCTTTCGAAAACACTTTCACAGATTCTAACCATTCTGTATAAGAAAGGAATTTATTTAGCAAAATATGCTGCGTTGCTGTGTATGTATTTTCCCACATCAGAATTTTGTCATCAGTACGTCTCTGACATTTCTCCGCAACCTAATAAATAGACACATCCCATTTGGTTATTGTCTAGGTAAGCCAGGTTTATAAATATATGTCCTTATATGACTTGTTTTTAATTAGTCTCGGATGGCAGACAGTAAAACCCAGTCTTTTCTACCCAGTCAACCTAGCCAAACCCATCCTGCGATTTGAATACATCAAAGATCCCTTTAGATAAATTGATGAAATTGCAGTTGTGGATGAATTGATGAAGTTACAGTTGCGGTTTAAGATTTTAACATTTGACAATGTCCCCTTATCCGGGGCCATCTAAGTTCTGAGTTGTTTATTGTTTTCTACTTTTTAGATTCTTGGTCGCAGAAGGGGCTGTTCAAAAAGAAAAAGAGGAAGAACTACAAAGGAAATGCAAGGAACAAAAATCGAGGAACTTGACGAAATACGAAGTGATGAGCTGGGAAATGAAAGTATGACAACGCAGAATGAACAATTTAACGACTTATATGAAGAAACAATTTCATGACGTCAACATAAGGAGTTCGATAACATTGTGAATTGAATTATGTCAAGATAATACGTCAATTTTAACGTTTAGGCCCCGTATCAATATTTTTGTATTAAAAAGATAAATGATATACAATTAGTCGTAAGGTCTGATTACAAATTTAAATTTTTACGTGTGGAATTGGCGTATAGAGTCAGTCTCACAAGGCCGACAATTTCACAGAAGCATTGAAAAGGAGTAACGTTATTGTTATGATATATTGAAATTTCGTATATTTTTCATTTTTTGAGTGGTTGCATACAAATTGTAGGTTTCTTAGTTGACTTGTTTCGGTTACCGTATTACCTCTTAAGATTTTTCGCGGCGTTTATTAAAAAATAGAAATTTTGGATGCGGCATTTAATAAAAGGTAGCGTTTATCAGAAGGTGACGTTTAATACAAGATTAAAGTTTGTCAAGTGAAAAATGACAAGAAAAATGCGACGAAAAGATAAAAGCAGACGTCAAACAATGTTTTCTTTTCCAAGAAACATGTAATAAAGAAGATGTGAAAATTTCTTTAAAGTTACAAAAGATGTGTTCACGTTAAGGAAATGTCAATGTCCCTGTCTCCGTCTGAGTCCTCGTCTCTATGACATAACAACTTTCGTGGCTTTTGAATAGTAAGCATATAATTTATACGTTACTTATTGTTTGGTGTGTTTTCTAATAAACGCCGATTTTCAAGATGCGGCGTTTAAATTAGGGCGGCATTTATTAGACGGCGGGTTTTTTACAAATGGTTGGCTGAAGGTGCGGCGTTTATCAGAAGGCTGCGTTCTTTAGAGGAAATACGTTAGTTATGAGCAGACTGCTGCTACAACTTTTCACTTCATTTTTTTCATTTTAAAATATTTATACAGGTTATAAGTTTCATATCAAGATTTGTTTTTCAAACCGACCTGTTTAAACGAAAACACCAAAGTCAGAATGAAAAAAATTTATGTAACTAATTTATAATATAGCATAATACAAAATCTATGAAAAACAACATGCAAATGAAATTAAGGTTACAACCCTTTCTATGGTTGTTTTTTGAAGATTTTCAGGGAGGGTGCCAATTTTGTTCCTCTTTCTAGATTTTTCCAGAGCTTTGCACCGCGATGAGAAAAAGTTTTTGGCCATTGTTCGTTTTCAGTAACGGAATCCTAACATCAATATCTGATGAGCGCAGAAACCATTCTCTACACAATGGCGGCTTTTTCGTTTGTATGTAGATCGATTCCAAAACTGCTAGATGAAAGGAAGTCCGGGCTCTGCCAATTATCCGAAACATGTCGTCATTATAGAGTTTTGCACAATCTGGGTTGTCTAAAAGGGTATATATTTTTCATCGTGTTCTTTCGGACCCTTATTCTGACCCTTATGCTCTGAGGAGTGTCAGACGAAAAAGATTTTAGTTAATATGTTGTGAAATGTTTGTATTTTAAAAAACAATTTTCAAGTTATGTACCGCCAAAAAACTGTTCATATTTTATGAATAATTTTCCCAGGGGCAAGTGAATCCAGACACTTGAGGGCAGATGGCAGTCTCTTTTCTCACAAAATTACTGATAGTTAACCAGCTAAGAAACTGAATTAGCGGAGCAGCTGAAGCATCGTAAGGGATGTTTGTTACAATTCTTGCAGCTCTATTTTGGATTTTTTGCAGGACTATAATTTTCGAATCACTACAGCAGCCCCAAACGGAGCAACAGTAGCTCAAATGGGGCTCAACAATTCCTCTAAACATTTTAAAGAGAACGCCAGGTTAGAATACTTAACGAGTCCAAGGGATCGATTTACCTTGGTTTGAAAAGTATCGATATGTTTGTCCCATTTTAGTTGGCTGTCTATCTGAACACCTAAATACTTTATACTGGTAATCATTTCAATTTCCTGATCACCTGTTGAAAAAGATGGTAGAGCATCAGGCTGGTCTTCGATCCTACGGATATTTGGACCAAGACCTATAATAAATGACCGTATTTTCACAACGTTCACAGAAAGTTTGTTTACATGCAGCCAATTCTGTAGCTTAAAAAGATTTAGGTCATTTTGTAGGTCATCAATGCTCTTTGAGGAGAAAGAAATAGCCGTGTCATCAGCATACATGCTGACATGAGATTTTTGCAGAGAAAAAGGCAAGATCACTGAAGTAAATCAGGAATAAGCGTGGACCTAGACAAGAGCCTTGAGGAACACCAAAATTTATTCAGAGGAAGTGTCACCCAACCTGCAAAATTATTTACGACTATCCAAGTATGATGTAAGCCAGTCATGTTCCAGGCCAGTCACTCTGTACATATTCAGTTCTCTTAACAGGATTTCAAGATCAAACGTGTCGAAGGCCTTCTTCAGGTCAATGAAAATTAGACCTGTGTATTTTCCTTTGTCTATATTCAGGTACCAATCATTGGTGCTAGCCATAAGGGCTGTGGCAACCGAATGTAAGAGTCGAAGACCAGGCTGATGCTCGTATAGTAATTTATTTGCTTTCAGGTGTTTATAATGCTGATTAAAAATTAGCTTCTCAAATAGCATAGATATGAAAGGAAGAACTGATATTGGTCTATAATTCGACCTGTCATCTCTTGCGCCACTTTTTAAAATGGGTGCAATACGCGTTATTTTCCAGTCTTCCGGAAATTTTCCCGTAAACAACGATCTATTAAAAAGATCACACGAGGAACCACCAACAACTGGCAAAGCAATCTTCCAATAGAAGCTCGCAATGCAATCGTGGCCTGAACCATGTGATGTTTTCATTCTACTCAAAGTTGACAATAGTTTATTTATAATGATGGCAGAAAAAGAGAAACTTAGCGAAGGAGTTTCAAACGGGTATTGACCAGACAAGAGTGGATTTGCTTTTCTGGGATTTTTCTCGCTGAGTTTTTTCCCAATGCTGCAGAAGTACTCATTAATTTATGATGCAATTGCTTTGTTGCCACTAACTGCTTGGCCGTCTACAGTAAGATTTGGCACAACTGTAGTGTTCGACTTTTTGTTGATAACGTGGTTGATGATTGTTCCAAGTTTTCTTGAGGTCAACATAATTTTTGTAAAATATGGCAAAATTTTGTTATTTATCAGGACTAGCCCCCTCCAAACAAAAAGTTGTATCTCGGTCTTTGGTTTTAGTGGGCGTCAAAGATAGAAAAATAAGCTATACAGTTGACGTTGCGTAGACTTCCCAAAGGATTCGCGTGATTCAAAAGCCAGTGACCTAAAATTTGCTATTTATACCAGACTATCCATATCTTCTTGACTCAACAACCAGATCAACTTATCACAAAGATCAAGGGATGCAGTGACGGATTTAAGGGGGGCAACAAGGGGCAGTTGCCCCTCCCTCAACGAGTTGAAGCAAGTCTGGCGCCCCTTTTTTGAAAATTGTGCGCCACTTCTGAAGAATGAGAATCAGATGAAGAAGGTTCTTGAACCGATAGGTTAATTTGCTTCAAGGATTACCTCAAAGGTTATGTTGTTTATTCTGAAAGGGTATCTAAAATTGTTGTGTACAGCATACTCTCGTAACCAGTTTTTGAAAATTTTTTAGCGCCCCCACTACCAACTGCCCCTCCTTCAAATTTGCTCTTGATCCGCCCCTGAAGGGATGAGATTCTGGGAAATTTTGAATAAATCATAGATTACATAGAATTCCTGGCATTCTCGTAAGCGGGACAAACTAACAAATAATGAATTGCGTCTTCCACAGCAGTTTTATTAAAAGATTGACAATACGGAGATTTTCTATCAGTCCCAAGAATAGGATTATTCCCGTGTCTGACAGTTTCAATCCTGAGATTGTGAAAACTGACTGACACGTAGCTCTGCAAAGTTGGATCTTTTCCTTTTGATAGTCAACAAGGCTTAGTAATGCTCAAACTTATAAGCAGTTTTGAGAGATGCTTATTTATAAAGCTTTTTAATGCTGATCAAATGAAATTTTATAGAGTGAATTTCACGTGGAAAGTTGTAGAATTTGATTTCGCTAGGGGTTCTTATTTTTGCTTGTTTGTATTATTCGCATTTGGGTGTCAATTGTCATGCTTCAGTTGGTATTTAAGTCCTTATGCGCTTCTTTGATGCCATGGGGAATAACAGAGAAGAAAGAGTTCTATGGTTTGGGCTTCTGCACGAATGTGTGGGTCCCTTGACTCAAATGGGTGTATTTAATTGCTTTGGGTCGGGCAGATCATGCATACTTCGTATGCTGTTTCCACGCTGTTCTCTTCTCCCTCCCCTCCCTCCCCTTTTGATATAAAGCGCAGTGTGTTTCTTCATATCTTTGTTTATTCTTATTGCATTAGGCTAGGGCCTGTTTACATCAAGGGATTCATTTCAAGGTTCTTGCTATTTTTTCTTTAGGAAAGACTAGGCTCTTAATTATCTAAGGTGGGACTGGTGTATTGGATCTATGGTGGGTTAAGGTTCCAGGCTCTACGATATCAATGATCTGATATACTTCTGATTTGTTTTGAAGCGAATTATGATCCATCTGCCTAACATCAGATGTGAAACAGATTTACAAAAGAGACGGGAAAAAAGTGTACATGATTGCTGTGTAGCGTAAAAAGGAGAAGAAAATAATATATTTGATGTCATCCAAAACGACCTGTTTTATGAATGAAACTTATAGTCTTTTTGATTATATTCTTAGTTACGTCATTAGAAAGTTCTTTATTACCATACAATAAATACTGGACCACCAAAACATTGTTTGAAAGAGTGTCAATTTGGACAACTGGTCGTAGCAATTCCGAAATTTCAGTGAGAAGATCTCATCGCTGGATGTCAAATGCAGGGCAAAGCAACAAAAAATGCTCCGCAGCCTCAATACCATCATTCGTTGGCCACATTGGGTTAATTATATCTGTAAAATTATGCTTAAATTTGTGAAAATTGGGATAAAAGCTCGATCGAGATTTCTTTTCTTCTTGCTATTACTCGCCCAACAACATCCTGGCTGCGAAGAAGGTTACTTAGCTGTTGAAGAGGTGGAATTGGTTCCTTTGTGTCAGTGGGGTGAGGTTACTTATGATCTTATAGAACAAGATAAGGAGTCTACTCCATCTACGGGAACTTAGTGACTCCCAACCAAGCTCTGCATACAGTTTTTCTCGTGATGTTCCTCTCCATGTTCCAGTTACAGCAAGAGGAGGAGAATATTGTGGCAGATTCTAACTGTTCCATTAAATTTGAAACGGTGACATTTTGACTGAGCTCGCATACTTTTGGAGGAATATGA